AATTCATGATAATTTAATTATAATTCGATTGGAATTCGGTCACTATCTCGTTCTAGATTTATTAGCTCTATGTTTCGTTTGATAAGAATAATTATGATACGCAGAGTGAGAGCGTTGTTTCCGAATTCGCCTCGACATTTGTTTTTCGCACTACAATAAATTTGGCAAGTGCGCAGGCACGCCGGTATTTTTAATGAATGTTTGTCAAGCATTGCTCGCGTTCCGCGCAGATTTATTGAAAATCAAAATGCGCCAAGTATTTATTATCTTCGGGCTTTCAACGTTCCTCGAACATTTATTATAGCTCTTTTTATATTTTCAACTCAACAGCTTTTGAGATTCATATCGATGGTGTGCGCTTTCTTTTTGCCCTGTAATCCTCTTAATAATTTCTCTCTCTCTCTCTCTCTCTCTCTCTCTCTCTCTCTCTCTCTCTCTCTCTCTCTCTCCCTTTCTCTTTCTCTTTCTCTTCGACCCTTATTCACATTCATATTTGAAAGGAACCTCCCTATAAACTCGCCGAGAGAGAATAAAAAAACGGAAAGGAGAGTGAAAGAGTTAAGTGGAAAACTGGCTCTGAAGATCGGCAACTTTATGCCGAGACGCACTTCAACGAATGGAACGCCCGAGTGGAAAACTTGGATGAAGCCCGCGCCTTTTGCCATGAAACTCCGACGCAATAAGAAACAAGCGCTCGTGGGCATTTATTTCTCTTTCTTTTCAATTGAAAAGCTCGCGCGCCGACGATCGGAAAAAAGAAGCGGCGGCTAATTTTCCAATCCGGATTTCCACCGGCACTGTCTCGCTTCTTGCGAACGCGTGCGTGCCAGGCGCGCATTGTTCTAATTCTAATTTACATGCGGGTCGGTGCCCGGCGCCGGGCTCGTATAACCCGGTGCATTGTTTTCTCGCCAGCTCGCGAATGGAACGGCTACTTGCGCATAACCGTCGACGTTTTCATTACGCCACGTGCAATCGCTTTGGTCTCGTTAGAATTCAGACGTATTTATTTGGACTCGTCATTCCGAATGGCTCAAATCAATTTAGAATGCTTTCTTGTTCATCGATCATTTCTCATTTTTTCTCGTCAAATTAGCATTAAAATTTGAAGTTAAAAAGCAACGAGTAGAAAGCAGTCATATTACGAAGATACCGAACGACAGATTCACTCGTCCGCAAATGCGCACGTGTGCAAAGGGAGTATTAAAAATTTAACGGTATTCAGGCAACATTGTCATTTGCACCCGGTTCCTCGTTGAGATAGCGGTCTCGTTTCGCATTTGATAGAGTTTTATAACTCTCTTTGAAGTGCTCATGCTTATAGCTTAAGAATAACGCTATAAAAGTACATCGAAAAAAAAGGAAAGAACCTCGTAAAATGCCCCACGCCTCTCGCGTTTAAATGTAAAGGGAAGAGTGTTCGAGATTCTGCAGTAGCAACCGAGTCTAGCCAAAGAACAGATCATTAACCATTTGCCTTGATGTCAAATCGCACAGCACGGGTCGCATTGCAAAGAAAAGAAACGCGACGGAAGTGGAAGTCAGAGTGTACGTTAGTCGACAAAAGAGGTTTCGGGCCGTGTGCGAGTTCAGCATAATGCAGAGGCGGTTCACGTGCTCGTCGGAGATTCATAATACGTGGCAGAGGTTTGCTACTCGTGAGAGAGAGAGTGCCGAGTTCTTCAACCCCGAAGTGAGGAAACTGGGACGAGGTCTGATGGAGTAGCAGAGACGAGGAAACGCGACTCGACAAATAAGTATTTTGATAAAAAAATATCTACTCCGTACCGCCTCGGGCCTGAGAATCTTCTATTCCACGCATTCGCTCTCGAATCAGCTGGCTTCTTCCCTTCATTTTCTCCTTAACGCTTGCTTAACAAGTTTCGCTCGTCACCCTCGCATCTCCGCGACAGCATGACTGGTTCAATTACCGAGAATGAATGTGGCGCTCCGCTGCTTCCTGCAGTTTTGCTATGATTAATGGTGTCAATGCTATTGTGCGTTGCTGTGAGTTGTACAGCTGTTGTGCCATGCGTAATTCGAAGAAATCACGGAATTGAATACATCATCTCGTCGCACGACAAAAACAGAAACAATTTACGTAATGTCCTCAACAATTCCAAGTGCCATGTTATACTTGCTTTGCATTTCCAGTAGAACGAGTCAAGTTCGGTCGGACGCCATGTAGCGTAATTTTTCCATTGTGCGAATTTCGCATTCGCTAGGTATAAAATTAAATAGCACGAGGATGAAAAGAAAGCAAGATAATAGAGAACAAAAGAGTATAGCGTCCGCGAGGCGAAAATAAAAGTAAGCGACATTGCCGCGTCGTGCGAAGCAGCCGCGCCCGCTGCCGTGTGTATTGTTTTAAATAATTTTCGACGGCAACTTGCGAAAACTTTTAGCCGAGAGAGTTCTCATTGCGGCGAACTATCATAACCAATTCGACCCAGCATCCCATCGCGCGCGAGAAACTTGGAGCGACTGCAAACGAAGGCAAAAAAAAATGAACACACGAAAGAAGTAAGGCGGGGGAGGAAGGGAGAAGGGATAATGAAGGAGTTGCAAGCAAAGTGCTCTTCTGGCGACCACGAAACAACTGCTCTTGACGCTTAGCACGCGTGTGCTAACTTTGCGACTGCATTCTCGTTAATCAATCGTTGCGCTGAAACGCGAGCTTAAGAAGCCTTAATTGGATTAGGTTCGCGGCTTTTGCCCATTTTTCAATCTTGACGAACGAGCATGCGTGACACTTTCATTTGCACGATCGTACCATCCATATTTCTTACAAGATATGCCAAGAATATATGGGACTGATCGATTTCGAAGACAGGGCGATGTTTTTGTCAGTGTGACACGACCCCACGAGACGACGGACTCGTACCCCCTTCTCGCTTCTCTTTCTCTCTTTCGCTCTCTGACGAAGATTTATTGGAGACAGACAGATGTACACAAACGCCAAAATGCGTCTCCGGGATTAAAGTATCACGGATGCAGCTATATGCTCATCTCGCGTGCCTGCGTGCCTGGGATGAGTGATCACGTGACGGAGATTTTGTATGCCACCTATTATGTATCTACTCCAATGTATCTTTATAGGGCTTCTTTCGGAGAAAGCTTGTACGTGGAATTCCAATACGTCAACATTGTTGTATCTCAGTCTTTCTTTGGATTTTTTTTGTCACTTTATGTTCGCGTACGTCGAAAGATGAACACTTTTGAATAAATAAATAAATAAATCGATAAATTCTTAGAATAAGTGCAACACTTTTTGTCTCGTCAAATGAAAAATTCGTTCGCAAGGTTGTTCAATTATGCAATACCAGCCGGAAGAATGTCATTAGAAAAAAGTGTCCGCGAATCCAATTTTTCGCCCAAGAACACTTTGAGAAAAATTCGATAGTGAGGAAGGGGGATTAAAGGATCAGACTTTTCCTTGAGAAAAATCTCGAGCTTCCAAGAACTAGTCGTCATTCCATCTGAAACGGGATACGACAAAGAGCTCGTGTGCGGTACACCAAGCGTCGGCCAACTTTTTCGAACGAAATCCATGCTCGTTTTGCAATAACAAAAAAGAATGAGGTAAAAAAGTTAGGATGATCATTTATCACGACACGCGGACTCGCCGCTTAATTGCTTGCCTCTCGATTTATTTCCGCGACGACGCGACGGTGTGGAGGGTCGGCGCATTTGCATGCGAGTCGCGGCGTGCGCGCCTCTCGAAGGATATAGGCAGTCGAATGAATAATTCGGTTGTCTCCCCATCTCACCTCCCCCTCTCCGCTCTTTCGTCCCTCCCTCCGGCCTCTTTTCCACGGATAAATAATTTCCGCGCTCGTGCCCGCGCCTAATTGAGAGCCATTCACTTTAATTGCTCAAAGGGCCACTACAAGCCCGCGAGGTAAGCTAGAGTCGCGCCTGCATTATTCAAACATCTTAAGCTTCAACTCCCGCGCAGCTTTTATATGTTTCCAAGGGAAAACGAAGAAGCAGCTGCTTTATAAAGCGAAAGTTACGCGCGGCAGATCGATCGACTGTATATTTTCTCTTTCTTTCGCATTGCCAGATATTTGCTTTAGCGGCGAAGGATGTTTTCGATGACTCTAATGGAATCGCCCGACAAAGCGAATCTCTCCCCGACCGTCCAGTCGTTCGTGCGCAACGCCATTTCAAAGCCCTGTAGGTGCACTGTTGTTTCACCGAGACGTCCGAACCCCGGTCTCGAGGGTCTCGCCGATGTTTTTCCCCTAGGCCGCGTCGCCGTGCCCTATTCTCTGTTTTTCGAACAGGCAAATACTGAGCCGTCGCGCCGCGAGGATCCAACGCGCGTTCGTCTTGGGATTTAATTAGGTCGGGGAGCGGGGCCGCAGCGCGAGATTGCACCCGAAAGGAAAAAATCACCCTAATAAGCGCGCATCCTTGGGCCGGTTTTTTTAATTAAAAGAGCGGCCGCTAATTCCTCAGCGCGCAGCTTTGCCTTCTCTATCTCTTTTGCTTGGCAACGCCGAGTGATAAAAATCGGCGAGCTTTTAAATCATACGAACGAGGCCATTAGTTCGTAGTTGTAATTTTCGTCTTATCGCGCGACCCAGCTTTGCAGCGGAAAAATAAACACATCGCCCGCGCACTTTGCACTCGTTATTTCCCCAAAGAGTTCACGTCGGCGTTGTTGCGCTGTTTTCCTTTTTCACGGATGCGCCAGTCAATTAGTCATATGTTTTCATTCTCCAAATTGCGCACCTGAATTCGTGCGCTTCGATCGGGATCGGGGTTGTTGGGCCACAGAATTTCCATCACTTTGTAAATCGAATATAAAATTATTGCATTCCGATAGGTTTCGCGGAGAAAGCATTGCGAAGCACAAGAAGCCGGTCGCCCGAGTTGCAGCAATTGTTCGCGCGCGACTCGACAGGTACAGCGTGCAAAGGAGATGAAAAGAAGAAGAAGAAGAAGAAGAAGAAGAAGAAGAAGAAGAAGAAGAAGAAGAAGAGTGAACTTACGACATCGATGAGCTGCGACAGTTTGAGCTTGATGCAGACCCTGAGCACGTCGGACGTGTTGACGACGGGCCTGACGAGTTTATTGTAATTGGACAGCAGATCGTCGTAGAGGCGCTTGGCGTCGGGGTTGCCGGCGACGGCGCCGTGCACCACAAGTGCCGAAAGCAGCCAGACACGTATGGTCTCGCCAATGCTCGGGGTCATCGCGCGGCCGCTGCCACCACCTCGTCGCGAAGTCCTCGACCTCGACGATGACGACGTCGCCGTGACGAGCCACCACGGCACGCCACGCCCGAGCCACCAGCTATCCAGCGTGACGACAACGCCTCGCCCACCCTATAACAGTAGCAACAACACTGTCACTGCAATCCCTCTCGCTTTTTCCAGTTGGCTACGACTTTTGTAATCGCCAAGTTTTATTGTTTTTGCCTTCACGTCGAGCACTAGCTTACAATCTCAATTATTTGGAACGGGAAATTGCCTTTTTTTTAGCTGGCTTCGCAGTGACGAGAAACTCGGCCGTAACTCAGTTATGCGCGCGCGCCGGAGTTGAAATTTAGTGTATCCGTGATGGGTGCGTTCGTTTGAAACTCGATTCCCAAGTAGTAGCCGTGAGCTTGCAACTTTTCGAATAATTCTTCATCAAGATTCACGCGCACCCTTTTCACGAAAAAACTACGAGCGAGTAAGGCGTCAGTTGGTGAAACTCGATTTCTTACCATCAACTTTACAACCCAACCCAGACTTTCACTTGTAATCGCGATTTACGCGCGCTCTCGTCTCCAGAAACTACGACAATCGCCAAGAAGAAAGAAAACACCGGCGGCAAGTCAGCCGTGAAATGTCGCGTTGTTTAAAAGAGCTTTTTCCTGTCTGAAAAGAGAGCGTCTTTGCGCGAGCAGTCGGCAAATCCGGATTAACGCGCGCGCAAGCTCGCGAGTCATTATTGCCTGCATGTGAGACTAGTCGTAGTGGGTTCCGAGCAATTGTACCGCTTGTAAAAAAGAGTAGCGTTCGGCCGACCTAGAAACCTTCCGTTTCCTCGCTCGCGCGTTGCCATTAAAACGAGCGCTTATCAATTTGGCTGGGGATATAGTGGCACGTGATATTTCATTTGGCGCGCGCGAACGTGGCTTGCTGGCGCGCCTCGATATGCGACGTATAAAGCCGTGCGTGGAGTGACATTCGCGAAAATTCGGTTTAAGCTGACTGCGAAAGAGAAGAAAGCAAGTAGGTTTACACGAAGACAAATGAGCCGAGGTATTCATACGCTCGACGCACGCTATATACAACGCATTTTACATACGAACGGCGCGAGATGATGAATGGGAGGCTACGCAGGTATAGAAAAAACCGAGTGTCGTTGGTTGCTCATGAATACAGGCTTGAAAATCCAAACGCTTAACATAATTGAAGAAGCTTGCGCGCTTGCGCTTCTCCTCTTTCGGCGTCTCTTTGTGCACTCTTTTTTTCCACCATTCGTTACCTTATACATATTAATCAATCTCGAAACGGCTGAATTCGTCTACTTAGTGAAACTCAAAGCGCTGAATAATTGACGGTCTTTCTCGCGCTGTCGCAACAATGCTAATGTCCCCTTTCATCACCCTAATTGCGAAGATTCAATGCAATTGAGAAACGAACGACAGCTACTTGACAGACAATCGGAGAAAGCCTCGTGAGAAATTGATTTCCTGTCCCTTCTTTTTTCTCCTTTCGGCACGAAACTCAAGAGTCGTTCTTGGTTTTTCTTCCTTCAAAGGGCAAAACAGTCGAAGATTAAGAAGGATCGAAATGAGACAATAAAAAAAAAAAAAAGAAAGAAAACAACGCCTCGCACATTTTTGACAAACGAGTACTCGAAAAAAGAGTAAATATTAAGAAAACACCCGCGCGTTTTCGACAACGTTTCACGCGCGAAAAATTAGGAGCGACGCGGAAAATCGTTGGTCTTCGCGAGACGGCCGCGCGTCGGTCGAAGCAGATTCATCTAAAGACACGTACACTGACCTAAGCTCGCGCACTGGCTCCAGTCCCAGCACGCTGCTCGCAAGCAAGTCAAGTCAAGTTGTTTCGCGCGCGAGAGAGAGAGAGAGAGAAAGTGAGAGAGGACCGGCCTCCGCACTGGCACGCACTGCACCCACGACTGAAGCGCGAAGCGGAGCTGTACCAGAGGGCCACCCCACGGACAGCACGAGAGAGAAGTGCCCGAGGGCCGCCAGGGGGCGACACCCCACCGCGCCACCCCCTTCGCGCTATCACGCTCTCGTTTTCTCTCTCTCTCCCTCTCTCGCGTTCTCTGCGTGTACGTATGCGACTCTTCGCATTCAGACAAGCTCCTTGCCTATTTATCTGCCTGCATGTGACTTCGTGCCGTCGTGTCGTGCTACATGTGCCATCACTTCGCATGATGCTGCTTTTCCCTTCTTTCCTCATTTCTTCGATACTCACTGTTTCATGAGCCGTTTTCGTCTCCGAATTTACGATAACGCTGCCATCACGCATTGGAAACGACGTTATTGGGCGGCACGTTTCATCCCGTATCAGGAATAATTTATCTTGGAAAGCCTGGAAAAAACGTCGTGTTGAATTTTTCTTTCAACTTCGCTTTCAAGATTAGACTCATGGTAAGCTTAGAAATAGTAATAAAATTGACAATCATAAATTGGAACGAATGGGACTGTAATACCCTGGTAATCTCACGATGACTGTGTACAACTCGATAAGTATGTGCTATTTTTATTTTACAGTTCTTCCGAATCGATTCTCATTCAAGAGCCCTCGGCTCGCCCTATTGGCATCCGAGGGAATCTTTTTTATTTCGGCTTTCATTACTTTTCGAAAATCATAGCGTTCTCCAACCAACTTACAAAGTTCCTCTCGAAGTCTTGTCGCTGTGCACAATAGGTGTCAATGGCAGTACAAGCCGCAATGACCATCCGTGCGCGAATACTTTCGCCTCTGCAGAAGCAAACTCTAGGCAGTAAAAAAAAGAAAGGAGACTGGAATTGACTCGTTATCGTAGCGCGCGGTACTCGACAATATAATTGAAAATAGCGCTCGCGACACACATTCCGTGGTGTCTGGCGCGAAAAGTATAGCGGTAGCCGCGACGACGATGAAATTGGCCGAACGAGCTTTATTAGTGGTCGAGGGCGAGACAGAGAAAGACAAAGGGTAGTGGGGGAGCGACTTTGGAGTAGAGTCTTGGCATGCGACCAGTAATCCCCCTTGGATCAGCATTACCGACACTGCACTTTAAGCCTCGTCGCCTCACTTGGCTTCGGCCGCCAACCGCTCAAGCTCTCGATAGCCCTCTTGTGCCTCGACTCTCATCACTTTTTTCCACTTGGCGAGCGCTTTCTCTCTCTCTCTCTCTCTCTTTCTCCCTCTTTCTATAGCGACAATGCATTTCTGAGTGAAACCTCGATTTTTCTTACGCTTCGACAGACCCACCCCCAATAGCCACGATATATAATGCTAATGTTACGTTTTTTTTCCTACTTTTTCCTTCCAGGCGTCGTTATAATCTGTCATCCGGTCTCATTGACACGGTTTTTCTGATCAAACTACCCTGCGTTTGTAATCTTCAATTAAAATACTTTGATGTTACAGTATTGCATTTCAATTTGTCACGCATCTACGACGAGAAATAAAACGAACTCCGCTATTGTAAAAAAGCTTCCAGCACAAAAAAAGTTTTCCCGGGAGATTGACAGTTTTCTCTGTTATATGCCGCGCATATTCTACGTTACATCGATGTTCTTTATATCGAGTTTCTGCCATGTTTCCATTTGAATCTTAATGAAGACGGAAAGCTTTGCATTTGCGATGCGTATGCATCATGTTTCACTTTCAAAAGAACGCCCGCATGCTACATCATCCCACGCGCACACACGTACTCCAGAGCTAGCTTGCCTGTTTATTCTCTCCAGCATACGAATCAGCTCAGATGTTCTGCATTTGCCGATTAAATTATGTGCTAATCAAAGTTTCTTCATTCTCCGCCTTCAGAACGCAGCCGCGGGACACAATGCGCGCGCGAGCGTTGGTAAATTTTATCTTTCTGCGCCTTCGAAAAATAAATAAATGAACAAAAAAAAATAAATCGGAAGTTTGTCGTCTTGACGCCCTGGCAACTCGTCAAAGCGTGAAAATGAAGTATGAAAGGAGCCCGAGCGCAAAATCCACTCCCCCGCGTGCGAGAAAGTTCTAAAAGCCTTGCGGCTATACGCGTCTTCTTCCATGAAGGTGTGCCTGAGTAAACTTGTCATTTCTGTTGCTCGATAATGTACAAGTTTTTCGCACTGTCGCGATAAAAAAAAAACAAGAAAGCTCTTCTTCTCCGGACGTAAAAAAAAGGAAGCGGGAGGGATTGCGCGGAATTTTTCAATAAAAATGTAAATACGATAATCGGCTCGGACGCGGCACATGCCGCCGCGAGTGCGGGCAAAAAAAAGCCGCGCTTTTGCATGCCAACTTGCAGCTGCCTAAATGCAGCTGCCTCGCTCCGTATCGATAATACGCTCGTCGACCTTCCGTCTCACAAAAGGTAATCGCATTGAAGAAATGCACATTTAGCTTTATGGCATTACTTCTCGAAGGTAGCGATGGAGGTCCTCTGCGGGCTCTGCTCCACGAACGAATATTAAGATACTCAAAGTCAAAATGCTATTGCCGTGGGACCCAATAGTTTCTTCTGTTCGGTTATATTGCTGACGGCTGCGCGTAAACGATACACTTTATTTATTGTATAAATTAAATAGGGGACCCTTCTGTTGAAGTATAATTTCATTGGAACTGATTCGATCGAAAATATCGAAGTATACCAGCACAATGAATCAAAAGCAATTAAAAAAAATCATAAAAGCGGCATCTGCGAATAATAGATATGTACAGATTCATAAAAAATTCCTTTTGTTCAGCTCTTGAATTTCAATTGTCTAGAAAAAAAGTTTAACCGTTATCCTTCGATTTTCTGCGTCAAAAAAGAAAAAAAAATCTCTAACCTAATTTTCTTCTGAAAAGCATTTCCGCATAACTACCACCGCTACGAGAGCAAATGCCCCATCGTTTTCTCAATTGAAAAACGTAGACACGAGCGTTGCATATCGATTTCGAATTTATCGTGAAAACTCCGTACACAGACGTACGCGTAACGAAAAAAAGAGAGAGGGGAAGAAAAATAAAGGTACAAAGCCGCAGAGAATTTTAAGAGACACGATTTCAAGCGATGGGGAAAATCGCGAGAAAGCCAAAGTGTCATAGGTCATCGAAATAGGTTTCCGAGAGCGAGAGAGACAGAGAGAGCATAAGGAAGGGGAGGAGGTGGAAGAGGCCGGACATCCGGGGCGCGACACTGCAGTGATTCGGCAGTCCCTCGGAGGCCCCTCCGTTTCCAGAGCAGCAGCTGCCAAATACGATGCTATGTCTAAACTACAGGGCTGTGGTAAGGGGCCAATCGGCTGATGTCACGTCGAGCATTAAAGGCATTCAGCGCACAAGTGTAACGATACATACGTCGCACACTCGAGGGATTAGTTAAGGGATTTTGTCGTGATTGCGATTTGGCGCTTTTGAATTTTCACCTTACTCTAATGTTGCGCATCTAAGCTTTCAAGGTGGTTTTCTTCTAGCACTTACCAACTACATTTCCTTATACGTAAAGATGTTGAAGCTTTCGAGTAACAGTATCTTGAGTTATTGATGGAATGTATTAAAGCAAAGCGAATTTGTTAGAGTACATAGCTTTCTATAAATTTTATTAAAGACTAAATATGTTATGAGTCCAAATAACAAAGTTTAATTTTTTTTTATTTGGATTGTATCTTAATTTGGATTCATAGGATACTGATGATCTTTTTCATAGATAATTTATTAAGCCAATGGTTGATCTCCATAAATTTAAATATGACACAAAACCAAGTCTGTCAAGTGAAGAGTCACTATAAATTTATGTCTATAGAATGTTCTGCGGAAATTGACATTTTCTCGTGGAAAACTTTTTTCAATTACCTTCTACAATTCGAGCTTATAGGAAGTTAAAGAAAGTAAGAAATATTTTACTAGCATTAAAAAAATGAGTGTCCGACTAAAATATTTACTCACAGAAGTGACTTTTTTTTATTGTTAGATGAAGTACATAAATACTTCATTTTGATATACTATTATTCAAATGAGGGATTATATTGATCATAAGCATCCTTCAGCAATAAATCCTGCATAGGGTACGAAGAATCTCTGATTGACATTCACTCTGCTGTTTACGCAGAATATAAAAAGCATTATGAGCAAAAAACCCTCGTTCGCGTGATGTTATATACGTAATTTATATCGATGTTATTAACGCATGTTATCCTCGTGAAATTAATTTTAGTTCAACACGCTAGTTTTTTTTTGTTGTATTCCAAAAATATTGTTTGATCAAAAAAATTAATTTGGAAACGTATATTTGGCAATTCCAACAAATTATTACTTATTGGAAATTAGTGGCTGACCAATATTGATTTTTACTACTTGTACATTTTTATGCTATTTTTAAGTATTAAGATGATTACGTCATGTAGTAGTTTGATATCAAGAATGATTACAGCTTTGTAGTATGTAGACTATAAAATATGGAATAGTTACCTGGACACCTTGCTATAACTGCTAACTGGTCCTACAGTTGCCATTGAACGGTACAATACTTTGCTTCAATGATTTAGGCTTTTGCCGAAAGAGTGAGCTAGCGATATCTTTGTATCAAATTCAAAGATAATTATTTGAACTTGTTCAATTATTACAATTAACGGGATACTTTTGAAAAAGGTTTGATCAATATTCTTTCATTTATAAAAATTTTATATTTTGGTTTTTGCTATAATTTAATTTACGATTTTTCCATTCTAACGTGCTGACAAATTCTAAATAATCGATTGTTTTTTTAATTTCCGCCGTCGAAGTTACGCAAAAATTTCCTATAATTCTCCAATTTGTCAAAGTCAAGAGTATATTTTTGAAAAGCTCAGCAAAGTAGATAAATCTGCAATGTTTATAGCGCTTGCGCACTGGGAAGCTCGTAGTAGTTATTTTCCGATACACCAGTTTATACGTGGAATATGTATTTTTATCCGTATATAAATGCAGCAGTAATCGAAGGTAACACCGTTTATTTTTTTTGTTACGCATTTTATTAATAATTATGAGATTATCAATGCATAAAGTTCCTTTAGTTTTTATAAAAAATGTTTCAATAGTTCCAGAATAATTCCAATCTAACCTCCTAAAAATTACTTTTTTAATATTCATTTGTATTATAATTCAGATAGACTCAATAAAATAGTATTATATAATGTTTCGCGATATTATGTCTATCGAGACGATTTGGGATCCTATTGCGATCTTCAATTACTCGACAGAGTATGAATTTGCCACTATAGTATTAAATGATCCGTTATCGTTGCATCACAACAATGTGCCGCCTTCATGGGAGAAAGGTGAATCAATTCAGCGAAACATTCGTTTAAAGATGACATAATGTTGATATTATTGCAAATAATGAGCTTTACAGTGGCAGTGGACGGCGGAACAAATTAATGGCTGGATTATTGAGATGACAAAGTGATTAGCGTTTTGTCGGGACAATTCAAAAAGTACTCGTACCTGCCTACTCTGATGACAGGTGACATGGATAGCATCCGATCAGACATGTTGGAATAATTACAGTCTACGGAAACAAATATAATATATACCCCAGATAAACATAAAACTGATTACACTAAAGCTATCGTTCAACTTGCTCGGTACACTTCAACCAATGACATAAAAGTATCCAACTTTCATACACCGCCGACATCTTTCTAAAGTCAATGAGTCAATGAGGCGAGTTATTATTTTTAACAGTTAAATGTAATTTATGTGTTTGCCGAAACTGCTGGATGATTAGATTAGATCGTCTCCAATGTGAATACATTGTATAAATCCTGTAGCATAATAAGTAATGTGCCTGTAAGATTGTCAACTTTAATATTTTAATAAATAAGATTGAAAACAATCACTAATGATTTTTTCATTATTAATTAGCGGATTCAAATTGCTTCTGATTCATTGACCTGGTTGCTGCAGTCGGGAAAACACAAAGATTTTAATAATAAATAAAAGTTGGTGCGCTATGCCTTTTTGCACTTTGATTAATTGCTTTACAACGATAGGCCTCAGGAATTTGAGTAAGTTGACGGTGAAAAACACCTTAGTTCTGTTTTTTTCTTTTATTTTGTCACGAGTAGTGTAATCCAGATAAAAGTTGCTTGAAATTTGGCGGATTATTAAGTAATTCAAACATTTATGACGGTTTAGCGGAAGTTACGATCACAACCGATGTCTCAGACACGTGGATTATGGTAATCGAAAAACTTGTTAAATTGAAAGAGTAGTTGCTCGTCTAATGAAATTATGGCATTTATCAACGCACAAAAAGTACTCAATCAATCAATAACCTTTCCATTTTGTCAGCAAAAAAGTAACTGCTTTTTTCTCCCTTCGTCATTCGGCGAAAAGAAAAAATTTGCCCTCGTAATAAAAATACGTAGCCAGTTAATATGGAACACGTGGCAGCTAATTGTCGATATCGATCCGCTGGGATAGGAGCGTAAATTTAGTTTTGCCTTGCACACGGGGCGACAAATAAAGAGGGAAAGATATCATCTCCCCCCCCCCTCCCTAGAAAGGGAGCTCGCGTGAATTACTGCCGTTACAAAAGGTTAGAAGCCGACGTCATTGACAAAAATGTTAAAATACACGTGGACGAGAGGAAGAGAGAGAGAGAGAGAGAGAGAGAGAGAGAGAGAGAGAGAGAGAGAGAGAGAGAGAGAGAGAGAGAGAGAGAGAGAGAGAGAGAGAGAGAGAGAGAGAGAGAGAAACTCGAGCACAGTCTTTAATAGAGTGCGCCCACTCGGTTTGTTGCGCAGATATACGCAAGACCACCGGCTAACGGACTGTAAGTCGAGGAAGAGGGGATGCCGTGCCGCCAAGGCGATCAGCTGTTGTAGCTCGAGCGTGTTTACAGTCGTCCGCGCGACGGTTTCACTCGCGTCGCTGCCCGCCGTCGACGCCGCCGCCGCCGCAGCCGCGCAGTAGTGCCTTGCTACGCACGCCGGTGGATAGAGCAGTGTGTGTCGCCGCAGTGGTGGTTTAGTGGTGGTGGCCATGGTGATACCTCAGTGAATTATTACATACCGCTCGGCCGTTTCTTTTTTTTCTTATCCACCCTGTAGCTTCGCGTGCGGCTTCTTTCGATCGGTGAGTGTTGCTTGCTACTTTCTACAGAAAAAAAAGAACGTACAACTCGTAGCGTGAGTTTTTGACTCCCTTTGAATGTGAAAAAGCAAATTTTGACGATTGAATGAAGTGGCAGCGTGTACGAACGCTCATTCAAGCGGTGATTATTTTATCAGCCGAGATTAGAAGTTTTTTTCTGTCTCGCCGTGACTCGTAAAAATACATACGTCCTCTCCTTCTTTCTCTCTATCGGTCTTCGTCTATGCTGAGTTTTTCATGTACCCATGAGCTTGATGCTCGGACTTCAGGATTAGCATTCGTCATTGCCGCGCTCTCGTAACAGCGCGGTTATTGCTGGCAATTCGTGACGAACTAATTGAGAACCCGTGACAGAGAGAGAGAGAGAGAGAGAAAGAAAGAGGAAAATACCTCTCTTTTTTTATTTTTCCAGCGCGAGTGTCGCGTCGAAAAAAGTAAAAGCGATCAACGAGCGAAAGCGAGCGTGCGCAGCGTTACATAATTCGTTAAAAAAAATTACGCGACGGACGCTAATGGAGAGCTCTATTTACCGGGTAACGATGAGAGCGCGCGCCGGCAGCAAGGAAAAAGGGAGAGAGTAAACTGGAGCGCCCATGGAAATTTGTGGAATGCGATCGGAACGCAAAATCGTTTATACGTCATCGTCGACAACGAAGCATTGTCGCGCCCGCACCAACTAGGCGGGATTCTATTTTCGAGCTGGAAATAGGTTGAAAGAGAGAAAGAGAGAGAGAGAGAGAGAAACCACGCGCGTCAAAGCATGCAATTGGCTCGCGACTGCGCTCTTTTTCTCTTTCTTTCTTCTCTCGCAGTCAATTGCTCTCTGCGGCTTCGTTTTCATAGGAGTGCATAAAGTGCGAATAAAAACTCTCGCCGCGTGCGCGCGCGTGTGTTTTGAAACACATTTTACGATTGCGCGCAGTCGAATTATTGTTTTCAAAAAGAGAAGTTTATAGCGCCAAGAGGAATTATCGTTAATTCGAATTGCGACTAATGCGCGAGAGCAAGCTTTACGAGCTTTTGGCTATGAGCGAAACTATGTCGGAGCAGAGTTTTTGCTTTCCATTTCAAAAATAGCTAGTTTATTTATGAGAGGGTCACGATCGATCTATTACACTGCACAAAGTCGAATAATTATCAAGAAAGTTGTTTCGATAATTGCGTGTACGACAAGATAGAGGCAAGTAATGATTAAAGAGAGTTAGCTGGTAATAACGTAATAATGTAACTTCAACTAATATGGTTAAAAGTGGTTATTGTTAAGAAAGACGATTGATTTGTTCTACAAGTTAACATTTAATAGTAACAAAATAGATATGAGTAATATCGTAAGTTACATATTTCGACAAAGAGATACGAACGCACCATTCGTCATGCGAGCGATCCCTCCTATAATCTATATCCTACCCTTCGGTAAAAAAACCAGAGGGAAACCGCGCCGCGAACTAACCGCAGCTGACGCGTAAATGCAGATGTAATGCAATTTCGACGAATTCTGCCGGAGTACGAGGGCCTCTTAGTAGTTATTGTCGCGTAAAGCTACAAAGCTAGCTAACGAACGAACCGGTCGTCGGCACTGAGTTGACCCACTGAGCTCCGGCTGCGACGGGTCACGTGCTGCAATTGCGCTAACAGCGCAAGCCACGTGCTCCATGATGCACCGCGCTCGCAACTATCCTGAGCCCAGGAATCTGGGTAAAGTCGCTCTTAGCATACATCTGTTATCGACTGGCCGCGCGGTTAAACGATATACTCGAGCACAAGGATCAGCTATCAGGGTTTTAATTGGCTCGAGCACGACAAGCATCTAGTGTAACTTAATTACACGCATGTTTTGTCGCTTGCGCTGCGGGCCGAGCGCGTTGCGGTTCCCTCCTCAAAGATATCGGGCCAATAACAACGAGCGTTGCGCGACCTGTGGTGAATCGCTAGTCCGGGACGTCGGTTGATAATTGCCGCGCTCTTTTCAATTCTGTCACGACGGTGGCGAGAGCGGCCGCGCGGACGTGCTTATCTCACGCCGATCGCGAGCTTATTAAATCGGAAAGAGCCGGTAAGCGATATACGATTGAGCCGTGTGGACTAAACACGCTGAGAGGATATTTGATCACCCTTTGATTGCAACGCGACAGTGTGTATAGTTGTTTTGCACGATTAAATATTTGGTTACGTGAACGCGCGAGCGAGATTTAATTTCGTTGACTTTCTGAGCGTCGTATCGGTTAAACCTATTTAGAAAGTCTCGTTTCCTGTGAGAATAATTAGGCTCTGTTATTATTTTAAAATTTATCGTTTTGTTTCGACTGAATTCACTCGATAAAAACGGTAGCGCGTTCAAGTACTCGAAGCAAGTTTAATCAAAGCTAATATAGTTTGACGAGGCAAAACTTTTCCATTTGAATTGGCGCATGTGTGATGTATGCCATTCGACTCGTCGGCATGGACATTGCCAGCGTAATTGGATTGAATAACTAGATGAACGGGCGACCACGATTTGCCTAGATTCGTCATTGCGCGCGTCCGCGAGCTGCACAACCGCCAAGCTTTCAATTGGAAGTTTAGCTACACATGATCCGCGTGCGGTCGAAAGGATTTTCAATTTATGCACACACATCGACGTGCGCAGGGACGGGCGAAGAATGTGCGCGCATTATCGCGTCCACGGCGGTACGAGCGCCGGAAGTGCGAAAATAGCTCACCGTGATACTTTTCGAATTTAAATCGAGGGAGTGAATTCTATTTGTGATTCGCTTATAAATCGTGTATCGTGATCTCGCGCGTGCGCTGCGCTCTTTTTTTCTCCCTTTTTTTTCTTTTTCGTTTCGCGCTAGACAGGCCTGAAATCTGAGCCTCGCTCGCACTTCCGAGATCGTCACACTAAAGAGCCTGTGTCAAACGAGACGAGCTTTCCTCATCCGTTTGCCAACGTAAAAACGTCGCGTTAAGAAAATTTTGCTATTATAACTCTATCGTGGCAGCGGCAATGATTCAGCATTAAACGAGAAAAGTGCGCGCGTCCGATGAAATTATATACCTGAACGAACTGGCAAAGCTGCTTCTCCTTTTTCTTTTTTTTCGTTTTTTTTTGTCGATCAAACGAGCTAAAGATATTTCTTGATTAGCTTAATCAGCACCGGGCGTTTTTTTATCTGTTCGCAGTTACAATATCATCACGAGCTTATTGTTTTTCTGTTTTTTTGACACAGAAAAAGACTTTGGAAGATACGCGTGACATCACAAACAAGTGAGAGGAAAGCTTTTTTTGACGCGTGCGCTTCGTAGTTCGCACACGCACACGCATACACACACACACACACTATCACACTCACGCGCGCGCGTGCAAGATTGAGATAAGATTATGCCGATGGACATTTGGACATTAGAGTCATTAAGTCGTTAATTGCCAATGAAGGTCCCCATCGAAGCCGATTCTCTGTTTAGGCAGTAGCGAGCGCGTGATGTTTTATTCACTGGTGCCGGAGTACGATAAAGCTTTGCCTTGACTTTCGTAATTGACGACACGCCTCGTCGATTTGTCTCGCCGTTATGAATTTCGTGAATTTTAAATACGTAGATCACTTGTGTACAGCCAGACGATTGGCAGCGCCTCTTCGTTGATTTTTCTTATCGAATTGGGCAATGAATTCTTGACCGAGCCTTATCGAGAAAACAATCACGCGCTAAACTATTGCTTTCCAAATAATTTTTTCTCGCGCTACATTCATTACGAGTGGCGTTAGATTTGGAAGGAGCCGGCTGAGAAATTTATCGATGATAAAAGAGTCTTAGTGGCAGAGTACACGCACATAATCAAAAACAAAGAAAGAATCAGTGAGGAATAACCCGAGCACCACTCGGCGTGACAGGACAAAAAAAAAAATATTTTCGGAAAACGAAGAATAAGGTCCCACACCCTCGATTTATCCGAGCCACGGTAAACTCACTGGCTCTTTTATTGGCCTTCAATTTCCGGGTCGCGCGCACTCGTAGCACGAATAAGAAAAGCTACAGCTTTTTCGCCCTCGGTATATCACCCTCGTGTGTATTACCTAATAACACACGATATCTGTATATACGCGAAGAAGAAAAGACCTAGCGGATCGTTCGTTTGCGCCCCGTTAATTTTAACGAAGCCTAAAGGCGCTCTCATGATTTTTCGCGCAGGCTGTGTGTCAGCTCAACGATCGATCAGTTACTCATTCCCTGTCTGCAGGTGAGTCGCAACTGGATGAAGGACAAGCCTTCTTTCCATGTAAGTACGCGCGCGTGTGTGTACTTGTGATTATTGAGCTACATAGAAGGGGGCAGGGATATGCGGAGTGGCTAGCCTCTTTTCACTCTTTTCGTAAAATAGATCGATAAATATTTAGAGAATGTCCTTTGCATATTTATGACTGCTTTGTGAATTAAAGGCGGGGCGTTTTCTTTTTCCCGTCACGTCGATCGATTTTAAAACACACCGCTCGATCGATTCGTCATTGTTGCGCAAAGGCCAATTAATCGCGCAAACTCCGCGCGAATTCGGTGGTTACGTATCCTCGGATCGTATTAAACGGTTTATCTCTCGCGTGCGCCACTAAAATTGGCCGTGGGTTTGTTTGCCGCGGAGCGCGAAAGAATTCAAAGTTTGTTATTCCATTCCTCCGGCTCTCGTAACGCGCGGCGTTGATTGAAAATAAGAGGGCAATCCGCTCAACCATGTGCACCACGCCCGCGTCAAAAACAAAAAAGGGAATGGAAAATGCATTTCTAAATCGCGCGACTGCGCGTTTCAGCCGCAACGCTAAAGGGAGTTGAAGCTGCAGGCGAATGCGAAAATACACGTAGAGGCAAGGACGCTCGCGGAAGCCGCAAATTAGTAACTAGACCGCTGACCCACATTACCCTCCGTGTCCATTCTCTCCGTTGCACGTGACGAGGGACGTATTGCAATTATAAAGAGTACGTGTAAGACGCATCGCGGATATTTCCACTTCAATGTCATTCATCCGATGGCGGAAGCGCGCTTCTATACGTATTCTACTGTCAAAATGGGTGTAATAAATTCATGAGTGTTCGCGTAACAGCGGCGAGCTGCTTAGCGACGAACGCGCGAATAAACATTTATAGGTATTCCGACTCGCCACTAACTGCCGAGAATTCCAGCAACAGCAATGAAAATAACAAAGTAGTCCAGGCTTTCGTGCGACATATTACACCACAAGTCTTCCTTTTATTCGCTATGCGCGCTCTTTCCCTGTCGACGGCAGGTACTTACTTTATCGATCGCTCGCTCGGCTCCAATGCACACACGTGCGCGCGGACACGTTGTGCCGCACGGTCATTGATCGTTATGTTAGCCTAACTATAAGTTTAAGTGGATAAGTAGTCACGCTCGATGTTAGATGGACAGGCTTGGCTCTAAGTACAAGTTAAATATTTAATAATCGCGCTCGAAAATCCTGAGTACAGTACAATTGTTTGAAAAATAAATATTACGAAAATAATGAGAATATTAAAAAATCTCACCCAACGATATGACATTTTTTTTCCATTTGATCATACCAAACATCATAAATCAACCCCTTGTAAAGTAAAGGGGTTCCCCAAAAATTGCATCCATACGAGATATAATTCTGTCTCGATGATGCGGATTGATTTAATGTCAAATGGTGTCAGCATCAGTACCCTCGCTAAACGCTCATTGAATACTATGCTCCCACTAGACAAGGATGTAAAGAGCGATGTCGAGGTGCTCGGCTATATGCTAGAACTGAGTTAACTCGTATGCGAGTGAAATTGCGACATCTGGTGGTCGCTTCGCGAAGCGGCTTTACCGTCGAAGGGCCCTTACGTGCGAGAATAAGGACCATGACTCAGACGCTGACGTTTATTTACTACTTCTTTTCTTTTTTCTACTGCACTCCCGTGTGCCATCGATCGTGCGGGATCGTCATTTCAGTTATGACGCTTTTTCTCCAATCACAGACTATGGAAAATAATCTAGCGCACATTTATCGCTGGGTAAATTAGCATTATGAAATGTAGTTTTTACTGGAGAGAAATACGGCGATGCGCGAACCTCTCTTTCTTGTTTTATTTCGAATACCACTCACGTTTCCGCGCCCAAATGCCAACGACAATAGCAGCTTTTCCGAGTGGACTTTGATGGATGCTATGATAAATGACCGTATGACCGTAACTCGGACGCGTGCGATTGCCATCATGCTCAGCTCACGTTTTCTGAAATTTCTGGACACATATTTTCTGATGATCGCGCTATGGTTTTGATGTTACAAATCATTCCTAGTTAATTTTGTGTAGCTAGAAAATTTGCCATAGAAAAATAGTGGAAACGACATCGCGGTAAATAGTTTTATTTAGCAAGTAATTAACGAATGGAGAACGTTGCATTAATCATTTGTCGGTGTATTTTTAGAAGACTGGCTTGAACGTGCTAACCTGATAGAAGGCATACCACTTTCGAATGTCGAAAACTCAAGTTACCTCGAGAAAAATTCTCCGCGACATGCTCAATATTTCATACAGACTGATAAGTCGCTGTGACGTTAATCAAGGAAAATGTGTTTTAAGTTAAGAAGCACGAAGGTTATGAGCATATTCGCGCTCGAACCCGCAGAACAGTGATCATGCGTTGTCGAGTCAGCCGTAAACGTTTAAAATGGGTAATAATAATTTTCGTGTTTGCATAATACAGTTGGCTCGATGGCACTGGGGATAAGGATAAGCTACTTGCGTAAGACCATCGGCTGGCAATGTTTACTTAAAATAAGAAACTGAAAATCGCATTTTTCTGTTGTTCTAAGTGGTGCTTCTAATGAAATTCTAATTTTCATGTTATTCTTGTTGCATTTAAATTCTTTGTCGTTAGTTATTCGGAAGTATTGAAAAATACACAACGGGTGAAACCATTGATTTGTATCTGTGCACCACGAGCATTATGAGGAAGGTTGCATCAAAGGATGTTAGGAGGTCAGTATTGTAAAGCAAACGTGAACGAGATTACGATGTGATGAAACGTCAGATAATAAACAGCAAATATGCCTGTGTTATTTTTTCGCAGGAAGTTCAATTATTTGCCTATACCTCGGTCGTTGCGTCGTTACATGTCATTTGGCGATTTACTCTCTGGCGTATGAATCATTTCGTCTATTTTTTTTCACACGTATACTTTGTGTCAGGGACTAGGACTTATGTCAGTTTTTTCCAATACAAGAAAACGACTTCTGTGAATGCAACATTGAAAGACACGATGAGAAAAACCAACAGCTCTATACGCGGTTTTCCATTTTCAATTTCAAAAAGCAGTATTCATACACAAATTTTACGAATGCCGTCGACACATAGACAGTACGCACATAACTTTTCCGACAGCAAATAACAATTACGTAAAGATATACTCGTATTTTCACGTGGTGCCCCCACCCGCATCCTTAATGTGTTGTTTATCTAGCATCTCAAATCTTGACTCATCGAGCTGTAGGTTGCTGTTTTTCATGCATCGAATTTACAATGCCTCTCGTCCCGGAAGTCCAAGTGAAAAAAAATCGTATCTCTTTTTTCCCACTAGTTGTACTCATCGCGGTGGCACGTACACGCACTGATTGATTGAGCTTTGTAAACAAGAAAATTTATTACAGGTACGACACCTATAGAAAAGTTGTGTATATAGTACAGCGAGCGATCTAGAGAAATAGTCATAGTCGGGCTCTCTCTCTCTCTCTCTCTCTCTCTCTCTCTCTCTCTCTCTCTCTCTCTCTCTTATCCCCCACCCCTCTCTCACTATTTCACGTGTCGACTGTGGACAAGCCATCAAGAGAGAAAGATAAGACTTGCGCGCGCTTTGTACACCCAAAAAAGGGTAGGGGAATCTCTTATCTACTTGACGTCTCCGACGCAGATTGCTCTACCGTTTTTTTTCTCGTTATGCCCCCCTTACCAGACCAGGTACAATACAGTTCGTGAGCACACGGCAGTTGCGAACCCGTGAACGTGCCGAGTGCTGCGAGTTTTTCACTATTCTTTCACGGTTTCTATGTGTGAACTTACTTTGCTTTTTTTCGACGTGATTGCTTCGTTTACTGCTGCGTAAAAACCAATGGGATACTGTGCGTCACATTGTCTGTGCTTTTTCTAAACAGGACATTTGAATAAACAAAGAAGGAAATATTGTTGTACGTAAGTTTTAACGAAAGATTTTCAGCATTGGCTTATCGCGGAAACCCCGTGTGCTTTAACTATTTAAAGACAAGAATAATTAAACTCGGTAAATATTCAACTAATGCACGATGCTTTTTCGATAAAACAATAGCGTCAGAAAAGAGCACGCGAGCGAGATTTTAATGGAAGTTAGCTGGCTTGCGTATACACACACACACATATATATATATATATATATATATATATATATATATATATATATATATATATATATCGAGAAAAAAGAATCAACCCTTATTAGAGGCGGCCGCTCGGGTAAGTGAACCAAAAAGGATGAACTTTGAATGACACGAGTCGATGCCCTACACGCTCTCCCGAGCTTTTCTTATATAGACATTCGCTCATTGTTAGAAGCGCGTGGTTAGCACGTGAGCCGGCTAAAGCCTAACCCAAGGTATGCTTCAGTTGTTGTACGCGGTTCTATATATACGTATATGTAGAAGTTATTTTCTCCTTCCTTTTTTTCTTCTGTCTTTTACTTTTGGAGTTGATAAGGTAAAAGTGCTCGTGATTTTTTATTGACTAAGCGAATTATAAATTTTTTCCTACTCTCCAAGCTGATTGGTTTTTTAATTCTTTCGCTCGACAGTCAAGAAATTTTTGTCCATTTGGAAAAATTTAAACGACTGCGCAATGTTTCGTCATGATTATTGTACATTTCAATTAATTTGCTTCTTCAACTAAGTATTTCAAGTTGCTACTTTATCTCGCTTGATCGCGTGTGAAAGATAAGGCAGCACACAGAGTTAAGAGAACAATTTATGTAATAATCAGCGCCATCTTGATTAATAAGTCAAGGAGGTAAATGTAAATGTGCGACCTGTTATATTTGTGTTAATTTTCCGTTGCCAAGTTTTTCACTCATCCGTTGACAAAATAGACAACGAAAATGTTATTTTTGTTATCTGTCGTTGTTTTATAAACTGGCCTCTTCGTTGTTACAGTTGATCGAGGTATCATTTTTGTAAGTAGTGAAATCACAATTACTCGCGCTTTCTCCACTTTGTAGATCGATTTTTACACTGTTATATGATTATCGTTCATTATTCATTGCTTGTTTTTGATACGAAGTAATTTATATAAACTCGCGGGGCATTTTTTTGCTTCAATCAATTGCCGTTGTTCTTTTGCTTTTCTGAAAAGTTCCATTCGGATTTAATTCAAATTTTGTTGAACAGCGTCACCGTGACATTAATAAAACATACAAAAAATTGAGAAAAGGTAGAAAAAATCAATGCAGGAATGTTAATAAACTTTTTTAGACCACCGTAGATAAGATTATACCGAACAAGATACAGAATGTCGGTCGACAGAACTACACGGTCGTTATCTTGTAAAGCGCCGTTAATTTTTAAATAATGACGAATCCTTGAAACGGTAATAAACTTATTTAACGCATGAATATGATGAAGTTTGCGACAAAAGATGATTCGATAATAATAACATTGAATTATAATCAGATTTCTATTCTTTACTTTATTAGCTAACTTTAAATTACTTCTTTGTGCATTCAAACTCCACACAGTAGTATTAATATAGAATAGCCAAAAATAGTTTGTGATTAAAATTAATAATAGAATAAATAGAGTAGCGACAGGAAAAGAGTCACATGCGTGCACTCGCGAATAAGCAGTGCGTGACAGATTCAATGACCGTAGTTTATCCGATTAGATGATTTGTGGCATGACTTGAAAAAAACATTCTTTTCTTTCTTTTTTTTTCATTGTAGCAGATCACATGGCTGGTTAAAAAACGTCAGGTGATGAAATATTACTGGTTCTCAGAATATTCAATTGTTGCAGCGGAAAGTTAATTTTTTCAACAACATTTTTCAATCGAAGCTCATTCTCACTTATTTATACCTTTTTATTGAATTCATAAGTCTATTGATCGATCCAGAAATATGAAGTTTTTCTTCAAATAAATTATACACGCAGTTCTATGAAAAAAGAAATACGGAGAAGACTTTCAAAGTCAACACTACAATCAGATCGCTCATAAATCAAAAAGCCCGTTTCAATTCGATCGGCAAACAGCGCAAAGAATATACGACTGAAAATGTGAAAAATTCAAGCAAACAATTGTGAATTGCAGGGGTAGCAAGTGAAAAAAAAAGCGCTGAACGCCCTCGACGAAGATGGGGGCGATGTTCAGAAGCGAAGAGATGGCCTTGTGCCAGCTGTTCATTCAGCCAGAAGCAGCTTATCTCTCGGTCTCAGAGCTTGGCGAGACCGGCACCGTTCAATTTCGCGACGTAAGTATCTGCGCGTCGATTTATTTTTTTCTGCTCAGCCGTCTCATATGGCCAATGTCAATCTTGAAATATAATCTTTTTTCACAGCTCAACGGCGATGTCAATTACTTCCAACGGAAGTTCGTTAACGAGGTGCGTCGTTGCGATGAAATGGAAAGAAAACTTAGGTACATCGAAGCCGAAGTGAAAAAGGACAATGTGCCTATCGAGGATAACCTTAGCGAGTTGCCTCGAGCACCTAATCCTCGCGAAATTATTGATCTCGAGGTAATCGAACTTTCAATTATTGATTGGAATTAAGTTTATTCCCCTCACATACACGTATTTTCGGGGCTTTTTCGTATTGCTTTTTTCACATTACTAAAATTTCAATGAATACAGGCGAGAATAGAGAAGACAGAGCACGACATCCTGGAGTTGAGTCAAAATGCGGTAAACCTGAAGAGCAATTATTTGGAACTAATGGAGTTGCGCCATGTACTGGAGAAAACCCAGGTGTTCTTTACGGAGGTAGTTAATTGTATTTCGGCAACTTGTAAATACGAGTGAATCACCATCGTATAATCGGTGCTCACGTTTTGTCGAAGAATCAAGGTTCGTTCCTTCTGTATCAACAGGAAGAGGCCAACGACTCGATCACTCGTGCTCTTATCAACGAGGAGATGCAGAATACCAGTCAGCGTGGACGTCTTGAGTAAGTTGCCGTTCTGTGACGAGCAGAATACTGCAGCTCTCTGTCTATAATGCTTTTTGGTTTTTATACATGAAAATAAATGATTTTTATAATTTCTATGTGATTATAAAAATCAAATAGTTGAATAGACAGAGAGTAGAAAAGGAATATGCATCAATAAACTGGAGGAAAGGCTCAATTGCGAGATCAGCCAGAGGACAACGATTGGACTGGATTTCAGAGGGAAACAGTAAGCTTTTGAAGCAATCTCGTAAGTTTGGTCTTCCTTCATTTCCAGATTCGTTGCTGGAGTGATCAATCGCGAGCGTATGCCAGCATTCGAACGTATGTTATGGCGTATTTCGCGTGGTAATGTCTTCCTGCGTCAGGCAAGTTTGGAAAAACCGCTTGAGGATCCGAACACGGTATGTCGAAAATTTTAATTTACCAAAAAAACGAACATTATCACCTAGGGATGTTTTTACAGGGAAACGAAATCTTCAAAACTGCCTTTGTAGCCTTTTTCCAAGGTGAACAATTAAAAAGTCGTATCAAAAAAGTTTGCAGTGGATTCCACGCCTCCTTATATCCTTGTCCTAACAGTCACTCTGAGCGTATGGAAATGCTCAAAGGAGTGAGGACTCGACTTGAGGATCTCAATTTAGTAAGCGTTTCGGAAAATTCAATTTTAACATAGTATATACATGATTTATTTTCAACGGAATATCTCTTAGGTATTGAATCAAACTCATGATCACCGTCAACGCGTACTTCATAGCGTTGCCAAGGAGTTGCCAAACTGGACTATTATGGTGCGAAAGATGAAAGCAATTTACCACACAATGAATTTGTTCAACATGGATGTATCGAAAAAGTGTCTTATCGGAGAGTGTTGGGTTCCCATGTCTGATCTCACTGTTGTGCAACATTGCTTGACTGAAGGATCGGTAAGTCTAGTAAATATTTGTGATTCAATTACAAAAAACACGTTGAAAATTTTTTTGTTACTTCAGCGTCTTTGCGGTAACTCCATTCCTTCGTTCCTTAACGTGATTCACACCGATGAGGATCCTCCTACTTTTAATCGAACAAATAAGTTCACAAGAGGTTTTCAAAATCTCATCGATGCCTATGGTATTGCTTCTTATCGCGAAGCTAATCCAGCGCTCTACACCATTGTGACCTTCCCATTTTTGTTTGCTATTATGTTTGGTGATGCTGGTCACGGTAAGAAAAGATCTCTTGATATTCTTACGTGAACATAGATATTTCAAACAATATGTATACTACGGTAGGCCTCATAATACTGTTGTTCGGTGCCTATATGGTTATCTGGGAGAAGAAATTGCAAGCGCAAAAGTCGAACAACGAAATATGGAATATTTTCTTTGGTGGTCGCTACATCATTTTGCTCATGGGCATGTTTTCCATATATACGGGAATCATTTACAATGACGTATTTTCCAAATCCATAAGGGCCTACATCCCTTCATCTTGGATTGTTCCGAAGGATATAACATTCAAAGATATACAAACTCATAAGATTATACTTGATCCTAAAAGCTATTACAGAGGCGATCCTTACCCAATTGGCATGGATCCAATTTGGATGTTCGCTGATAACAAAATTATATTCCTCAACTCTTACAAAATGAAACTTTCCATCATATTTGGAGTTGTGCATATGATATTTGGAGTTTGTATGAACGTTGTCAATATATTGTAAGTTTTGGTATTTCAATTTTCGAAGGAATAGTTAATTCAGAAATGGCCTAATTTTTTTCAGTCATTTCAAAAAATATGCTAGCTTTTTTCTCGAGTTTCTACCCCAATTAATCTTCTTGGTGCTCTTATTTGCGTATTTGGTGACACTGATGTTCACAAAATGGATACTGTATAGTAGAATGAATGAAGGTGAGTTATCATTTTTTTCATTTTTTAGAAATATTATTAGAATTTTACGAATATTTACATATTTGTTCACTTTAAAGGGGTTTGGAGTGAAAGTTGCGCTCCATCTATCCTGGTAATCTTCATCAATATGATGATCTTTCAAGAGAACAAAGCACTTAAAGGATGTCGTTCAAATATATTTAATCATCAGGAATTAATGCAAAAAATTTTCGTATTCGTTGCATTAGCATGTATACCAATAATGCTACTTGGAAAACCGCTCTACATACTTTGCATTAAAAAAAGCAATAAAGGAAAGGTTTATGTGAGTGATCAATACAATACGGGCAATTAAAATGCTTTCTAAAACTATAAGTGATTTCCAAAAAAAATTTGTAGACAAATGGATCAGCCGGTTCCCAAGACATCGAGTTACAAACTAGTAATGGCGCAACAAGCCAAAGCGTAGCAGCAGCGAATAGTAACGACGGTGGCCACGACAGCCACGACGATGCGTTTGGCGAAGTCATGATCCATCAAGTGATCCACACAATTGAGTACGTGCTGTCGACAATATCACACACTGCCTCATATTTGCGTCTTTGGGCCTTGTCTCTTGCTCATGCCCAATTGTCCGAGGTTTTGTGGACTATGGTGTTACACTTCGGATTGGGCGCCAATGATGGCGAGTACGTCAAGGCTGTGGTCCTCTTTTTCATTTTTGGCGCATGGGCATTCTTTACGCTAGCTATACTTGTTATGATGGAAGGATTGTCAGCTTTCCTTCACACACTTCGCCTTCACTGGTAAGATATTGTTCAATGATTGGTACACCTTTTATTTTTTGTCAAAGACCTATTAATAAACTCAATTGGTTTGATCAATTCTATTTGAAGGGTTGAATTCATGAGCAAGTTTTACGTTGGCCAAGGATATGCTTTCCAACCGTTCTGTCTGAAGAATATTCTTGATACAGAAGATACAGTAGAGCAGGAATAAAAAAAGAGAATAAATAAAAAGAACAAACTCGCGTCTTCTCGTCGTCGTTACGCTCATAGACGAGACTTCAATATTTCATTCGCGAAAGGTCTTTGTGCATTCGACGGACGTACGCGCAACACGTGTGTGCTTATTTGACTTGAGACTGACTGCTTTTTTTCAACTCCTCCGATCAGTGTTCTGTATAATATTCTTGACTTTTCATGCTGAGAATTATTCACCGGTAGCTTTATCGTTTCATAGAAAATCGTAATTACAATGATTGTCAAGCACAAATATATCTAGATAATTTACTTAGCTGATATTATTTGATTTTTACGACTTTTACAAATGTTATTTGACTTGTAAGATTGACGCGTTTATGGAGATTTTTCGCAGAATTTTTTTTCGTAAAAACTATAATTGTCGTCAATGTGTAACTACGTATGTGAAATGTTAACTGTGCGAGGACAGTCTACGTAAATGTATAATATTGCAGAATTGTATTTTTATATTATTAACGTACAAGTTTCAAGAAATGAGCTGAATGTTTGTTGGCCATTTTTTTATAAGATAAGTGCGTATAAAACAAGAACTTGTTGTGTACACTTCATTGAATGCACTATCGATTGAGAAATGAAATTATACTAGACCACGTATTTTCTTATAATGTATATTCTTATATTCCATGCTTGCGATATATGATGCTTCGATGAAAGAATGACCAAAGATGAAGGACCAAATTTTTTTTTTCAGTACATTATAAAAGAAATGGACAATAAAGAACATCTATTTGAATAAAAAATCTTAAATCTCTAGCTTTATTTTCGGAATGCATATTTGTGATAGCACAGCAAACATTTTTTAAGTTTGTAATTTCAAGCGGAAAAATGATTGATCACCCCGCCCCCAAAAGTTTCCATGTGTGGTGTTTATTCGTCATAGTTCGTGGGCGCACAAAACGTGAACGTTTCTGTGATCAATTAACTAAGTGCGATTTAGCACCGCGATTTAGCTAAATACTCGGAATCGTCAGTAGATCTTAAACTATATCGACCTCCATCGCGATGAAAATCTTGGTAGTCACGAATGAGGCCGTGCGCACGCAAATCAAATGCACCACACACGATTTTAGTATACCATTCGATCATTATTTTACGAAAAGTCGACATTTTTTTTCTTAATTGGATTTGTCTTTATTATACGCGATAAGCAGAACAATGAAAGTGTCAAAACTAAATAATTTTTCTTTGTTTCGCAATGAAATTAATCATGTTTGCGTTTAATTTATCAGATTGTAAAGCAAAAGCTTACCGTTAATTTTAATTGCTGAGCGGTTACTCAACTCCGAGTGACCGAGAAACCAATCAAGTTTTACTGTACCCAAACGATTCGATGTCTCCCGATAAAATTTTGCTCGCGGTCATTTATCTGGCTGACTGTATCTCTCTTTCTCTCTCTTCCTTTCAAGCGCATTTAGGATTGCGCTTTGCACGCGCAGCATCTGTATCTGTTGCACTGACACGCGCAGTGAAATGTGAAATTGATTTGAATAAATATAAGAAGAAATACTATATAAAGTTCTTACTGCGTAGCAAAAGTGCGTGAGTTTATGCTTGTAAGACTGAAAAGGAGAGTATCAATTTTTCGGTCGGGAGCAGCAAACGGAATTGAAGTGAAAAATGGAGCAATTAGTGCCGCAAAGCTCGTGGATAGAGAGCGCGCGAAAATATGCACCGTAAAATTTGTCCGTCTGGCGTTAAATCGCCGGCGCGCATTAATCGATATTCCGCCCAATCTAGCATCGAAGCCCGTTTCCGCTTTTACGCGCCTCTGCTCAATTTGGCATCTATGCTGCGCGCGAGCCCGATACGCGCTTGCGTACGCACATCTGTCCGACACAACCGAAAGCGTATTCCGATCGCTTTACGTAGCATTTATGTGCTCGATTGATAGATTGCCGTTTGATTGTCAGGCCGTCGCTCGCAGACCGATCCGCGATTGCGGCCGAGTCGGAAGTGACGATCGACGTCGAAGAATGCGAACGCGGCGCGACGCCTCGCCGTACCTTGAGCGAAAGAGCGACGTTGGCATGCAGCTCGCAAGGAAGGCAAGAACGATCGCGGAGAGAGAGAGAGCGCTCGCCGGTTATAATGAGATTGGCGACGCGGCGCGTTCGAGAGAAAACGTAAAGAGGTCGTTCCCTTCGCAAAACCAGTTTGCGCGTGTGCGCCGCGCTCGCGTACCGTGCCCGCGGCTCTGGCGGAATCTTCCGAACGACAACAAAAGAGGCCAAACGAACGAAGCGACGAATCCGTCATTAAGAGGTCCGATGCAGCTCGTCGAGCTGAATCTGCTGAATCGTCGCATTAAGATCGCTCGAGCGTTACAAATGAGAACGATCGCGCTTGCAACGCGCGTTGCATATGTGCAGCCTGCGTGCAAGCTAAATCCAGTGAGCTCGTACAGCAGGAAGTAACTGCCTCGACTAGACAAAAAGCCCCTAAGGAAGAACGAAGAAGAGGAGGAAGGAAGGGGAGTTTGCGCGGCGAATTCAAGCTTGCGCGCGCAACGTTTGTCCAAAGCCGGCACCAAGAGAGAGAGAGGAGAGACTGCGAGCACCTCCTCTTTCTCTCTCTCTCTCTCTCTCTCTTTCTCTCTTCCCGCGGCAGTAGTCTCGCGCCTGTCGCAGCAACAGCAGGCCAGGACAACACGCGCCAACAACCGTCAAGCGTCGAGCCTCATATGGCTGGAACAGCATCAGGTAAGCTTTTGCTTTTACTACCATCGTCGATCTCATTCGTTTACCACCTTCTGCCGAACTTTCCTCGTTGCCCAATGGCTTGCGTATGTTACTCGCTTTTACTCGTCATTTCGTATAGATTGCAGTTTTTTTTCACGTCTCCTTGGAACTTCAACGTGATTTTGATATTGTGACAGCTGTAAACGGTTCACGAAGCTCCGCCTATTTCAATTTCGTGCCGTAAGATTATTCAACGGAAGTGGCTGACGCTCACTCTGACTAGAAAAACGTGAAAGAAAACTTTCGATTTTAGCTTGTCCACGTAACATGCATTTTCGATTCTCCCAAACAATCGCATTCGAAAACGTCACAGAACTAAATATCTCTTACTTTATTCATTACGTTATTTTTTATTTATTTTTTTTTTTTGTAGTGAGATACCGTCACCGCATAAAAACATTCAACGAAGTCACCATATCGAACAGGTATACACATATACAATATCCCAAAGGAAAAACCGCAAGGCATATCGTCGGCCCAACGCGCGCGTACAATGTACATCGTTCGTGCAGGCTGTGCATACCGAAAGCGTCAAAAGAGCCTTCGAACACACTCTGAGCTCACCGCACACCGCGAATTGCGAAATGAAAAAGTTACGCGCTACATACAGACACACGTGGCTTAAAGCGCCGGTTCACCTCATAAAAGTCTCGTTACGCGCAGTTACACGAGCATACCGAGGATTTATCATATCACTGCGTCGAGTGAGAACCCGAATTCCTCTCTCTCCCGTCCCTCCCCCGCCCACTACGCCGCTATCTCACTTACTCGAGGATTGTTTTGCCTTTATTTTTTTATTCGTTGTTTTATAGTCATCGGTATTTATTACGTACTTCCGTGACTTTTTTCATCGTGCATTGCTCCTTTCTTGCCGCGCGAAGAGCAACGGCTATCGGTTTCGCTTATCTGAGTAAAATGTATTTCTTTTCTTTTATTTTTCTTTGCTCTTCCTCTCAACTCCTCGTCTGTTCGTGTGTGTACTTTCGCATTAACGCTAGTTTTACCTTGTGTATGTTTGACTTGCGACCGATAATAAGAGTTTTATCATTTGAGCTCGGGAGCGTTAAGAAAAATCATTTTTTAATTTGTAATATCTTCTTATCATTCTTCAATGCTCTGAGATTCGGTTTGCATCTGGCACCTTGAAACTGGAGCAAGCATTTCTAGAATTTGTCAAAACAACTTTGCTAAATTATCAAGAATGGGCGTAAGATTAAAATTAAGCAGCTTTAGCCAGATAGCCTTAAACATATGTGTCTGATAAGTCAATTAGCTTCGTCGTTTCACTTTTTTCCAGCAACCGGGCATAACTTTTATCTATGATCGAATCATATCATGCAAAAATAAAAATAAGAGAATACTCGTGGTACCTCCCGTTGATAATGCAGGCTCTCTGATCTATCCACTGTCGGCTGTAAATCTCTCGTCAGAAAGCTTTTTCGCGCGCCCTTTTCATTTTACACTGACGGATTCATTAAAACTGGGCATACGAACTTTGGGCGCCGTCAAACTATTAATCAAGTGGTCGCGCGCGTCTCGTCCTGGCAAATTCATCTTTTGTTTTGCTTCCGCACAACAGATCGAGGGAAAAGCCTCTCAAACGGTTGCGCGCTCATAGCGAAGTTTGTCGTGTGACTCCCGCAACTTTTTCCATTAGCCAATAGCGATGAAATGGACAAGGAGAGGGCGGGCTGGAAGGGTTTTCATGCGGAAAATCAAGTCCACGATCGCCAGCCGCCAATATGCAGTTACGCACGAGAGAGAGAGAGAGAGTTACTCTCTCAAGTTGTGCAGAATATATATAAAGCTATTTACGGGTCTCGAGTGAAGCTTGACATGTGCAAAAAATAATTCATCTTACTTTTATTCAAAATACTTTTATAAAAATAATTTTTTCTATAATACGTATCTAAAAATTGCTTCAACAGCTATTCCTTGAATCCTTCTTTTGCTATCCACAGTGCACATTTATGTATTAAACTTTCACAATAAGAGGAGCACTTTTATCTTTTACTATATCGATAGGAAAACTTTCATAATTTAGCACTCTGCATTATTAAAAAAGGTATACTGTGTATAGAGGCACAGTGATACGACTTTCAATTGGTTTGACTCGTAGAGATGAGAGAATCTGTGTAAAAGATTGGCATTTTTCTAATCTAATTATCCTTATAAGTGTATCTGAAAATGAATGACCTAGAGTGCTTACATAATTTTCCACGCACAATCTGAGCAGAGAACTCTCGGAGAGAGAGAGAGAGACAGTTCTCGCTGAAAATAACACATCGTTGACCATACGCATACAACGGACCGAACTTATTTTTGGACACTTCAAAATTGTTCGGCTCTCGCAACGTTTGCGAATACGCACATCTCCTTTCGATTAAATATTATTAAAATTACGTGCGAAATCGAACGGAAGATGCGCCACAGCAAAAACACATTCCCATCGGCAATCGTAACTTTCGCGTTCTACAGGTCCTCGGCGCGTGCAAATAAAAAGTTTAATTAATTTCCTTTACATTGCAACAGCGGCCACCTTCGCGCGGTAAAGGAAAAAAGAAGATGAGCGTGCACACGACGGTTCCGAGGAGCAAAGAGCAGCGCGCGCTGAGTCATCTAGAGTAATCCATTAGAGCGACTATCATAGCCTTTCAATCATTATTTTGATTTATATCCGTTACGCGTACGTAGACTGGCGCGCGCTCTCCAGTAATCAGCGATCATTGATCAACTGGCAACAGCAACACTTTTTCCCTGGCACCGTGGTGCACGCGCGGTGCCGTGCTGTGCGGAAAATACACGAATACAACTCGCGAGCACGCAATTTAATCGTCGCTAACTTACAATTAAGTTCTTTAACCGACGTCCGTTGCATTATTTATTTTGCCTAGGTCGCTCGGTTAGAAAACAAGTATAATTATATCAGACAAGTGACACGTAACACAGGTATGTACATCTACAAAGTGTATGTACGCCCGTCGAGCTTGATCCTTTCTAACGTCATCATGCCCAGCAAGATCTCTTCTTACAGGCGTGTACAGAGAAGGCAGTTTGTCAACACTTTTGAAATCCTTTGTCGTCGCCGACCTTCTGCATAGCCACTTCGTAAGGTCTCTTATCCCTGACTCTACGGTTGAAGCACGACGCAAAGGCAGTGTCGCCTTTGCCGAAGTTTTCGCCATCCTCGAGCGTCTCGGGCATGGGCTGATTTAGCGTTTCAGGCAGGTACAGCGCTAAGAAACCAGCCAGCAGCGCTATAAAACCGAAGACTGTGGCAGGCACCTTGGGATTGAAGGAGTCCAACAGCATGATCATCGGGGTGAGGGCGCCACTTAGACGAGCGCACATGGAACCCACGCCGAGCGCGGTGTTCCGCAGAACGGTCGGGAATAGTTCGGCAGTGTAATTGTAGATGATGGCGAAAGATCCGGCGATGCAGGCTTTGCCAAAGAGAACGATAGAGACGATGGTGGTAGCGCCACCGGCAACGTCCTTGGGAAGAGCCGTCGCGCCGATGCAACAGATACCGCCGATGAGCATGAGGGTACTGATGAGACTGCGCCTACCAGTGCGATCCATCACGACGCACACGAAGATGTAGCTTGGTACCTCGACCAGACCGCTCAGGAACATCATAAGGTACGGGTTGCCCACGAGATTACCGGTGTTCAATGACAGCCCGTAGTAGACGATTGAGTTGGCGAACCAGTTAAGGCACACGTTCAGCGTTTTCATACGCAAGTTCGGCGTCTTCAGCAGATCCGTCGCGTCGTGAGAGGCTTCGTCCTCCTCGGATGTAATCGTCTTGACTTTGGTGGTGTACTTCTCTACCTCGAGACGCACTTTGCTGCGGTTCATCTTCAGTGCTTTCTGCACGATTACCAGGGCTTCGCCTACTCGACCTTGTGCCCACAGCCACCTCGGCGATTCGTCCATGAGCCACCAGTGACCGAGCAGAGCAGCACTGTGCAGTCCGTAGACGATTTGTAGCCAGAAGCGATCGTGAATCACCGAGCCCCACGCGGCTACCAGCATGAAACCAACGGCAAAGGCCAGCTGGAACATCAATCCGCAGACGGTTCGTCGGGACGCGCCGACCAGCTCCATAGTCAGAACGAAACCAGTTATGTAGGCACCAGCCGAGCCGAATATTCCGTACAAGAATCTGACGATCAGGAAAGTGTAGTACTCCGGGATAAAGGCTACCGAAACTCCGAGGATCAGCTGCGCCACCGACGACACGTAGAAGATGATCTTGCGGCCGTATTTATCGGCCATGCTGCCCAGAGTCACCGCTCCAGCGAACACGCCGAACATGTATGCTGATTGTGCAATGGCACCCATCCATCTTCGAGTACACACCATGTTCCACTCGATGGCTCTCGAACTTGGAAAGTAAGTAGGGTCGTAGGACCACTTATCGCAGCTATGCGATACGTTATTCAAGTCGGTGAACGAGCAGCTATCGACCGTCAAGGTTGAGTTCGAAAATTCTTCCGGTATCTCGCACTGATGATCCGGTACAGCGGCGACGGTCACCAATGTGAGCATATGTAGACCAGCGGTCAACGCGCCGATCACGTGCAGACCGAATTGCCAGCCTTGATATCGTCCAAATTCACCGAGGTGAGACATCACCTCTTCCAGATCGTTGTCCACGTTCGACATCGTGTTACGATTTATCGATATCTGGAAGATTTCGTCAAAACATTAGTTTGAATGATAGCTTTTTGATGGATTTTTCGCTACGATATCATATGTTTTTGTGCTATACGACACCGCGCAACCTCGTTTTCTCGATGATTCTAATTTATTGGCGTGAAGTTCTGACAGTATTTGTAAAATATCTTTTTGACACTCGCAGATCGTTAACGTGCTACGAGTTGTCGCGTACCAGGAAGTTTCCATAAGAAACCGCGAAAATGCAACTCTCAAAGTATTTTGGAATTGAGAGAATATGTTTGTTTTTGTTCATTCTAAAATTAACAACGGAAGCTGTCTATTTCTGTTAGCTTACTTGAATGATTTGGTTTCTGCATGCGCATGTAAAACAAAGGAAAAAATCCGAGTGCGCACTCGATGTTCAGATATACACTCGCGGATTGTTCAGTTTTTAATACGCGTAATCCGGTCGCGTGCGAAACCTTCAAAATGAAAAAGAAAAAAAAACAAAATAGAAAATAAAAGAACACCGATCGCGGATACAAGAGTAAATCCAAACTTGTGACTCACCACGTAATAGAGAAGCCTTTGACAATGAAGCTTAAAATGGAAAAAAAGCGACAAAAACAGTCCGATGCGTCCGTTCTCGCGGGAGCTTCTTCGTCGACTGCGTATACTGCTAGCTGTCCGTTCTCAAACGATGATGGTCAGTGTAGTGGCCGATTGGATTTTTTGGCGGCTATGCGCTGCTTCGACTGCTGCTGGCGCGCCTTGCCATCATCATCACCTACGAACGAGTTAGCAAAGTTTGTTTTCTGCTTTTCTCGAAGGTTAACCACTCACGTGTGCCTTTGCTTTCGTTTCTCACACTACCTACAGACGTTCATTTGACACTGCATCTCTTTGTTCGAACGGCAGATAGTATTTTTTTTTTTTTTTTTTTTCATTCAAAATTCAGTTTTCTTTCAAAACGGATGTTTCGTAATTTTGCGCTGTGATCATTTTATATCCGCGAAGGCCATTAATTCATCCTGTACGCGAATAAGAGAAAGACGATAAGCCATCAGATAAATAAAAATTAAAAATAAATACGTTTGAAAAATTTCGTCGAACAAGTGATGATTGCTTGTGCAACAAATGCCACATACGATTCTGAGCACCTATCGAGATTCATGTATAAGAGAGAGAGAGAGAGAGAGGGAGACAGGGAGAGAAATCAGTAGTCGACGAGCACCTCGTTATCATTGAATTCGTTTTGTAACTGGCTGTGCTGTTTTATCAACTTATTGCGTAAAATGCTTAAAGCTCTGCGGTTACTTAACAATGAACTAACGCACTCGTGCACAATGCGTAAGTATCGGAGGTGCGTTCCAAATTCGTTAAGATCCATTATGTAAGCTTTTATTTATTGCAAAAAATTAACGGAAGAAAAAGAAAAGCAATAACAATATCCTCGATCGCGCGGGTATTGTTTAGCGCGCCCGGAAGGCCAGAGAAGTCACGTATAATGGTGCATAATTTTACCAAGTCCGATTATTCTTAGCTAACTAATACATTAGGTCGACTCTCAAACTGTATCACTACTTATCTACCTGGCACTGTTTTCGCTGACGAGTACATTATATTGAAATTATCGTGCCTCACAACTTCGACTATCGATACACGTCAATTATAAAATCATCATTTCATTATTACATTTCGAAGGTCGAGGACAGAGAGATGATTCTCTATTGTCAATGTAATGTATGCAACCATAAAATTGAAGCGTTATTCAAATCGACGTCAAACTGGCTTCGCGAATAGAATTGATTTAAGAAATGAGCATTTGTACTTGGTAAGTGATAATTAGCATTTTACGCATGGATTTAGCGTCAAGGTAGAGTGTGAGAAACGAACGTTATTTTAGAAGTACGCTGAAGTAAAGAAAAGAAAAGTGTTATAAATAATCGCGAATGTTCTGTGGAGCACAGTGAAATCTATCGCGCTGAAGAAAAAAGCGCTTCGGGTATATTAACAGCCTCGAGCGATAGCAATAACATATTTGTCTCTCACGATATCACGTCGAAGTGTTGCCACGCTTGCGGAACTTCCTGACCGATAGCTTATTGGATAGAGAATTGAGCTACCGTAGCTCTGACACTTTTCATCTCTGGACGCGTACTGACCACTCGGCGAAATTGAGCCAAGGCACACAGAGTGTAATTGCGCGCGCGCAATTAACGCATTGCTGCACTTCGGCCTATTTTTTTTCTCTCGATTGTCCAAGGATGATGATGGATCATTTGCAATGGACTTTTTTGCTCGCTCGACACACTGTATTACGCTTCAGCTTTTATAGCTAGTGAAAGTCTGCTTGTCAACGACAAGAAACTTAGTATACAATGTATTATACGGGTTTTTTTTCTTAATGCATTCTTTCACGCAGATATTCCAAGCTCAAGCGTTTAAAAATATATATTGTGGGCAAATCTATCGAGGACCAGCTCTTCTAAAATCACTGTTTCTCTTATTGCATGAAAAAAATGAATACTAATAAGATCATATAATCAACGAATATTTAAAAATATGATGATAATAAGTCGAGTATTGAATACGTGTATATAAGTTAAATACTCCGTATTAGCGAAAATTGCTGAGTTGGCATTCATTTCAGTCGGAACAATCAGATTTGAAGAAACTATTTATAAGATTATTTAATTTTGTTATAAACGTGCGTGAAATTAAATAGCAAGTTTTGTTTTAGTGTATTTCGCTAAAAACTGAAATAAGATTTTGTTCGGTTTGTTTTCCACGGAAAATGACTTTTACCGAATTCACAAAAGACTAACGCTTAGAAAATTGACTCAAGAATGGAACTGGCAAAAGAAAATATCGTTTTCGCCAACTGTACTGCACGAGCAATTGCCGCAGATGCACCCAGGAAACCCACTAATTGCTGGACGTTAACATCGTCAATTTTCGTATTGTCGTCTGTATCCGCGCGCGTACTTGGGTGCCAAGAAATAGACGTCGCGCTTATCGTGCGTTTGACCCTCAGGACTCGCCCACGCCGCGCGCATCGTCTTTCCTTACACGTATTTATCTGTCGCGCGCATCTCTCTCGCTCTCTCACTTGCAAAAACGCATCCGTCCGCCAAGTCGAATTGTACCAGCGAGTTGCGAGCTTTACTATTTTTATGCGCTTTACCTTCGATCACACATCTGCGATATCAGAAAATTTAGCTTTGCACGCGCTTCGTCGAACACACTATCTATGCCAATGTACGTGCCCGTGTTTCTGGCGTAACAAAAAAAATGTTCGTTCAGTGGCTTATCAATCGACAGTCGTACGTATATCTACAAATGCGCGCAGACTTCGTTGAAAATCCTATTTTTAATTTGTAGGTTGTGCTCGCGCCGTTTCCTCCTCTCGCAGAAAGAGAGAGAGAGAGACTGGTTTAAGCGGCGAGCTGCAGCGCGTGGTATTGATTTTTATTTAGCCCTCACGTATTTCGGGAGTCGTCAGGCGCGCTCGCAAAATGCTAGGAGAACTAATATCCAGATGCAACAACTCACGGAGATCGGCCAACGAAGCGAGTGGCGTAGAGAGATCAGCCGAGATCGGGGATGTAGCGTATCGGAGAGCACGTGCGCGCACCGATTCTCAGACTGCACTGCTCCGGTGGCGCCCCGAAAGACGCGACCGAAGTCGCACACGGCGTTCCCGTTTCATTTTTGCAAAAAAAGAGAAAAAGAGTCATAGAGCGCTGCTGCTGCCGCCACATCACACTCGACTCTCCCTCTCTCTCTCCCTCTCGACTCTTCAACTTTGTGTGCATTCGCACGGGCAAAGAGGCAAGAGAATTATACTACTGGGACATTGAACTTGCGTTTGTAAGCTGCTGCTGCCGTTTCGAGCGATATTCGGCGAACGTCTTTACCTTTCCGAAGGCCTTGCCAACCAGTGTAAAATAATACAGCGTTATGCAGAGGAAGAGCGAGCTCACTAGCTTGGGTTTTAGCAGTATTACTTTTGACAGCCTCGTCAGAAAATGCGACAATGAAAAGTATCGGAAACTCGCTCTTGGCAATCGTTATCTACGAGTTTCGAAAATAGTACAGCAATGGCACACTTTTGCACCGATCATCAGGCCGTATTAATCAAACAATTGCCAAAGTCGGAACGCCAAGCTAGACAAGCACTTTGCCTCTTCTGCACCTGTATTGTGCGATTGAGTGTGGTTGCGCACCCTGTCCAGGAGTCGAGATGTTTGCGAACCAGTGGCATTATAGTAACGGGGCTGATTACGTCAGCAGAGGGCGACCTAGGCGTTGCCGCAGTTTAGTGTACCTGAAATGTCGAGGCTGTGACGCGTCCGTGTATGTGTGTGTTTGGGACTGCATCTTCCTTCCTAGCATACCAGAGTTGATGTCCACGGGTAAGCGAGAGTTTTTTTTAAATGGCCATTTACCACGTACATGTATGTACAGGCTCAGCGAGCCTCTAACAGCATCCCGCGTCTTAGCTCTTTCTCTCTATCTATTATAAATTATTACAAGAGTAGTACTTAAACGGCTTTTCTCCACTTATGACTGGGATTTTTATGCCGGATAAGTGCTACTTATTTATCTTATATTATTTCATTAAAGCCGCAGTTGTGTTATTTAATCGGAAGCGATCGTTTATTTATTGCACACACCTTTTCACATTTTCTCTTCTTTAAACATCTTATTTATTTTTAATAACATAGAGTAAAATACCGAACACTATCTTATCTAGCGACTGTACGCGTCTTTCACTTCAGTTAAGGCTGTATATCTTTACCGGCGCACTTTTTTTTCCCTCCGTGCGTTCCAATGCCGCGAAAATCGGAATATCAATTGCGATCTGTATCGCGAACCTGAAGATTTCACGGAATGTACGAAACGCTGAAGAATTGAGATAACGATGAAGTATTAACATTTTTGGAGGATTAATTTACGTAAAGGAGAAGAACTTTAAAATTAAAAAAAATTATCACTTTTGTTTCGTCACGAGAAAAAGATCGGACGAAAAGATGATGGTGTCAATGAAAACATTTGAAAAGACGGCGTTACGTTAATACCGTGTCGGAAGTCATTAACGTAATTACCAAAGTCATCAACGTCTGTGTTAACGATTTGCAGTGTTACCATAAAATCGCCGAATGGAAAGTAAGATTATCGAAACGTTACGGCGAATCAGTTAGGTACGAACGCGCGGCAAACTGGATCGTGCGCTGCGAACAATGCGCAAAGTGCAACGCGAAACAGCCCTCGGCCGCACGCGATTGGACTTGCACACGCTTGCGGCTCATTAAGCGCGGGGAAAATGTGTCGGGCCGATATCGCTCGGGAAAAGCAGCTAAGGCAGCGAGAGCTACCCACGCACCGCGGGCATTCGGTCGCAGCGACTTTTAACGAGATCATCTTCGTAAAGCCCATTACGTAGCGCGCGTCCGTAGCTTCTGGAGCAATCGATATATTACGCTCTTACCTTGGCCTCTCCTCGCAAATTGCTTTATAATCGATCTGTCGAAAGTCGAGAGACGCGAGCCTTACTCTCGAGTAAAAACTGGATGAAGCCACTGAGCTTCTGCTTTGCGAGCGTCCACGCAACGATTAACCTTATCGCGGGTGAATAATCTGTCACGAGTCGAAATCGGAGTAGAACTGATACGCGAATTCTTTTATATCGCTACGACAGCGCTCTGTAGTTCATTCTACGACTAAGTCAGCGCAAACTTAAATTAAATTTACGAGCGTATACTTTGTGCCTGATTATAGAAGACATTGAAGTATACACTCGTAACTACGGAGCAGACGACAGGAAAACATGTCAAGGTATCTACTCGTCCTGATTAGGAAAATACAAGCTTTTGCCTAGGGGTTAGCACGAAAAAGAGACTACGCAGGCGTCTACGTTACAATGAAGTTACTTGACGATGGTCGGCGTCGGTGGTGCAGGAGCTTTCATGACGAGCTGTGTGTCGATGAGTGAATTATTAACGGCAGAGGAGGCGAGAGCGCGAAACGACTGATTCGGCGCCAAGCTCCGTCAGTCTTCATTGCCTTCGCCCGCTGCTCTGTCGGTCTCTGATCCAATATGCTTAAGTGGATTGCCTGTCTTACTCGGGCCGCATACACGCGCGCATCTCGCTTGCGCGGACGACATCTGTTTTGTGCCGCTCAGAGCTTTTCAACATTCCAGCAGCGCCTTTGCTGTGCGGTCGATAACGGAGGTTGTTGCTTACTTGCCGGTGATCTTTTTTCTCTGCATTTCAGCTTTCCTCGGCCAATGTAACAGAGCTGTTTCCATCGCTCGCTGTACATTTTGGATCTCGCGCCGACGAGTGGAATAGCGTTTGCCGTTGAAAGGAAATAACGGAGCGTTAAATGTTTTATATTTTTATGAAGTGAAATTGAATTCAGGAATTCACTTTGAAAAAAAGTTAAAGAGAAAAATGAAATTGGAAAAACCGTTGATGCAACTAAGTAAACTATACTAACGAATTTTTACATAAAATTCAATAGGAAAGGCCAGAGTCACTGAAAAATTTGAAATTTGCGCTCCATCAATTTGACTTTTATTGTGAAAGTCTTTGGGTCGTTTTCTGTGGATGTATGATGAAACTTTTGGCGATAAGCTTATCGCTTTGCAAAACAAATACAGTGTGATACGTATCTCTTGAATTTATTCGCACACCCTTGTCAAAGCTAATAATTCTCGCGTAAAAAAAACAAACGCGAACGTATATTCACGAGACGCGACTAGACAGCTGCGACTCATCGTAAGTTATTTCTATCCTGGTGAAGTCGTTTACCATTTCAAGAAATGCATACCACCACGATATACAACAATAACAGTGGAAAAACCGCGTGTGGAATTCTAAACGTCGGTCGCACAAGTGTGTACGCATTTTATTCGCATTGTCATCCAAATAGCACGCGAGGATTTGACATGTCGTAACTGTATAGTTTGATTTGAAAGCTCACGTAACGATTCGCATTGTTATTTTATTGCTCAACAGTAACGACAAAAGTGTATAGGGAGCGTCGTGAATGGAAAAAAAAATATTGCTGGAATTTTATTGCGCGCGCGTTGGAATTTACACACCGAAATAAAAAAGAAATTCTAGCCTCGTTGTATTTTATCCGATTGAACGTAAAAAAGCCACACGCCAAACATTACCTCCATGATATTTTCGCCAAAAAAATCTTTCTCGGCAATTTAGATACACGAAAGAACGATAAATTATGAGAAAAAGAAAAATATAAAGGATAAATTAGGGCATGATAAGACTTGCCTTGTCCTAAATTAGTCTTAATTAGCTTCGGTCATGTCTAGGGTAAACGTGCATGTGCCTTCCTCTCGAAAAAACATTCATGGCGCGTGGGGTAAGCATTTATCCTGATTTTAATGAAGGTGCCTTAATTAATACGCTTTAATAACTGGCAAATCGCTCCGAATATGTGCCTTTGCCCTTTAGTCTAGAGAGGTACTTGAGAATTCTTTACTGTAACTTATAGGAAGCTCAAGAATTTGCATAGTCTTAGTTTAATTATTATAGTTTTAAATTTATAATAATACGATACTTGTATACTTTTCGCGTATGTGTACTAAGTTAAAGTTATTTTTGTGAATTCAAAAAGATGTGACATCAGGTGTAGATAGCTGTTCCGATGGACAAATGAACAGTTACGTATCGTAAAATTACAAATGAGATACATTTTAAAATTGATTGATTAAAATAGAAGCCGGCATCAGCAGAAGAGAGAGAGAGAGAGAGAGAGAGAGAGAGAGAGAGAGAGAGAGAGATGAGGCTTACAGATAACGTAATAGGGAAGCCGAAGTAGGAGCAGTGTTAAAACACGCCATAAATTTTCCTAAGATAGCTGGTTAAGTCTGTTAGTCATTTTACGCTGCTGCGTTTTAACTGTGGCGAGTTAGACTGTAAATCTTTTTATTTATTTTTCGCTCAGCTAAATAAGTAAATCGTTGCTTTATATATAGGCGCTGAACGCGACGCTGTATTTTTGTTTACTTAACCGGTTGACCAATCGTTTCATAAAGTATTCCACTATGCGTTCAAATGTTCACGAAGGTACGTTTAACATGGGTGCGATCATCAATTTCGCTCAGTCAACTACAATCGTCTGATAATTTCCGGGCTACTTTTCCAAAATATGCGCGTATATCTCGTCGCGAGTGCACGTTAACATACGTGCGCGACGCGTACATAGGCTAATAACTAGGCAAGCAATTTGCATTCGCAAAACGGGATTAAGCGTAGCAAAGCGGATTATAAGCTCACGCCCGGGCGTGTTTATCATGCACGCACACGATCGGCAATTTGCGCGTTTGCATGTAACACCCTCGAGGTGAAGGAAAAGGAGGGCGGCCGCGGGCCGCTCGCGCAATTTTAAAAATCGCGGAGGCAGCGTCCGCAAAGCGAACGACCATCCCTCCCCGTTCTTTTCGCGGAAATAATTCGCGCGCGAAAGCGTTGAAGGGAACGGTTGCGCTGCAAGGCAATGAACTTGATGGACGGCGCTTTGGCTCCTTGCGCCGCGATCGACCTTCGGTCGAAATCGGTGCGCGCTGCTCTTGACAGAGTACAGGCGTTTCTATTCCAACGCGGCGCAGCGCGCGCATCGATATTCATCGGTGAACTTTTTCTCTTTCCCTCCGCTCGACACCGCGTGAACATCGTAACGCACTGCCTTGAAACACGTTTGAATAATAATCTCTTTCCCACGCGCGCGAGAAGAAGTGAGAAGCCAAAATTACGTAACGATCGTCTCCTGCGCGCGAGTGCGTTTACCTCTGCGAGCGGTTGGAAAAGGTTAATGTGACAATCAATCCTGTGGGTAGGGATGAGCGATCTCTCGCAGGTATGCGCGCAATGGCTGAGCTGTGAGCGAGCGAGGGAGAGAGAGAGAGAGAGAGAGAGAGAGAGAGAGAGAGAGAGAGTGAGAGAGAGAGAGAGAGAGAGAGAGAGAGAGAGAGAGTGAGAGAGAGAGAGAGGAGCGCTGTGAGAGAGTAGCGAGGCTATCAGCGGAGTACCGACTGAAAGGATTGTCAGTTGACTCTCGCATACCGACAAGGTGTCTCAGTCTACGCCTGCCTGTGGATTTTGTGTTCGAACTGGCCTCGCATTGTAAACATTGGTTTGTTCTATTTACTTTTAATTTGGATTTTCCTTTATTATTCTCGCTGCTTCGTTCGAGTTGTGAAACTGTTTTTTTATTATATCCCTTAAAAAAATGTGCAGTCAAAAGATTCATAAATTTGAATAATTCTTCGGTAACCCATCAAGTTTAATTACAAATGCTTCGAATTTCGATGGAATTGTTAATAATATAAACAACGCTCGGATATAGCTGATTTTACATAGTCATGTGCGAGACCCATTTGCTAAATTAATTAAACGTTGAGCTAATTTCGAATATTTTCAACTTTCCCGTCTTATCGATTACTGCTGCACTCTGCACATCACCAAAAGATAATGTACAATAAAATTATTCAAGAGCAGTCGTGTAAATTCGCGTGTAATTCGTACGGAGGGAGTGTCATTTCAGTAACCCATTCTAATTCCATTCTAAGTACTCACATCCTATGTTATTGTACCTTCGCACGTAAACACCACATTCATTTAAACTATCAATAGACCTTTTTACCAGGTCTATTTCCCATTGAAAAATAAAAAGGAAATAAATATTCCGTGACCTTCTGCTTGCTTAGTTGACACGATTGGAATACATAAGTAGAAGTTTTCACGTTTTTAATATGCATATAAAATGTCAAGTGAAGTATCGAGTTTCGCTCTAGTGTATTCGCGTTTATAGAAGTGACAACTCGTAGCGAAAGTTACGGATCATCCAATTTTGGAGTTACAAACCAATCGGGATCTCGTTAAATCCGCGCGCTTTTTACCTAGTTCACATCTACAAAACGTACGCGCGTGTGTTTGTGTGTGTTCACTGTTAGTGGCCGGAAAGTTGTCAAACGGCTTTGCTTCCTCAAAACTAGTTCTTACTTCCACGTAGAAAGTAATGTAACGTCGATGGTTACGCGCGCTTTTGTTATATCCTTTTCGAATTTTATGTTCTTGTGGCATTTCCAAACGACAGAGTAATCATCACAGCGCTACATCCTTGAGCTCGAAGATTTGTTTTTTACTACTTCGATGTATATTACAAATTGGCTTTCAAAAACTCATTGAAAGGAATATTTCGCTAAATGCCAACATTTCGACTCAAATAGCAATAAAACAAACAGCGTAAAATGCTCTAATACTCCGATCGTCGCTGCTTAGTTGCCTTGAGACGAGCAATCGATGTCTCCATCCAATTCGTACACACACCTACAGGTGCCGTCGGCAGGTGACGAGGATGACATACGCGAGGCTAATTAATAATTATGCATATTCATTGGGTCACTTGCTAACTTTCACCCGCGGCAATTGTTTGCAGATATCGCGAGGAGGACGAGAGAATGATGAAAGAAATGGGCACGATGGGCATCGACGATCGCACCACCAGTTTCGGTCGCAAACGTGGCTGTACCATAACGCGCTGCGGTGGCCTCGGCCTCGCGCTTTGCTTCCTCGGCGCACTTGTCCTTACAGGATTGCTCGTCTACCATTTTGCACCCTGCGTCGATCAGAATGATACGCAGTTCCGCGTCGGCGATGATGTCACGGCGATGTTCCGTTCCGGGCGTAACTTTAAAGCAAAAAGCAAGAGTGACAAATTGGATGTTAGGCTGCCTAAGTCCGTATTGCCAGATAGCTACGAGATCCGACTCGTGCCGTTTATTTGGCCTGGCAATTTCACGTTCAATGGAGAGGTAAGTCATTGTTGGATTTTAGTTTACTCAGGTTCCAATTCCGGCTTGTTTTTGAATTCTCAAAATAACTTATGTCATGCAAAAGCTTATTGCTCGCGGAAAAATAATCTTGTTTTAAATAAGTTAGAACCGTAGTTCTCGAAAGATATCTAAAAATTAAAAGTCGTTTTTTATCATTCTAATGCAATAATAAAAATCAATTTCGAAAAAATGCTAATATAAGTGGAAAAATACGACATTTGACCGCAACTGTTCATTAGAATATTCTTCTGATAAGAAAATGTACAAATATTAAGGTATTTTCATTCGTGCATTTCATTTGATTCCAATTTGTAAGATCAAGCATCAAATGCGTAATGAATAGCAAGATAGAAGCCGTGATTGGTGTCACATTACAAACCTGCTTTATCTCTTTTTCTCGGAAGGTGAAAATCGTTATGAACGTAACCGAAGATACGAGAAAAATCATGCTTCACGCAGTGGACATGACGATCGATGAGGATTCAACGATTATACGCGAGTACCCTGGTCCATCGGAAGGCAAAGCCAAGGTGGTAAGAGTACAGCGTCAGTCGAACGACACGACTCGTCAATTCCACGTTATTAACACGAGCGATACCTTGAAAGCGGGCCAACAATATTTATTGTACATCAAATTCGTCGGTAAATTGAACGACTACCTGCAAGGTTTCTACCGAAGTTCCTACGTGGCGAACAATCAGACGAGGTATGCCTGCGTGAACTTTGAGACCTCGGAGAGATAAACGATTGACGCTTACGTGAAATCTCTATAGATGGATCGCCACAACGCAGTTCCAGCCAACGGACGCCCGACGAGCTTTTCCTTGTTTCGACGAGCCCGCGCTCAAAGCCAGATTCCAAATCAGCATTGCTCGTCCGAATAACATGACTGCCATCTCTAATATGCCGAAGGAACAACGGCAACTGGAACCAGTGTGAGTTTGCATCGATACTTTGCACGAATATTCGGCCACCTTAATCACTCGAGCCTCTGTGTAATTGAAATCATCAGAGAAGGTTTACCAACGTACGTGTGGGATCACTTCGAGCGTTCAGTTCCGATGTCGACTTACCTCGTGGCGTTTATAGTGTCGGACTTTGAGGACGCGAGCTCAGCGCAGGGTAACGTAAAAGTTTGGGCGCGTAAAGAGGCCATTCAGCAAGCGGAATACAGTTTGCGCATCGGACCACAGATACTCAACTACTTCGAGGAGTTCTTCCAGATAAAGTTTCCGCTTCCGAAAATCGACATGGTTGCTTTGCCTGACTTTTCAGCTGGCGCTATGGAAAATTGGGGTCTCATCACCTACAGGTATAGCAGTTGGTTATTTTTAGCGAAGAAAAAAATAAAACCTTCCACGTGGTATATTTTCTTGTCACGTACAGGGAGACTGCGATGTTATACCAGGAGGGTGTTTCAACGAGCAACAACAAGCAGCGAGTGGCGACTGTCGTGTCTCACGAGCTTGCGCATCAGTGGTTTGGAAATTTAGTGACCCCAAGCTGGTGGACTGATCTGTGGCTTAACGAGGGCTTTGCCAGCTATGTCGAAAATATCGGAATTAATGCGGTGAGTTATTTCTATTATACGCCAAGCTTTCTCGATAAGAATTCTATTGAGAAATATTAATTTTAACAATTTTCTTTTGCCATATTACCATGCGAAATGTTGCTGAGAAAGACGGAAAACTTTCCTCTTTGAGTAAATAAAAACTAGATAAGACAGTTTGTCGAGTTTTCGAATGATAATAAATAACACGCGCTTGGAATGTTTTCGTTTAACGAATAATAACTTCGCTGAGTCACGGGCAAAACAGTCAATAAAAAGTAAATGTTTTCAAATTATTGCTGAAATAACCGAGAGCGTTTTTTTTTTTATTAACAGTGAGTAGAGGAATGCGAAGGTGATAAAAAGGACTGAAATTAGAGATTGTAAATGTCGTAGGTGGAGCCAACATGGAAAGCACTAGAGCAATTCGTAGTGCACGAATTACAAAACGTTTTTGGTTTGGACGCCCTGGAATCATCGCATCCAATTTCTGTGGAGGTCGGCCATCCGGACGAGATCAATGAGATTTTCGATCGTATCTCGTATGCCAAAGGCGCCTCGGTTATCCGAATGATGGACCACTTCCTTACGACGAATACCTTCAAGCGCGGTCTGACCAACTACCTCAACGGAAAGTAAATGCTTCTTCTTCTTCTTCCTGAAAATGCTACAAAAGCAGAGAAGAAATTCTATTATACGGATAAAAAAATATTGCAGAGCGTATCACAGCGCCGAGCAAGACGATCTGTGGGACGCGTTGACGAAACAGGCGCACGAGGACAAGGTTCTCGGCCAGGACGTGACAATCAAACAAATCATGGATACTTGGACCCTACAAACGGGCTTCCCTGTTGTCACAGTCACGCGCGATTATGACAATGACGCCGCGCTTGTAACTCAGGTAGCACCATGAATTTAATCAGTCGATTTCTATTGACGCCCGTATGTGGCAATAGCGAATTCTCTCGTTATACATTTTCCTATGAATATTCAACAGGAGCGATTCATGCTGCGAAATCAGAGCAACGAGGACAAAGAGCCGATCTGGTGGATACCCTTAACTTACACTGTGGCTAATAAGCGCGACTTCAATTCTACTAAACCTGCCGTGTGGATGAAGGCTGAAAAATCCGTGCAAATGAAAAAGCTTGGTGCCACGCCACGAGATTGGCTTATTTTCAATGTTATGGAAACGGGTATTTATTTTCCTCGTAAAGATACTGATATTTTTAAATGAATGCTGACTTGATAATTTCGTGAACGCAGGGTACTACCGTGTCAACTACGATCAAAAGAACTGGAAGTTGATAACGCAGCAATTGAAGGGTCCAAACAGCGCCGATATTTCAACGATAAATCGGGCTCAGCTAATCGACGACGCATTGAATTTAGCACGCGCCGGCCGCTTGGATTATGCCACGGCTTTGGACGTGACCTCGTATCTCGAACAAGAAAGCGAATACTTACCATGGAAGGCTGCCCTCACCGCCATGAATTTCCTTGACAATATGCTCGTCAAATTCCAGGGCTACGACAAGTTCAGGGTAATAATCTACATATATACGTTCGTGTCGGTCAATCAGCGCTTTTTATGGCTTTCGAATTGAAAGAGCGCAGGAGCTTGGAAGCTTTGTCGCTCGATCATCACAGACAATTGTCACGTCATAAGCCTTAATGGGGAAATGTGATGGGCACGTCGACAAGTCGACACGACGCCTCGACGCGAACAGTCTAATCTGTTTGTGACGCGGACGATTGTGTCGAGTAAATTGTATGAGTCAGTTTTGACTGTCATTTCGCAGAAAATTATTTTCATGGTGATTGAGTCATACGTAACGTGATTTTTTTTCCGACACTTGTTAAATAATTTGGTTACAATGCGATTATTTATTCAAAGCTTCACTGCACAGTGAAATATGAAGTCACAATCACACGTTTTTTCAATTTCAATGTGCCTTTAACAAGGAAATTGTATAAATAGTGCATTACTTTTAGCACAATGCGTGAAGAAATTCAAATAAAACTTGTATAACGTTGTCAGGTGTACGTGTTAAAACTGTTGGACAACGTGTATCAAAAAGTCGGCTTCAAGGACAGACTGGACGATCCTCAGTTGACAGTACTCACACGTATCGATGTGTTAACGTGGGCTTGCTTGTTCGGCCACGAAGATTGCGTGCGAAACGCGGTTGGCCATTTCGCCGCTTGGCGAAATGAGTCTCAACCGAACCTCAATAATCCGATCTCACCGAATCTCAAGAGCGTGGTTTATTGTACCGCCATCCGTGTTGGTGGTCCAGCTGAATGGGAGTTCACCTGGCAGCGTTATCTCGAGAGCAACGTTGGCTCCGAGAAAGATTTGCTGCTTAGTGCTCTCGGATGTACCAGAGAAACTTGGCTGCTTAGCAGATATCTTGACTGGGCGCTCATGGAAAAATCAGGTATCAGGAAGCAGGATGTTCCCAGGGTTTTCGCCACGGTCTCGAGCAACATCATCGGCCAACCCCTGGCTTTTAACTTCTTCCGCAATAAGTGGGACCAATTAAAAAACTAGTGAGTGCTCTTCTCAATGTACTTTTTTAAATTGTTTGTAGAAAAAAATTTACTTGACATTATATTTCGCCATTTTAGTTTTGGAACCTCGCTAATATCTATCACTAGCATTGTCAAGTCATCGACCAAGCGTATCAACACTAAGTACGAGCTTAAAGACGTGAGTATTTATAACGATAAAACCTTGTATTAAAAAAAATCATTAACGTTCTCTTTATTGTTTACAGTTGTTGGAGTTTGCCAATGAGCACAAAGAGGAACTCGGTAGCGCTACGAGAGCCATCGAGCAAGCAGTTGAGCAAACTGAAGCTAATATTCGCTGGTTAGAGCGTAATCTGGCGAACATCCAAGACTGGCTTAACAAAAACGTCACGTAAAATGCCAATGACATTTTTGTTAGACACTAGGCGAAATAATGTTTTTGCACCGTGTGACATTGACTGTTGATGTTGGAGTAATTGCGATTCCTTTAGTTAATTATACTTATTGTCAATTCTCAGTCAATGTGTTAAGATGTAACTTTGAATACACGTATATATCGTTCTTGTTGGCGGGAAGTAGACAGATAAACCTATAAAACTTTTAAGAAATTGTCCGTGTGTCGAGCATTATAAAACGTGCAAATTATTATTTTCATATATATAGTGTATTAATATTCACGTAGTTGAGGTAACTGAATTGTATTATTTTTCAATGATACGATACAGTATTTGCAACTTAATCAGAATTTTCTTTTTTTGTTGAATGTGCAGAGTTTATAACATTTTTGAATGATGTGCATCACAAAATTCATAAGAAATGCAACAGATGCAGATAAAAAAATAACTTCAATCATTTTTAAAATGTAGATGATTATTATGTCATCAGTCACGAGAAAACTATGCTTTCAATCATATTTGATATTATATATCTATATATATAACTATTTTGTTGATGTTTTCTATGATAAATAAATTCAATGAATGGATAATAAGATATATAACATACAAATATGTATAATTTCTTATGAGAATACACTATAACAGAAGTACAATTATAATTAGTCGTGAAAAAAATAAACTAGGTGTCTATAATCATAAAAAAAGTATTGTACGTGCAAATATCGATGCCACTTTCATTTAACAGAATAATTGAAAAGTGCTTTAATGGGGTAGTTCAATGTCTGAATGTAAATATAATATACTATATAATATTAATTTTGAAATTTATCATGTTGCTATTAAAAACAGTTTTACATAAAAAATGTTTGAAATTTGATAGATAGAAAGTATGATAGGGTAATCAAGCTTATTTTTCAATATTTTTATGAAAATATTGACGCAAAATAAAATGCGATGAAGCTTAATTACGCCGTTGAAATTTATTTAAAATCGTTGAAACCTCAGAATAAAAAAATATTTTTGCTAACTATTTTTATTTTCATTCATGCCTCATTACGATCAGGCAGTCGGATTAATAATTGATCATTATTGCTGTCGTTGTGCACATCAATCTTCATTAATGTACTCATAGTAAATATTCGTAAGAAAACTAAAAACAAATAACTATTAAAGAGACAATATGAAATAATTATTCTGTGCTTTGGTGTACAAATCGTAAAAATGATTAAAAAGAATTAGTAACATGAATATATCGTAAGATGTTTAAGAATGAATGACATTTTTAAAATGTGAAGCTGATTCAAAGAATAACTCTTTTGTAGCTTAAAACTTTGAGTAGTAAATTAGCATGACTATATAATTAAAAGTTATAAAAATATTTTATTATTAATGTTCCATGTATCAGCTTTTTTTTAAAGCATGTTGGTGAAGGTATAGCACACAGAGTAATACGAGTACATAAAAATGAGATGATATATTTATTGTTGGTTGAACAAAATTCGAAAGACAATATTCTCACCTTTTATCCTAGAATGAGATGATTAAATACGTTTGTATTAAAACATAAAATCATAAAATTGTAAGTAATTACATAAATGCTACACTTTGTATGGAAATAGACGAATATCACGTAAAAGCAAACATATATGAAATGATAAGCAGATGTCAGTGTTTGTGATTTCTTTTCATCACGAGACAAGCGTGGTCAAACATTTCTCAAGCCAATCGTAAGTGCGAGTACAATACTGATCTAATCAGGCTCTTATTATTAACACTCTTGGTTTAAACTGAAACACGTAAATGAATGATATTAGTAATAATGACGGCAGTGAAAACATCAATGGAAATTAATAAAATTACGTTGATTCATAAAAAATATTAATTTATTTTGAACAAACCTTCTTAGAATTAAAAATAATATTTAGATACTTTATATAAAGATTTCTATTATAATTTATAGAAAATTTAAATTTTCAAACAAAAAATATAATTATTTGTATAATAGATATGGATGTGAGAACTGCACCTTGAGTATACGCACTATTCGGTTTCACGTAGTTTCCTTCAAGCCAATTTCTAATGTAAATTTCATTGTTATTCAACCATGCGAAATTCTTCCGCGCTACCCTAATGGCTGATGTTACTGACGTCTTGATATCTGTGGCTTTTGGATCCATCGATAATTCATCAAGCTGCAATGAAGACGACATAATATGTTTAATAATATTCAATGGTAATTTTTATACGTAGCAAATAATTCTTACGATTTTTAAGTGTTCCTGGCTGGAAATTCGTCCAGCTAAACTCGTAAGAAGTGAACCCACATCATGCCAGTCTCCGTAACTATGATTAATATAAAATTTTCTTAATACTAAAAACGAATTTTTTTCATATTCTTTAAATTATTTTTTATACGTACAATTTATATAACTTATCAAGATTATTAACGAAAAATTTAATGGTAGTATTTAATCCAATTGAACTAGCTGTATAGACTGACGAAAAAGCAGTTGCTGCATCTTGTCTACGAATTTTTGATTTTGGCTCCACAATAAGTTCCAAATATCTATTAAAAAATAAGATTTTTTAAGTATACACTAGTTCACAAGGAATCATTAATTATTTCTTGTAGGTAATACATACTTTTCAAGAACATTAGCATCTTTAGAGCAACCAAGACCTTTCAAAATAGCGAGGTAATCTGTTGCCAGAAGTGCATTTACATATTTGTTCCACATATCATTCCACAGTGTATTATCTCCATGCTCCACAACTGTACAGTAAACGGCAGTTGCGACGTTTGGTGTAACAGTGCTATTGGTTGAAATAGTAAGTTTATAAATGTTAACCACATGTGAAAATATTAATTAATTCAAGTTTAATCTATCTATTTATACATTAAAATCGTGTTAAAATGAATATTTATCAAATGGTTTTTAAATTAATCTGATTACCTTTTTTCGCTGTAATAGTTTTTAGCTTTTTTTACACAATCTTCGTGGCCATACTTGCATGCCCAACTCGTAATAAGCTCTCTGTTTAGCTGTTTAAGGTGATTGTCTTTAGCCATGTCATCCTTGAATCCAAGTTTTTTATAGACGTTGTCAATTATAGCCAAGACGTGCTTCCTGTAAAGCTCTTTTATGTTCGAGTTGCCTTCGAGTCGTTGGCTAATGTAAGATGTAGCAGTGAAGTACGCAGACCAAGGTAAGTACTCCATTTCCCTTGCTAAGTATTTACTTGCATCAAAAGCAACTTCGTATTTGATGTAATTTGTTCTGGCGAGATTAAATAAATCATCGATTATTTGGGCTCGATTCATCTCGATGATTGTTTTAAAGTTATCGCTGTTGAGTAGATTAATCAGCGCCTGCCAATTTTCTAAATTGTAGTTTACTCGGTAAAATCCGATTTCTTGAACATTGATAAGAAACCAATTGTCTTTCGATGGTACAGTGATTTCTTTCGATTCATTGGCGAGCCATAACTTTGGTTCGGTATTAATGAAATTCTGCTCGGATTCGGTCGTGTAAGTGATTGGCACCCAGTAGGTTTGATTCTTTTTTAGTTTATCTATAGGTGATATTAGAAATCTCTCCTACAACGATAAAAGAAAAATATAAATTAAAAAATATAGTATAGTCTAATAGCTTTTACATTATTTACACCACAAAGTTTAATTTAACAATAGAAATATTGTAATTTCAAATTGTTACAAACCTGAGTTAGTGTTACTTTGTCTTTTGTACGATTGGCATTGACAACTGGGTAACCCGCATGCTCAGTCCAGCTAGTTATAACAGTAGTTATATCAACTGACAAATCACCAGGTTTCTTCGTCTCGTTGGCCATACGATCTTCTATTGCTTTATAAAAATGTTCTGGTCGTGCTACATCGTACTTTCTCGCGTCAAGATAAGAATGAATCGCATCGACAAAAACTTTTTCCCCAAAGCTATGATGTAACATCCGCAAAACGCTGGCAGCTGCAATTATCAGGGTTTTTATTATTAATAAAATATTAATAAAAACCCTCAAGAATACATCAATTGTAAAATAAGCATCTTACATTTTTGATAGGCAATTTTGTCAAAACCATCTTGTGCCTCTGAAGGAGTTGATACGTCGTTATTCATGGGATGAGAAGACTCGCCCGAGTCGAATTCTAAACCTACGTGCAGCTCTTTGATTACGAATTGCTCCGAAAATTTCCATTCATGTTCACTCTTCAAAAGGATCAGTGAAAATTAATTGAGTTTACATTATATAGCCAGAATCATAATTTCCACTAATGTTTTCTGAATAATCTTACCACGCTACTGATTAGATATGCAAGGTATTCGGCAAATCCCTCGTTAAGCCAGGTATAGTCCCACCATTCGCAGGTAATCAAATTACCAAACCATTGGTGTACTAGTTCATGCGATATTACGATGTTGACGTATTGTTTGTACGTCGCTGGTGTCAAGTCTTGACTGTATGTAAGACCGTACTCTCTAAAATTAAGGTCGCGATACATGTTGTAATTATCTTTATAATGCATTGTTAGTAATATTTACGTATGGCATTTCATACCTGAAAGTGACAAGACCCCAGTTTTCCATAGCACCCATGTCGAAGTCTGGAATGGATACTAAATTCATTTTATCGAGAGGATAATCAATTTTCGTGAAATTTTCCAAAAATTTAAGAGCTGCTTCACCAACAGGAGGTGCATATTCCATATATTTTTTTAATTGCGGTCGTGTCCATACCGATACTCTGCCAGATTTATTGGTTTCAACATATTCAGAGACAATGAACGCCAAAAGATATGGTGACATTTTTAAACTCTTTTTGAAGATATTTTTAGTCCAACCTCCCCTACAGCAGTTGGTTAAAATCAAATTCAGGTAAATAGTTCATTAGGTATCTATGTCAGAAAAGTATTGCCAAGTCCGTAGCATGTATTTGCTAATTTCGGCTTCGCCTCAGTATTCAATTCTCACATGCTATAGACTTACCCACACTTTTCCGGTCTAGTAGTAATTTATTATTTCATTATTTTTCAGATGAAATACTAACATTACTGGTACTGACGATTCTAAACCCACATTACTGAGTACATAATATCCTTTAGGAATCGAAATTTGTAAAGTGAAATAAGCTTTGAAGGAAGGCTCATCAAAGCAAGGGAATGCTCGACGCGCATACGTTGGCTCGAAGTGAGTGCTTGCTAGCCATCTGAAAAATATAGCCGGTTATTTCAGATCTCATCGATTTTTACTTAACAACAATTCATTAGGCTGATGATAATTTACTTGGTTTGGTTTTTTTCATCAATATAAGAACTCCTATAAAATCCTCTCATATCATCTCGTAATACTCCCTCGTATTTAATGTTGAGTGTGACTGCTGTATTCAGCGACTCATTAAAGTATATTATAAGTTTTTGCGAAGAAGGATGTAATTCGTATGCAACGTTATAGTTTTTTGTTTCCGAAGCTGCACTAATATTTTTAATATTCAAATCATGAGAATGAAGCATAACGCGCAATGTTGGAGCGTCAAGTTCGATGTCGATGTTGACTTCTCCATCAAAAGTAAAATTATTTTCTTCGAAATAAGTATTCAAGAAAATATTATACTCCTTAGGCTTGGCAGAAGTAAGTAAGCGATAGTCAACCTTTTCTTGATTCTTGATACTGTTAGTGTCCAACCATTTGAATATTTTGGGAGTATTTTCGTAGAACCAATTTTTTTCCTCCTTGGCGCGTTTCAAAGATGATTGTAAAGAGTTTGATAATTCAGGCATTGTAAGTGTACTATTTTGCACTAGTTCTTCAAACTAACAACAAAAAGTTTAAAATAATGAGGTCTTCAGTGCGATTAATACATTTATTCAAGCTTTTGCTTACAGAAATTGACATTATAAGATAAAGTACCTTTTTAAAAAGTTGATCCGTTGAAACTCGTTTGGATATTGTCGTGAGAGTCGATTTGGCTATACTATCATCGCCAAAGCTATAAATATGGTAAATTATATTTGAAAAATCTATCGTAAAAATAGTCATAGTAAATCATGTTAAGCTTTAAAACAAACTGTTGGTATTATATAGAATTCATTTAAATAATTAAAGAAACGTACTAATCTTTCATTTTTTTATAGTTATTTTGTATATAATCCATAACAGTTTCCACTCCAACGAGACCACTATTGACAATATTTGAGAAGACCGTCTTTGCGTCTTGAAGTCTTATTTCTGAATTTTGTTTTATTGTCTCATCCATTAATCTAGAAAATACGCATAATTCGTTACTCAGTTTCTTAATTATAAAGCAATAAATAAGTTAACAATACATATTTAAAAGTTGTGTATCCTGAGAACATGCGAGAGCACCAAGAGCTGACATCTTTTCAATAGCATAATTCGAATTGACGAATTTCTTCCATAGGTAGTTCCAGTCTTCTGTAGTTCCCTTTTTGATGGCAGTGCAGTAGACGTAAGAACGTTTATTTGGTTCTACAGCACTCCTAGATGATGCAAAAATAAATGAAAGCGCAATAAACGAATTTTCAATTTTGAAAACGTTGCACAGAAAGTTTGCTCACTCGAGATCGGATGACATTTTTTCCTTTTTGAAACTCGCAAGAGCTTTTTCGATGCACCTTTCATGATTGAAATTACAAAGCCAACTAAGTGCATGATGTCTTAATAAAATATCAGTGGATCTATCATTGTATTTATCTTCAAACGTAAGTCGTTTGACAATGGGCTCGAGAAGTTGCAGCAAGAAGTCCTGCATTTAAAAGAGAAAATTTGTAAGAATAACTGCACATTAGATGTTTAAAGAATGAGCTTGGCATACAAACCCTATACACATTGTAGATATCCATATGGCCAGCAAAACGATGAGTAAGATAGGTCAAGCCTGTGAAAGTTGTCTTCCAAGGTGCATACTCAGTTTCACTTGTAAGATAACTCAAACCAGAAAACACGAGGTCATAAGAAATGTAGCCTGCTCGACCAAGATGCAAAAGGTCGTCGACAATATTTGCTCTATTAACTTCATGGATCTTTGTGTATTTTGATGATTTAAGTGCCTCGATTATAAGGTTCCACATATTTTCGTCATAATTTACCCTGAAATAACCTGAGAATCGTAAATACATTTTTGTGTTCAATTTACCTTCTAAAATTGTAACGTTTTTGAATACTCACCCATTTGCTGTAAATTGAGGATGACCCACTCATTTTTGGATTTTTTGATCTTTACAGTATTAGTTTGGTCTTGTAAGAAAGTAACTTTCTTTGTATCTTCAAAGTTAGGATTACTTTCAGTTGTCCACGACAATGGAATCACCCAAGTACTATTGTCTTCTTTTTTTGAGTTCAAATAAAATCTAGTTTGGGTTATCGTAGCCATTTCATCATTCTCGAAATTCACATTCAAAACTGGGAAACCTGATTGTAGAGTCCAACTATTCATCAATTCTGTTACGTTAAATTTGGTCATCATTTGACTGTTGTTAATTTCAGTTTGGAAAGCTTTGAATAGATCTTCTGGTTTAGCTGCATCAAATTTACTGCAAAGAAATTAAAATATTTGCTTTTAGATTGCGAAAATAGATCAATAAATCATAGCATTTTTTAATCCTACCGTGCTTCGAGATATTTATTTAATGCATTGTAAAATATTTTGGATCCAGTTAGCTTCTCCAACATTCTGATAATACTAGCGGCTTTGGCGTACGATATGCTGTCGAATATTGCTCTAATATCAGTAGGACTGTAAACTTTATGGGTGATTGGGTGTGTGTTTGCCTTGCCATCTGTAGAAAACGACGTTTGCAGATGATCTACTACAAATTGCGTTTCCAATTTCCAGTCGGCTTCTTTCTGTGAAACAAGTTTCATCAGAAAAATTAATATCATTTGATTATATTTCATCGTGACTCTATTAGTATAATCATGTTTTTATCAAAGAAAAATCAGAGCATTCATTTTAAATAAATAATGTAATAATATTCACGTTAATAAAAATAATATAAATAAAATAAAAGAAGATGATTGATAATTCATTGGCGAAAATAAAAACTAAAGGTGACAATCTAAAATAGTCATAGCGTACTAGAGCGAAACATCAAAAATCAGCCAACCAGTGGAAATCGCGTTAGTATGATCGTCAATTCCCGGGAGACTCATAGACGCGTGAAGCGCGAGATTAACTACAAGGCGTGCATGCGGCTATGTGTATATAGAACAGATACCTCTGTGTAGGCATGACATTGGAAGTATCGTGCGAATCCCTCGTTGAGCCAAAGGTAGTCCCACCAGTGTGGACTAACGAGATCGCCGAACCATTGGTGCGTGATCTCATGGGCGATGACGTTGCGAATTGACTGTATGTTCGCAAGACTTGACATTCTAACTGGATCGGAAAGCAAATTCGTCTCGCGGTAGGTCAGTAAACCCCAGTTCTCCATTGCACCCGAACTGAAGTCGGGTAATGCAATCATGTCCATTTTGCTCAGCGAATAGTTATGACCGAGTTTTTTTTCGAACCACTGTGTCATTGGCACCATCACTTTTAATGCGTAATTTATCTGATTGTATACCAAAGGATTCGCGTAGACGCTGTATTTGTGATGTGAATCATTAAAACTTTTTTTCTTAAAATCGCTTACTATTACAGCCACAAGGTACGTTGACATTGGAGGTGTAGTCTTAAATTTGTAAAGGCCGCTAAAATATAAATCAGTTATCAGATGTAGAAAATTCAACTACTTTTAATATTTCAATCGAATTAATTAAATATACATAATTTTCAATCTCGTATAATTATAGTTTGGCCGATTAGCCTTTTTATTCATATTTTACCTATTAAAACAATTAAATTAGTAAATCAGAAAATAAACAAATTAGTCTGTCACGTGTGTTTCACTGTTTGCATTTATGTTCGTCAACCTTCGATTGCAAGCGCAGAAAAAATATAGTTGCAATTTTATTTGGTAAATTTATAGCACGGAAATGTGTATTTCAAAATAGAACCATCGTAAGAGATAAAAAAAATTACCAATTTTATCTTATCGATTGTTCTTTTGTACTTTCCGTAACTTTTAAAGGTCGCTTATATGTGTCATTTCCGGTCGTATCTTTTCAGTTTATCTGATTGCCATCCACTTGAATAGGCTTATCAAAAATTATTGTAAAAATCGAATCGATAAGCAAAATCGAAGGTGACTTCCAAAACAATGGTCTGACCGAGATTTTACGATTGTGTATTTCAGCTATCTAATTGATTTCAAACTACAAATAATGATTTATTACGATTTTTAATGGCCTCTATACGAAGAAAAAAAATTAAGTAAAAGCTAAATGTAAAGTGAGAATTTATTTACTCTTCTTTGGTTGTAAGTTCAGTGTTACTAATGACGCTGTAATTTTTTGGTGCCTGAACACTAATAGAGAAGGTGGCCTTAAGAGCGGGTTCATCAAAGCAGGGAAAAACTCTTCTTGCGCTTGTTGGCTCCATTTGCGTTGCAGCTAGCCATCTAGGAACGAGAAGAAATTAGACCCGATGAAATTGCACTGAGTTTTAAAAAGTATAATTGCTGTGTTCTTGAGCGGACTTCTCACGTGCGAGTTTCAATTTTTGACAAAGTATATTTCGCAAGTAATTTTGTTTATTTGTCTCTCTATTCTAACCAACTTACCTTATTCCGTTTACTGTTTTGTACGAGCTTCTATAGAATCCTCGCATTTCCGTATTTAGGATTCCTGTATATGTGATCTCAATAGAGATTGGAGTTTCTGCTATAATGAGATTTTCCATAACGATGTCAATGAAATTGTACTTCTCTCTTGGTAATATGTTAGAGAATTTTAGAACTATAGGATTTTTTTTGTCTGTGATATTTGATAATGTTATGTTAAAATTGCTAAGTTGGTCCGCGTGTAAAGTTATATTTTTTGTAGACCTCTGTACTTTAGCAACAATCTTAACTTTTCCATTAAACATAAATTTCTTCTCCGGTGAGATGTGTGGGTGAAGATAAATATCATAACTACTTGGGATGACATTGCCAGGTAAACGGTAAGCATCTGTGTTTTCAATCGACGGGTCAGATTGTTTGATCAAGTCAATTGCAGGAGGTAAATGCTTACTGAACAAGTTTATTTCTTGTTCAACAAATTTCAAACTTTTCATGATAGACTCGACATTTGGTTTTATATGTGAGTTATTGATTTCGACGATTTGTTCAACTTTTCTTAACAGTTTCTTGATCGGATATCTTTCAAGTGCATCTTTAATGAGACTACCGACCATGTCATAATTTTTGTAGCTGCAAGTTATTTTTCACGTTAATAAATACGATAACAACTACTGTTAGATTAATAGCTACTTATTGTTAGGGAGACTTACTAATCATGAAGAGCCTTATAATTATCATTGGCAAAATCAATCATGAATTCGGCGTTTTTCAGACTCGCCGTATAAACGCCTCTGAACACACTCGAAATGTCTTGCTTACGAATGCGGCTTGTTTCAAAGCCCGATAAAGCTTCGAGAAGGTATCTGAAAATTGTATTGACATTTAAATTAACAATAAAAATTTCATACACTATTAATAAATTACTTATATTTCTACTTTTTCAGTATTATAGGATCTTGGGAACATCCAAGTGCACTCAGAATAATTACTCCCTCAGCTGAAACGTTAGTTTTTTTGTACTCGTTATACAAAAAGTCCCAATCTTTGTCCGTTCCGTGTCTAATAGAAGTGCAATAAACTACATATCGTTGGTTTTTTGGTACTCTGTTTGGAGAAAAGATTTAAAAAATTACGTTTTTATACAAACACACAAAATTTTATTTACTATGGATTAAGTGGGAATTAATATTTAAGTCAAAGATATCTGATGTTGACGTACGGCTTCAATTTATTTTTCCACTCGTCAAAGTAGTCCCGAGAGATTTTGATACACGATGATTCATCAAAATTACAAGCCCTGGTATTAAGCTCTTGTCGCAGTAAAATCGTCAATTGATCATCATTTTGTTTATCGTCGAATGTTAATTCATTGTAAATATTCTTAATCAGAAACATAATGTAGTTCTGAAAGAAATGCATACGATATAAACAACGATGTTCTAAAATAGTAGTGGTGAAGAAAGAAATGAGTAGTACTTTCAAAACATCGTAATCATCGCTCCCAGCAGTCACTCTCATTAAATAATCAAGATTAGTGAAGGCAGACTTAAAGGGCAAATACTGCTTTTCTCTCTTGAGATATTCAATACCTTCAAAAACTAATTCATAATTGATAATCTGAGCTCTAGCGAGATTAAATAAATCATCGACAATCGCCGCACGATTTTCCACAAGAATTTTGTTGTAATTATCACTTGTCAAAAGTTTGTTTATTTTGCTCCAATAATTACCATAATTGACACGGTAAAAGCCTGTGAAACAAACCGATACATACACTCAAAAATTTGTATGTTATTGTCATACATACCCGCAGATTGCACGTTGATTATGAGCCATTCATCGTTTGTATTGTCCCTCGTATAATTGTCTTCTTGTTTTGATAGCCAGAAAACTGGTTCTGTAGAATTAGTTGGGCTGCTCGATGATGATATTGTTATTGGCACCGACCACAAGTACTCTTGTACAGAATTATTTTCACTCAGAAGGAATCGATTTTGTCTGAATTTTATCCTATCTGACTCAATCGTCACTGTAATATACGGATAACCAGCCTGTTTTGTCCAAGTATTCATTCTTGCTGCCACACTATAGTTGACATGTTTTTCAAGAGCTTGCCATAAATCATTAGGTGTGGCTGATTTTGATTGACTGTCGATTTTAATTTTATAATTCAATCATTAAAAACAGTATAATTAGCGAGCTTAGTTGATAGAGGTGGTATATGCGTAAGGAGTACTTCGACTATAGAAAAATCCCCTTCACTGCTTCCTGAGCTGTGTAGACTTTTATACAACCAGGAGGTAGTGATAGAGATGGGTATTAGGCTGTACGCAGTCGAACGCAGCTATACGGCAGCCGAACTGTTCTTAATATACAGCCTATCACGCAGATCACACATGTTAGTAAAAAGGATATAGTACGGTTCGAAATGCCAAAATTGCATACTGCATTTTACGAGTCTATACCGCTTCAGAAACAGTGACATTTTGTGGATCTTGCGTTGTACTGCTTTATTCTCCTTGTCATAATATTACAATTAACCAGAAATTAATTTAAGTGTTTAAAAATGTATAAAATATAAACACATTCATGTAACAATATTTGTGATTATGTTACGTAAAATCAATAAAAATCTATTAAATCTGAGTTCAATTGCATCGTATAGCACCCATTTGTCGATTGAGTGCCATCTTTATACGTCTTCGCCAAGATTATAAAATTTTTCAAGCGTCAATATGTTACGCGAAAGATGTTCATACAGCGCAGGATTTAAATTCTCGACGCTTGCTTTGCTCGCTGCCTTGGTCTTATACTACCCCACGTTATAAACATCTTCCCTGTACTATACTGGCGCTTGGCTCGCCCAAGACACATAAATAACTAATGTACATCGGTACTCATATTTAATACTTTATCAATCGAATAAAGTTATTTTTACATACCGTTCTCGAATGTAATCCTTAAGAGCCTCGTTGAATTTCTTTGTTCCAAATGTTTTCTCCATCATACGTACAATACTTGCCCCCTTATTATAAGTGATAATACCACCTGCAGTACCGATTTGTATTGGTGTAATCATATCACTGTCCTGTCTGGTTATTGGCTTAGAATCTTCTGCAGAATCAGCAACCATAGCTGTTTGGAATTGCTCTACTATGAATTGTTCGCTCATTTTCCAGTTTTTCTCTATCTATTAAAATTGTAGGTATTCAAATTTATGCAAATAATACATTATCTAACTAGTGCGGGAAAGTAGATTCTTGTCTCGTGTGAGAGGTTTATGTCCTGAATGAAGCGAGGGTGAAAAGATACACGAGACAAGAATCCTTTCCGAATATGTATTGTATAGTATTTTTTTATACGACGTGTAGAAAGTTCGTTTTTGAACGCACGTTTTTATCCGAGTCTAAACATTTTTTTTAATTGCTTAATTTTGAGTTTGCCAGTTTGTAGTAATATTTGGGTAAAAGTACATAAAAAATGTTTTCTTACGTATTTTTGTTTTTCATTTTACGTTTGTAGATTTATTGAATACTCCAAAGTTCGTAAATTAATGTAATGATATTTACTATGTTTAGAAAAATAAGTCAATAAGTAATAGTTCCTATAAATAGTGTAATGTTCAACGTTAATAAAATATAATGTTGTTTATTGTTCTTGTATTTTAATCAAAATTTATAACAATAAGTAAAAGGTTTGTGATTGTTGAAATGTCATAATTCATAATAATAATGCAGTCGCGGCGGTTGTGATAAAGCATTTCACGGATACATACCATGTCGGTTCCCATATACTGATAGTACCTGGCGAAAGCTTCGCTCAGCCAAAGGTAAGTCCACCATTCGGGTGTGACGAGATTACCGAACCACATGTGAGTACATTCATGAACAATGACTGAGGCGACACTTTGCTTGGTTATATCAGATGAGTGTTTCTCGTCATAAAGACCAGCTGTCTCACGATAGGTAATTAAACCCCAATTTTCCATGGCGCCAGCTGAAAAGTCTGGCACCGCTACCATATCCATTTTAGGCATGTACTTCCAATAACTTACATTAAATAATTCGCTGAATGCTTGAAGAGTTTTGACGCCAATTTTTTGGCTATAGACGGTTTGTGAAATAGCATTTGGTCGAGCCCACATTTTTACATTATCGTCATTAGTTGAATAAGCTTTAAAATCAGAAATCACGAAAGCTACGAGATACGTTGACATTTTTGGGGTTTTTTTAAATGCATACTCATTTCTGCGAAAGTAATAATACATTTCGTGACTTTAGATAAATTTATTTATATCATGCAGCATAGTTATTTAAACTCACGTCTTGTTATCAAATTGGAAATCCATATTACTCAGGCAACTGTAACCTTCAGGCACTTGAATATTTATTATGAATTTAGCTTTGAATTCCGGCTCGTCGAAGCAAGGAAAAGCATGTCTTGCATGTGTTGACTCGAATTGAGTGGAAGCCAGCCATCTTAAATTATATTTGACAATTTGTTAATTTATACTCTTATTGTAATTTTAATAATTTTTATTTTCAGACTATCTTACCTTTGGTTGCCTTTTTCGTCATAATAAGAACTTTTGTAAAAACCTACCATGTCATCACGTAATTTTCCATCGAAACTTAATGAGATTTCGATAGAACTCTCAGCCTTTAAACTCTCTATTAAAGAGATTACGAGGGTCTCTGTTTTATTATTTATATAGAAATTTGTAAAACCAATTTCAACACCATCTGCCCGTATAGAAGTTACGTTCACATTAATATCACCGGCATTTAAAACAATTTTTTGGACATCCTCTTCCACCATAGCTATAATATTACAGTTACCGTTGAATTTGGAAATCTTAAAATTTATGTCAAATATTTTGATATTATAAGTATATGGCTTAATCGACTTTGGTAACCGATACTGGCTTGAATCTTGATGAACCGAATCGGCATTATTACTATGTTCATTTTCTTGAAAATTATCAAAACTGGTTGGATGACTTGCAGCGCTGGCTATTAATGCGAATGTTGCCAGCACGTATAAGGTTAAAAATATATTTGGTTTGCTATCCATTCTAAATATTCCTGATAAATCAAAAGACATCACTCACGTAAATATTCTTATTTTAATCAAATAAATATATGTATTTTAACGTAGGTAGAATAAGAATGAAATTTGAATTATTAAAGAAAGAAATCAGTAATAAGTATTTATATCATGCAAGTTGAAAATTTTTATGATGAAAAAAAAAAAAAAAAATTCAAATGAAATACTTAACGGATAGTGAAATGAACATTGAACAATGTGGATATAATACATGAGTCCGTGTATGATGAATATCTAGATTAAAAAAAAACGTTTTTGAACAATAGTTTCCAACGGTATGAATAATAAAGTTATATAGAATTTAATAAGTTTACTGTTAAAGCAAAACAAGCGATTTTTGCCCTAGATGCGAATTTCGGAATGAAAGAGAATATAATTATTCACAAACAAAAATCAAAGAGTCTATTTGTTTGAACTGACATATCAAATGAGAAAAGTGGCTATAAAAACCATTTAAATATTACTTGGGTTAAAAAAATAAGTTTTTGAACCATAATGGATCACGCCACAACGATCGTATTACAATCAAGTAAAATTAAAAAATTTCATTAATATAACTTCAGATGTTTCAGAAAGAAATTATTTAAAAGTATACAAGTACCACTTACCCATGAGTGTTGTAATGCAATAGAAACAGATTAAACGTTCTTCATTGTTACCGAACGACACTTAAACTGTGTAGCTATGGATTGTCTCTATGTTATCACGCTTCCACTAGCAAGTCTGTCTGAGGAGTTCTCTGCCCTTGTCGGAGGAGCGAGAAACTCTGACGCCGATCGGTCAGTCTAGCCAATATACCGATTTCCACTCGAAAAAATGCAACTCTACCGCTCTCACGTATATTTCTACATCCGTACGCCTTTATAGCCGTTATCGTTATTTCTGTCCTTTCCTCTCTAAAAGCCTCGCCATACTAGACATCCTCTTCTTATGTGTTCGTTTTTAACTTATCGTGCTTTTAAGTGCTGATAACACGACGTTTATCAGTATTTTTTTGATAAATCAACCTGCTTTCAACCTTTACCGTGACTAAGTTATATTATGTATAGGTTTGTAAAGTTGGAATGATATATTTAATTTGAATATTGGCCAGAACACATAATAAAAAACAATGAGGAAATTTTATTTTTGTAAACGAATGGAAGTTTTTTTGTCGGATGAATATATTTATGAAGAATAATATTGATAACAGACAATTATACAAAATTATAATTGTCATTAAAAATAAATCTGTTTGTATTAATACATTTTATAAATATGAGAAATGAAAATAAATTTCACCGTTATATTAAACGGCTTATCTATGTGATAAAGTTCCTAAGCAAATTTTATCGATGAATAATAATAATCATTCGTAAACAATGGAAGCGGCTATAAGCAATCTGAGTTAAATAACGATGACATACCTTTGTATTTCTTAATATTTAGTTAAAAATATCGATGAATTTTGAATTATTTTCTTGTACGTAAAATGAAATGAAAAAGAAAAACCTTTTTTTTCCTAATGATATACTCATTTCTTAATTATTAAAATTAATAAAAGTTGTGGAACAATAAAAGGTATCATTTTTGTATTTATATAGAATGTTTATATAGAATACAAAAATATTATCTATCATTAGTAAAGGATTGTACTCATTGTATTTATTTTTGCAATTATGTAAAGGTGTGACCCCAATAGCGCGAATAAACTGTGCGTAAAAATATCTAGGACTTTTATTCCTATATCAGTTGAATAATTATTTTTATTTTATGTAGCTTGTCTGCAATGGAAATAAAATTAAAGAATATGAGAAAAAAATTTTAATAATCAATTATTAAACTGAATATTAAAGAACCTTCATTATTTTTATTTTTATACAAGTGTACTAAAATTACACGTACAACATTCATTTCCAGATAATTAACTGTTATTCAGCGAGAAACTATTCATCCTCCTTGACATACTACCTTGGTTTTGGACATCGAAAGTCGCAACGAATGCAAGGAAACATTGTGTAATGTCAGTATCTACGATTTCTAAAAGCTTTACGAAACTGATTTTCTGATTTCTATCTACGTTTGTGAATATCATTTCTGATTATAATCTAAAAAATTTTTTTTTAAGAAACAGTGCGTTCTTTAGTATACATATTAATAATAAGTGATAAAAATTCTTAACAACGAATATATATTTGCCGAAAAAAGCAAAGATACTATTAGCTTATACAAGTGTATATTCAAGCCTTGTACATAAAAAATGTGGTTATTGTTAGCAAATATTTGATCGCCTTTTTACGATAACATTTCCTCGCATAACTATTTGTTCTTCTCTTGCCAAGTTTCTTGTACGTAATAAATTGAGGTCAACAATTATTTACGGTTTTTCTCATAAACGCTTAACGGTTAACTTCTATTGTAACAGTTATGTTCTTTAGAATTTTTAAAAGTAGATACGTATATATATATATATATATATATATATATATATATATATATATATATATATATATATATATATATATATATATAACTATATATATTCTTTCGAGCGAAGTAATGAAATAGCCAATTTCTATTGATTTATAAGCATTAGATATTACTTTAACTACATAGTACAACAATTATATCGATTTATTTTTCAATATATGATATAAATACCACCTTTTGAGAAGGAGTGTCTACGATCACAATTTCATTTTCATATTTTACGTGATTTCCTTCGTAAATTCTTTGCCACATCTGATTTTCATTTCAAATGAAATTGAACCGCGCATAAGATAACGAAGTGTTATAATTATTGATAACTAATTATTTCGAAGATCTGACTTAAATGTTTGAATGTCAGTGTCTCAAAACTTAGCATTATAATTTATTTTTTTTAATCATAAAATCTTAACATATGGTGGTTTGAGTGTAATACGATACTAATAGTAGGTTATCGCTGTCTACAACTAAAACAAAATAGTATTATTGATAAAGAATACACTGCGAGCTCAGTGTTCAACTTTGGAACGCTCAATTTTATCATTTATGTAATATGTTCAAAAATTTATGAAAAATTAGAAAACTCAAAAGTTTTTCAATATTTTACATTAAATCCAAAAAAAAACCATTGACTAACTATTTTTTTTCAGAAATTATCGTTTACAAATAAACTAATTGATTTTTTCTAATTCCAACGCAGTTGCTCCAGAAAATCTTCGAATTTTTCAAAATTTCTGAAGAAATTGTAGCTGTGTAAAGTTGTCCGGTTCTGAAAGAGTTCAAAAATCCGTGTTTTTCCCCCTTCCGATTGCCGCTACAACTTTACTTTTGAATCTAGAAGATCTAATGAATCAATAGATGTGAAATATTGTTTGCTTTGAGGAGCGAAAGTAAAGTTAGGTAAATTTAAAGAGACTTGAAAATTTATTAAATTAGTAAATTACAGAAATTAAACGAAGCTGAAATAACACGTACTACAATGAACTAAAGATAATTGTCCAATTAATAAATTAACACAATTACAATATATAATTTAGCAACTTAACAAATATCGAACACAAATTAAAAACGTAAGGTATGTAATTAGAGTCTAGGTTAACATGAAATGACAATTTAACCAACGTCTTGTTGCAGATAACCATAAGGTTCCCACGACAAACACGAATAATTGAGAGATTCTGCTGAACTGCGCTGAATGAGTCCGAATGTCTAAATTTTCCCTTTCGTTTTCCCGTTGTTTTTCATTTTCTCGTAGCTCAGTGGCTGTCGGGCGTCGCTTAGTTTTGCTTTGCCACCAACAATGGTGTTCGTCGTTCGTTTCAACCTTGTAGTCTTTATTTCAATACATACGTGACTACCTCTAATACGAAAACGAGGCAAAACAATCTTTTATTGTTTTTCAAGGAGGCCTGCGGAAACTTGAGACAAACATCTAAGTACTCGCTAGTCATAAATAGTTCCTAGGCGCACTTGACGTGTTTTCGAACGTATATCATGAGTTCGGGTAACGGTGATTCACCGGCGGTTACACATAAGCTTAAAAAATACAAATGATCACATACCCGATCCAGTGTCTTACCGTTCGCATGTGATTTTCTTCTGATTATTCTATAGTATAATACATAGTCTTCCTTAATAAATATATTAAGCTTTAATGCTCCGTAAGTCCTGTATTTAAATGCGATTTATTTCAACATGCGGACAATTGTAAACGGTTTTATTATACATAAATTATTATATACTGTAATATGGTATAAGAATTAATTCATGTCATATTATTATGCACAAAGAATTGTGCATATAATGAGATCGCGCACACCTTATTTTCACAAAGATATGTGAAAACGAATATATTACTTATCTGTTTGATCTCTCTTTGATAGCTTATCTTCACATATCGAGTATAGCATTATTACGGCTTAGTTAAAAAGTATTTTATTGGTTTTTTTTGTATACATGAAGTAATAATAGTTTTGATTTAAGGTATTTCACATTAAAATTATCAGTTTTTACTTTCTTCTTGCAGTCTTTATTTATTTAGACTTTTATTATATCTAATTTTTTGTATAAATTACTAGTAAATTAAATTAGGTAGTTTATTAGTATCAGAGGGCCAAAACGTGGATTCGCTAGTTGATATTGATATTAAATTTTTTATTCGCATTACTATGTACAGTTTTGAACCTTTTGAATTTAGAGTTATTGCTCTTGATCCCCATCATTGATGATTTGCATTGTAGTAGCTTCCCGCTAAGAAGCGATTTCCTAAAATTTATTGAGTTAAAAACATAGTTGCAATGAGAATTTTGGCACTGTCATATTTGGTCTGGTTATCGGCTTAGAACCTATAACAGTGGCAAGGGACATAATTTTTTAGACTCACTATGCATATGAATTAATCCATAGTCCTATTCTATGTTATATATTTTGTACCATATACATATAGGTATCACGAAAATAAAAGAGAATATTTTTTACGTCATTGCATTTAAGCTTTTATGAAAATCAAAGTTTTAGTAAAATTTTATTGACTTATCAATATTTTAATCGTAAGACATAATCTTAAGACATAATTTTTGTGCGTACTTTATACCACAAAAATATTCTTAAAATATAAAACCATTATCATTGGTACCAGATTAAAAACAAAAAATCAATAGCAGGTTCGTCGTTGATTGCCAATGAATGAGATAGCGTATTGCACGTATAGGTACAAAGTCGATGCCCGTGTACTGATAGTATCTGGCAAAGGTTTCAGTCAGCCAATACTAAGTCTATCACGCGGTCGTGACGAGGTTGCCGAATCACATGTGGCTACATTCGTGAACAATGGTAATACATTACTTAGAGCAATGTTAGTGTTTCTCGTCGTAAAATCCATTGTTCTCACATAGGTGAATTAGCTTTAGTTTTATTGTTAATATTTATATAACGTTATATTAATTATATTATATAATTAATATAACTTTATATTAATATTAATCTATTGATTCTCATGTTTATATTAATCTATTGATTCTCATTTCAGCATATTTATTAGTTCATTCATTTGTCATGGGTATAGCCACATATTAAATTTTCGAAAATTTAAAAAGCGATAAATTTAACGATATAACGACTATTCTACGGCGTCTTTTGCTATATTCATCGTATATTTTACAATGAAATAAAATCAATTAAATAATAAGATTTAGAATTTACTAATATTTATTATATATAAACTTACCTTAAGAAAATATGTAATCTTTATACATTTATTATAATTATATGTATTGATACTTAATATTATCAACATTTTTCCATTTAAAAATTCCATTTCCTATTTAGGGTATCCTACAAATTATTTTGTTTATTAATTTAAGTATCTTTATAAATTACAAAAAATGAAGTCTACAATGAAATTTTATCATCCTGATTTTAACTTTATACAACTAACATTCTTTTCACACATAGTGATTGTTAGCATCTGATCAAAAATTATATTTAACGATGTAAATTATATTATAAATAAATTGTATGGATGCGAAGAAGTGATATGTACATTGAATATCTATATTCTAATAAACAAAGAATTCATCTGAATAAATTAGCTTTCAGAAAATGAATATTCGTAAGAGAGAAAAAGAATCTGCTTGTGAACACTCGAACTAAATTTTCAAATTTGCATTAAATACGTCTGTAATAGCTCTGGCACCAGCCTCATTGATCTCTTCGAATCCACCTTTCTGCATCGCAATTCTGCATCTTTCATACCAAGCGCCTACGTTATCGAATCGAGCGAAGTCAAAACCGAATGACTGTAACATGTGTGAAAACGAACATATCTCTCATTTATTTCTCTTTTTTTTTCTTATCAATTTATAAACAACAACAAATATAGTAGGCTTACTTGTGCAGTGGAAACAGAGCAAACTATTGAAAAATCAGCAATGGTTAGTTCATCACCAGCAACAAAATTACTATTTTCCAGAAAACCATTTAAAAGTTCGAATGCTGTGATCAACGGTGCCATTAACTTTTCATCTGGAGAATCACGTCTTCCAAAAAGTACAGGTGACTAAAAAATAGTACTTGTATTTAATTTTCATTTAAACACGTTTTGAAAATGGGCTCCGTTCCGTCTTTTCGAGCAACAAACGTGAGTCCGTTTAGCAGAAATATTATAAAAAATAATATATTACTAAAATTTGATATCCTGCTATTTAAATTTTTAACATGCTATGAGAAAAGTACGACTTTGCCGCACGCGCATCGAAATACGTACGCTCAAAGTCTTGCTTTCCATACGTTGTTTTGAAAAATACCATACCTAACATGTTCGGGGAAGAGATTCTCGTCTCGTGTGCCTTTTCACCTTCGCTTCGTCTGAGCGTAAACCTCACACGAGATAAGAATCTGCTTCCCTGCACTAGTTAGGTAATGTACTACTATAAAACTTTATTTTTACCTCTGCATTTATAATTTTTAACTAGAATCTTTATAAATTCAGCTTGTCAATTGGTGCTTATTATTGATACGAATAGTTCTTTCATTTAACTAAACGTGTCATTGGTCAAAATATTCCTTTTTTCAAATGTACGAACTAACAATAATATTTCTATCAGAGCAGAGAAAATAAAATATCCTCCAACAGCATATTTTACTTATAAATTCATATTGATGGCTCCCAACGGTTATATAATATTAAATGAGACGAATTACTTAAAAAATAATGTATTCACTGTTTGGACATTTCTATGTGTATTAGTAGTAAATTGCAAAATACTCACGCCGTACGCAAAAATACTATCATAAAGCGTTCCCAAATCGAAGAATAGCCGATACTCAACAGTTCCTCTTTTCTCTGGATCTTTTGGATAAAGAGCATCATTTTTTGCATATTTCATTACCAAGTACGTCATTATTGGTCGGCTATGAAAATAGTGTAGATCAGAGTTTACCATAATCACCATAAAAAATTTAACGTCAAGTCTTTCACTGTACCTTTCCCACAGAACAACACCATGATCGTCCATAGTAGGGACGGTATGCGCTGGATTAAGCTGCAGCAAGAAAAGATGAGGAAAATCGATTGATCATAAGAGGATCTCATTTTTATCCTTTTTTCAAATTTGTCATTCATTGCGGTGCATATTTATTTTATAACGTAGGTTATATTAACATTTTTCATGATACTGACATAATATAAATTTAACAAAATTGTCTGAGTGTTGGACATAATATTTTCAACTGATATAAATTTTCTAAATAAGAGCAATAATGCTCGAGGAAAATTTATAAAACTATATTTCATATGGTTACGAAATATTATTCATTTATCAAATTTTTAATAAATCCACAAATTCGTGAGACAATGTTGTATTATTGTAAAACTACCTTCCTAAATAGGGGTTTTAAATGGTCTCCCTTTATAACGTTAACTGGTTTGAGATTTAAGTGAACTCCAATGAATTTTGCTAACATCATCACGGCTCGACATGGTGGGCTTGGTGGTATATAGTACAAGTCTATCGTCATGTTGTTATTTTATTCCAATTGGTAAATTCTGAAATTTCTCGCTTCGTTTTTTCCTCAGTGATTCAATATCTAGAATAAATTTGATAAGTAAAATATAGTACGTATAGAGTATTTTCATTTGTATCAATGGAAAATAAAAACATTTTATTACAATACTACAATCTTTAGTTGCAATACGATGATCACCTTGACGTAAAAAAAATTTTTTTTGTTATTTTTCAGTTCCATTTCTCGTAATTAAATATTCTATTGAATTCTTGTACTTTTATGCAACAGATACTGATTGATTTATCAAAACTTAAAATTTTGTAATGTCATATTCTGTGTATTTGAGTGGACATATTTTATAATGAATAAAAAATAAACTTCAACCAATGTATTTTAATCTTGAATAGCCAAGAGACATATAAGCAACGACTTAGATGCTAATTTATTGAGTGGGGTAAATTACGTAGGCATACAAGGGTTTAACATGACTAAGCATTTTTGATATGTATCAATTACGGCAAAATCGTATCGTAATTCTCAGACATTCACTTTTAAGCTTTGATAAGATGAATTTGTTATTATATAAGATAGACAATTCTAATTTCAACAGCGATAGAAACACCATTCTGCTAGTTTTGCAGGAGGTTCGGAATAGTATTAAAAAACCAACCTACCGCTTTGTTCTTTTAACAAAACTATTACAACTCATATATTTTAACATGACTTTTAACATGAACTAAAATGAAACTACATGATGCCACGATAACTCACACTTTTATAGAAAGAAAAACTAAAGAATTACTCCATTAAAAAAAAAATCTTCTTTCAGCTTCAACGATGTACCGCGAGAAACATTCACGCAGCCACTGGTTGCACTGGGTGTACAGTGGAAACCTGGTCGCCATGGCAATGGCGACAAACAATATGCTCATACCTATAGTCGTTGAATGCTATATGTCCAAGCGATTTACGTACATCAGAGTCGCTCCACTGAACTTCACTCGCTTTACTTTTTATGGATATCGATCAGGTTAAGGACAGTGAAGCGATGTATTATAAAACTTGTCTTTAAAGATACAAAATTACACTAGAATTAATCATTTTTTCATCCAAACAAAAAAAGAAATAGAACTTTTTCAACTAAAAATTATAAATTGTGTATTATTGAAAATTTGAACATGAGCATGATCAGTGAATTAAATTATATTTTGAAATAAAGTTATGTTCATAGATAGAGACAAAGATAAACAGAAAATTATGTTGTTTTCAACAATGCAAGCATAAAGATGACTCACATTGTCATTTAAAAAAAAAACAACAACATGGCACTGCATGCATAATCGTTACGCTAAAAATTGCCAATGTAATTAAAATATCACGCGTCGGTAACAATGTACGCTTACATCTCATCTCTTGTGTTTGCTGCGCTGCAGAGTTAATCCTATAAGAGGTGGAATGCTTGGTTTGCTGTTAATCAAAATCGGCTGGCTGCTGCTGTTTGCTGTACGCCAAATCCATTAAGGGAAATGAGAAACCAGCTACAACGAAATGATCTTCGCATATTTCCCGCCAGGACGAGCGCCAGGGCTTTTGCACGAGTAAATAAAGTAATGAAATGTATGTATTTCATGCGAAAGCTAAATGTCGCGCATACCCGTGCGCGGTGTACGAAATGGGGAACATTAATTTGTCCGTTCGATAACGCTTGGTGCAATAGATATGAATAAATATGGATACAATAGACACTTATAACTTTGACGATATTTTAATTTTTAAGCTTATTTGAATTTTGGAAATATCGATACTTTTTATACGTTAGCTATATTCGATGGGGGGCTACCCTTCTAATAAGTTTTTATAAATTGAAGGGAATGATGGAAATGATATAATTCTTTGCAATTGCACGAAGTAATATTCATTTCAAATATTCAAAGTAAAGCGAGATTGGCATCTCTACTTGACCTGAACTTGAAATTCAATGAATTTTTAAAATTTCATAAAATTCATATTGATGTTTGTATATTCCAATATTATAATTTCATCAGATAAGCTGCTGTTACTGTCATGATTTGTTTAGTTATTTTTGAGATGGAACTGTATCGCTTTTTGAATTCACGCGTTGGACGAGTTTATGTTTGTCCGAGCCGATTTGTTTTACGATCTGGTTCAGTCACAAGTACGGAACCCAATTGACAACAAAATTAAAATGTTCGACTATCTTAAAATTGAATCTGCTTGCTAAGCAAACATTTTTTAATAAACAAGTAGCTAATCGTACCGTGGCAGCTGATTGTCAGGTGTCATTGATTTGTAGCACATGAAAAACGTTTATAAAAAAATGTAACTAATAAATCTTCAGTCATCAATTTCTACCTCAATTTTTCTTTAAGCGCTATCTTAAAATAATACCTCTATCGCTCTGTGAAAGTAGTTTACAAAAACGAAATTTAACGTGTATTGAATGTGTAGCGAATCGAAAATTTCAAACAGACAGACATATTCTTTAGGTGAGAAAGCGAGCGAATATCGAGGAGAAAGAATTTCAAGCAGGCGGCAGCACCTCAGTCTAATTTCGTTCGCGTCATCCATCCTCTCGTCTTATCTTATCTTGCCCTCAGAGTTTCGCTCTGGAATAATGAAAATGTTACAAATTGTGACAAGTTTTTCTTTCAAGCTGGAGTAAGTGAGGGAGAAGAGAGAGAGAGAGAGAGAGAGAGAGAGAGAGAGAGAGAGAGAGAGAGAGAGCGGAGTGCAATTTCCATTACGTTTCAATCACACTGGAACGATTTCTACTGCTAAGCGAATCACTCCAAGAGAGTGGGCGGGAGATTGCTTTACTTCCACAAGAGTTCTCATTGATTCAGTCCACTTCTTCATCAAATGTAAGTATAGTACAGAAGATGTAGGAGCAAGCATAGCAAAATAGCGTTGCAATCTCGAAGATCTCAAATTCGCATGCGCCACTCAAAATGCAAATCTCATGCAAAAGTTACGGGCACACCCGTAAGGGTATGAAAGCATTTCTCGCTTGCACACTTCTCATCATCCGCTCTTCGGAGGCTGTCACACCCGACGGTAGAAAACAGTGCAACAGGTTACTTCAAGGAGCACACGTGACTTTCCAGAATATTTTACGGCCGATAATGAGGCGACGAGGTGACATGAGAGCAAACAGTGGCACTACAGTCAATTGGTCGGCGACGGCCTATACGGCGCAACGGTTCAATTGTTTGCGCGTTGTCGCTCGACTGCGAAGAGCTACGCCGTGGCTCTTTAATTAGCACTTGTCTGCTTTTCGACAAACACCGCGCGAGAAATTTTGCCAACAACATTATGCTATCGGATGCATTATGCAATGTTGTTCTGCAAACGATATTATGCTAGAAGAAAATGAAATTTTATTTCATCTCCCGTCAAAAAAAAGGCATGTTTTTGCAATATCGCGGAGAAGCTCTTTTTATTTCTCGGCACGAGCAATCTCAAAACGTTCTTCGAAACTAATATTTCAACCGCTCTCCGACTATACGCGAGCCTCCCTTTTTTATGCGCCCAGGAGCATGCGCCAGGTAAACTTCAAAGAGCAGAAAGTACACTTCGAAGCTGCGTATTACCATAGCATTTTTATTCACTCAGGAAACCCATATTAAAAAATCACGGTGTTTGCTTACGTAGTCCGATAACGCATGTGATTCTTTTCGTATAAAATAAACGAGAGTATTTAGTTAATGATTAGATTTGAGAGATAGGAAATAAAGGATGAGAGAGAACGTATGCGTATAGTCGCGAGCGTAATACGTTGAGCCAGGAGGAGAAAAAAAAGCGCTTATGGTACATGCAAGTACGCGTGAAAAGGGTGCTGCCTAGAAACGATGCTGAATAAAGGAATGAGTGCTTACACGTTTGTGCAGCAAGCAATAAAAAAATATGCACGCAGCGGAATCGTAGCTCGAGGGTGCATTCGAAAGCTTGCGCAGCTTAATTGGAGGGAGGTAGAGCTTATCTCGTTCTGTGATTGCCGCATTGTTTCCTTTTTATTTTTTCAACCGACGCTGTTGGAAAAGCGAAGCCATAGACATTTGGCTGTATGCCTTCAGATTTATCGATGAACTAAAAAAAATTGTAAAGTTCATCGTTGGACGTGTGGAGCGTAGTTGTATGAAACGCAATAACACGCGACGTAACAGCAGTTTTAACTGGCACATAATTTCCCTGATTTGTGCTGCTCGCATTTGCTCGTAAATATGGAGCACTTTCATGTGCGATGCTCATTAGACCACCGTTTCTCCAAAATGAATCGGGCTTCGAGCGTAAATTAATCGAGCTTGCCCGATGTGGCACTACACGCACTGAAAAGGATTTGTTTGTATCAAAAGAATTCTGTGCAACACAGTCCAGTTGTTGTACGAGAATTATGCGATACGACTAGCCTGAAGACTTTTTTTCAACATAATATGCTTTCGATGGCTTATGGATGAAATTTAAAAAATAGAAATTGCAATGGCAGCTGAACATTTGTTTGAATATTAATGCTTTCGCACAATATAGAAGAAAATTGATTAGAATAGTCGAGTTTATATACTGAAGTTAGTAGATGTCCATTACATTGTTAGATTGATAATTTTCTGATTATAAAAATTGAAGAAAATATCAATTTCACGAGAGAAAACAAGCTTTACAAACGTTAGAAATTCATCGAGTGCGCGAACAACTGATTCGAGTAGAGAGCACTGGCCTCAATGAGGCGTGATTACAAAAGCCAATCAGCGTAAACAGCAGCGCGTAGCAGTCAAATTGCAGCAATCATTCAGCTGAAAGTTTCCAGGCTGCAACTATTTGAGTGGTCCAATCAATAGAGGCGCCGATTCACTACAAATATTAATTCATGATGCAGATAGACTTGGTGAACAACTAAACTCGTGCAGAAAATGAGAAAGTCGCATCCGAGGCGACATTATAAACAACGACGGAGTAGTGAAAAGAGTCGATATCAACTCTCTTTCTCTCTCTCTCTACACACACACACACACACACACACACACACACACACACACACACACACACACACACACACACAATGTAAGTATATACATGTATATATATTTGTATATATATATATCAGGCACGAGGCAAGCGCAGGCAAAGTGAACAAAAAAAAAAAGAATAGACTTGCTTGGACGAGGTAGAAAATCGATCGAGGCACTATAGCCCGAGGGAAAGGAGAGCTCCTTGTCGCACACATGCGCCAGCGGAAATTCATCCTTGAATGATCAATCTTTTATATGAATAAATTCGAAAGCAATGGTGATTTGCGATATAATAATTCTGATCAATTATGATTAAGGATTGTCAAACTTACTATCAGGTGAACGCGTCATGAATTGAGCTCAATTTTCATTTCAACGTTGACTAGATTTATTATAAATTGATAATAGGTCTCGAGTTCTCAAGATTTGGTTGATAATTATCAAATTGAGAAATACTTCGAAGAATGCCCAATTTCATTATCCTCACAATTAATTGAGAGGGGAAAATCGGATCTGAAGATTTATCTTATAAATAGATATTTTCAATTCGATAATTTTATCGATCAAAGAAATCTAATTACAAGAATTCAGAAAGGTTACTATGTACATCACTGGTTTCAGAAATTCATTCGATCTCTCATTCAAATTAAATTCCAATTACGAGAATCAAAATTGGAGCGCAAGTTCTTGTCGCGTTAGAGAGAAAAAAAAAGCGAGCACAACGGTAGTCAATGCTTCTTGCCTTTGTCAATTCAAGCGATCTAAATGCCGCTCTAGTATTGCAAACCACAGAGTTCGCAGACTCCCCCGTGGCTCGGTGGTGGTGCAAGAGGGCGCAGCCGCGAAATAGTAGAAGGGGGCCAGGCACTGAGCGGCGCGGCTTGCTGAGGTGAGAAAGCGCGTGCGAGTACAAGCGCATCGAGAGGGAGGGCGTCAGTCGGTCGTTGGTCCGAGCGTGAGTTTGACGTACGTAGCCGTGCGTCCGCGCATCTACAGTATATAGGCCGGCTTGACAGCTGGTGGTTTGTTTGTTACTCTAAACAACAGAAGCCGATGCTCTTTATTGTTGCTGCTTTTTATTTCTCATGGAGAGTTATAAATGATTGTGCGCGGTACTTGCAAATGAGTTTTGCCCGACATGGTTATTACCTCCAAAGTTCATTACTGCTTGTTTGTGGTGAAATTGTTTTGGCGCGGTCGAGCTTGCAAGAAAATTTACTGTGAAGCGCAAAAGTTTGTCGCCGTGGAGAAGTGATTCAGTTCGTTAAGAAAAGCCTGGATATTTCCTTAAAGAATTCCTTTGCAGTCCGTAAGTTTGCTTCGTCAAAATTTACCAAGCGAACGTGCCAACGAATCCTAATCCGTTAATTCCTCTTTGCTAAAGATTTTATTGGATCGAGTTCGTTATCTACTTTCTCTCTGTCTGTTTCTGCCTCTCTCTCTCTCTTTCTCTCTCTCTCTCTCTTTCTCTTTCTGTACGTCTTCTAGGCTCCTCCTTGCTCGGCTCCCCAAAGGATTCTTCTCGAGACTACCGACTTGGCATTCGCGGCTTGGCTAATCGATTCGTCGCGTATCATTAGGCAAACTTGTAAAACTCCTGTCGATGTGTAGCTCTTCGTCGATCTAGGAAGCATTCAATGTTGCATGTCTGTTTATTAGATTGGAATTCTCAGGAACATTGAATATTTAAAGGACATCATTCATTATTTTTCTTTTAGAATTAGATCACTACTTGCGTTTGCAATCTGTTTTATAGAGCAGTCAATTTTCCGCTAAATTATTCCACACGGTAAATTTTATTTGTCGAGAGACCATTATAGCAATACGATTTGATAAATATCATAATATAACCTCAAACGAGGTCTACAATTAAACTGTTTTCTATTTATTACGCGTGTGAAGGAAAGATTTCATCCTCATTTCTGTTCATATTTATGTTTCCGGATGCAAGTATTTCCTCTCCTGCCTGTAAAAAATTTCTTTGATAAAGTTTAACGGGCATGATACACGTTTTCATCATTGCATCATATTCAATTATTTTGATAAGAATTGAATTTTAAGTTAATAATTTACCTAATTTAATATATTACTCAACGATAAAGCCAGTGTGATTAATTTAAGTAAGTTATAAATGTAGATTATGGTTTATAAAAATCGTATAGTCAACTCAAGTAATACAAGTAATACAATGTTCGTAAACCAACATAAAAATGTATTTAGATGAGCTAACATTACATATTTATAATCACTTATGCCATAAGCTAATTGTAAAACAGATAAATAACAAGAATGACTAAATTAGAATTCAATTCAATTCAATTATATATAAGGTTAATAGGTTAAGCTATAATCAAGTTGTTTATAGTCCAGCGTTTTCAAAGTATCCTAAACGTTATTAGTAATTAGAGTAACTAAATAGTAATAATTAGTAATAATCTAATCTAGAATGAAATTATCTAGAAACTATAGAGTAAAACCATGATATGCTCGTCAAAATTTGAAGCGAAATCCGGCGAGATCAATAAATTCACGTAGTGACTTATTGCTGTCGGCCGGCAACAAATCGATCGCAAAGCCGTTGGTTACGTGAAATCCTTGATCGGTTTTTTTTATTTCCGCGTGTCTCGTTTTTCTCCTAGCAAATATCGAACTCCCAAGCGAGATTAATGAGCATTACAGACAAAATAAATCATTGCATGTCAGTTAATCGATCGTTAAAAAGGTTTTACGACCAAATCACCTTTGTGTCGATGGCAAACCCTTTGTTTACTATTGTTGCGTTCGAGTACTCGTCTTCTGTATATTTGCGAGATTTATTGCCTCTATCACTCCTCCTTAAAGAAGGATTTGTTCTGTTCTTAACGTTTTACGTTACTTCTTATTAGCCAAGAGATTTTTCTGTGTAGAATCTCTGTGTATTCTCATCAAAATCAGTTAGACACTAATTGAAGTGATAGAAAAGGTATGGCATACAAGACAAAGTCAACTGACAGATAAATGATAAAATTATTTAATAAAAAATTATTATTACAGACTATTATTACAGCTGATCGTTTATTTTTAAAAATAAAATAAACCGCAAGCCACTGAGTCGCTTTATATTTCTGAACACTTAATACTCACTTGAAAATCGTAATTTATAACTCAATTTAGACAGGGCATGTTATCTTGTTCAGTGTTTTAAATAGTCGATAAAATTAGTAAATCAGAGTTCTATAACTAGGAATATGTATGAGATTGTATGAATAAGTAATCTGAAATTGAATTTACCCAGTATGTTAATAAGCAAAGAATAAATAAGTAAAGATCGAGGTAGGTCGGGTTGCCGCTATTTTGACTGCCCTGAAACGGAGACGCCCCAGAGGTTACCGCGCGTATTCTCAGCTAGGTCAAACGGGTGCCGGTAGCTCTTGTTGCGGTCGTCGGTTCGCAGTCATCGTTACAGAGAGGCATACACAGGTGCACGCACGCAACGGACGTTCCACAGAAATGTAGTGCAGGACCAAGGCACTCACACTCACACACAGTACACACGTAACGCAGCGCAAAACCCACGTGGTAATGATGGGGTTCCGCGCGCAGTGCAAGACAACGCAGTGTCGAAGAACGCGGACACGATCTTTTTATTACTTCCGCGTGTCTCGTTTTTCTCCTATATATTCTAAACCACGAGTTGGGCTCTGCTGGTACATAGAAGTTCAAAAGAAAAGAAAACCGAGAGTAAGAGAGAGAAGCCACGAGTTCTCACACGGTACTGAGCTCATCTTTCCGTTTTTTTGAGCGGGTGGAAAAGAGGAAACGCCCTTGCCGCATTAGGCCTTGTTGTGGGGCCAGTCAGGAAAACGCAAGGATTGCCGCGTGATCCCTTTTTTATGACGCGACGCGCGCCGTTTATCCTGCCACACGTGTTGGCATCCTGGGTTTTTCCCGTATGTGACAAACCCGGAAAAACCAACAGCTTAATTCCACGTGTTTGAAATTAAACGAACGAATTGCATCTTCGAATGCGCTTTCTCGCTTTTTTCTTATGGAGCGCGAACGCAGCGAACAGTCAGAATATAATCATTTAGGTGCTGGTGCACGTCGCAATAAAGTAGTCTGCACTTACAGAAAGGCGAATAAAATTATGACTGTTATTGTTCTGGAAATAAAATAACCGTACCCAGATGGATATTTTATTTCCGCGTCGAGTAATCGTGCGCTGTTAATTATACTCCAGAAAGTTTAATTTTAAACGTCTGAGTATATACTCAATTGTATTGAGTACATACGTAGTATTTAATCGAACGAATGTCTTTGAGAAATGTTGATGTAAAAGATGGAATAATTTTCTATAGTGCAGTCTTTGAGAAACGGTGTAGAATATGGAATAATTTTCTACAGTGCCAGTCTTCTACAAGCCTGCAAGCTCGAAATTCAGATTAAGCTAACCGATGCACCCACGTGTCTCACGGAAAGGGAAGGTCTCCCTCGGTCGATTGTAATCTCCAGCATGGTCACATTGCGATTCTATCGCGACGAAAGTAACATTGTAAAGTGCAAAATAGAAACGAGGGCGTGCATATATTTAAAAGCGCAAGTGTGCGGTAGAGCGCAACTAAACTGAAAAGCTCAGTCAGTTTTGGAAAGAGCTCAGCCTTTTATTTGGGAAAATCCATAAAAGTTTTCGCCGCAAAGGTTAAGGAATTGTAATCTTGCATTTGTGCCTGATTTGCCACCCATTCGTAGCAACCAAAAAGCCAGAAAATTTATCAGAATCTTACTTCTGCAAAAGTGGAAAAATAAAAAAAAAATTCTACAAGTTCAATCTCATTATTTACCGAGGGCGCCTTGAATAAGCACTTAGCCCCGTCTGTTTGTTGAGTGGCTGCCTTTAATGGATTTCACGAGTGTCTCGACTACAATGAGCCAGCGCAATTTGCACTTTATTTTACGTAATTACCAGTAGCTCGTTGCGCGAAGAACGAAAGAAAGGAAAAAAATATGTTATCGAGTGATCGATCTGCTTGACTTTTCGCGTGTTTAATTAGCGACTACAATGCTCCCTTCCCTCACTTTCAATGTCTATTATATCGATCGCCCGTTAATTTAGAACGAGACCCGCTTGGAATTGTTTCTACGGCTCGTTATTGAGCTTTTCAAGCCAGATCTGCAAATTAAATCGTTTCACTATAGGACTTCCAATCTGGTACTTGATGCAGTCTGACTTTTCAATGATAATTACATTCATAGGGAACGCATTATCAAAGATCATGAGCAAAAAGCATTTTCAGATTATTTATTTCAATTGGTATCAGTGTGTAGCCATTATCATGATTCGAAAAATATTTATCAACTTGGATAGTAAAAAGAATAAGAATTTGGAAAGACTTAATTTATAGGATATAAAGGAATAGTTGATACATTGTAGCAATCAAATTATTTACTTTATTAATTTATGTATTAAAGATTTTAGAAAATAATAGATATGTAATAAAAAGAAAATTAAAAAACTGAATGGTTAAAAACATGTAGATGTTTATATAACTTATTGAATTACTGTGATATGTATATTAATTTGTTTTAAGTTTCTTAGTTTCCAAGCTTTGGATATTAAGTTATTATTGTACCAATTCACTTACAAGTAAGTAATTCACTTCTGTGGGTTTATGCAGCTTATTCGGTATACATGGATTCGTCTTACATAAATAAAAATAAAAGAAATAAATTCAGAGATCAGTTAGTTAATCTAAATGAAGATACAATTTGGATGTTGTTCTTACATTCCCGCCGATGTAATATAGTGATATATATATTGTAAAGGAATTTATTTACCTTATAACATGTCAATTCTGAATCGATCGCTTACATGCGCTTCAGTGTAGCGGCGGTAACGCTACGTGCGAAATCGCCATAAATTAAAACAACGACCACAGTAAAACTGGTGGGCTCACGCCTCGTTCTCCGTTACTCGGCTCCCACTTATGGTTGAACATAAAGCTGTCTCGTCACCACTTCCGTGGCGCTGATCTCGATGACAAACGCAGTGTGCTTTCCGCACTACGTTTTTAAGGCATCACACTATATAGCACAATCGGAGACAGCATCGCGAGTACGACACCGTCCAGTCGACGAGTCTCGTTTTTTAGGAAACATCGAGCCACGCGTTCGATTGTAATTGATTAGTGTGTGGTAATAGCGAACCGAGAACTTGTAAGTCATCATCTTATTAGAAAAAAAATGTTCGCACCCTTCTGAATTTAACGAACTACGGTTTGAATCAATTTATCGAATTTGAGAAATGATTGGTCTGCGAAACGGATAGTAATTGTAATGGCTTTCCAACCAGAAAAAATTGAATCAAAGTTTAATTAGCTCTAAATCTATGCGCCTCAAAGAATAAAAAATGCGCACAATTATTCATGTTTGATTTTCCAGCTCATTTCACCTGTCACGTTGCATGGCTCAATAGCTATAAAGTTTCATGCTCGCTACACCTTTCTTGCTATATACATTTTACTACATTTTATAGCGAATATATTCTATAATCGTATAAACCACGTATAGGTATTAAACAATACACATATTTGAACAGACGCGATTTGTGACTTTTTTCTGTACGTATTTTTTATTTTTGTTTTATATATTTATTTATTTATTTATTTTTAAGGCAGATGAAGCACAGTGGTTCGTTTGCAAACGTCACCTGCAAATTGACATGTGACGCGATCGCAATAAAAAAAAATCTCACGTGCAAAAAAAAAAAGAAAAAAAGAAATGCATCGCACGTGCTGATTGAAAACAGTCCGTTTCACGGTGTCAATCAAAACGATATGAAGTCGGTGAGGCATGTTGTCGGCCTCTTTCCCAGACTTTTGTTTTGTCGCAATGGAAAGAAAAAAATATTCCCAGAAATCACGAAATATTCAACTCTTTTCTGTGGAAGTTTCACTCATAATAGAATACACGAGCTTCTCCGTCCGACTGAGATTCGTCTGTGAATTTGTTTGTGATTCTAAATTCAAAGTACAGACCAGATGTATGCTTGTAAAAGCAGTATGTCTCTCTGGTAAAAGCTTTTCTTTTTTCCATTTCAGTTTGCTTCGTTTGATTTTCAAAGTTTTATAACTCGGTCGTGTATTTTCACCTGACAGTAGCGAGTAGGAATAAAAATGGAAAATAGTAGTCTTTGCAGCAGCCGCACATTGCGCGGAACTTGGTTTCCTAGTGTGACAGCAATCGATTCGTCAAGTTCGCAATGCAATCTTAAAGCGCGTGGCGTAGAATCTCGATAAGCTGACTGCCTGAAAAGTAGCCCAGCAATGTGCTCGTATAAGCAAATATGTATATATACGTATGCACACAACAGAGCGGAAGAGCGAGCGAGAAGTCACATACATCCTGAGCACGTAGTTCGCGCTTGCAATCAATTTGGCCTTAATAGTTTCCCCGCCAAGAGAAGAGAGTCTATGTGCATGTGTGCAATGTATCACGAAACTAACTTGCTCTCTCAGTCTCCCAAGAGGACGTGCGATCGCATCTCTTCTTACGCATTGATATTTCATCGTGAATTTTCATACCGAACAACCGAATACGCTTGTTCTTCTATGGCTTTAATGTGTCTATGTATGCTTTTGCTTGTGTATTGTTTGCAGTTACTACGCGAGTTGAATACGTAATCGTTTTTTCCTCCGATGCAAACCAAATGCCGCCCTAGTCTGCTTACTTGGAATTGATTTCCGAATTACGTAAGCCTTGTCGTTTTTCACTCAGCAGACAAATCGAATTACCTCTTGCTGGGTTCTGGTAACAGTGACATTTAATGTATAGCGGAACAAACACTTTTAATCGATCTACGTTTATCCAATTATTTCCAGTGGATTTCCGAATCATATATCAAGGGATTGTTATGACGAGAGCTGTTTATAAATAGAAAACATTTTCTTGCTTTATTACGTATTCTCCGTTTGACTCGCTGTAAACAGAACAACAGACCCTAAATCGGTAAAGTATGAAAGCGTCAGAAAATATTTGATTTTATAAATAGAACTTTGAGAATAACCACTTAGTACTCTTTTGAAAAAGGTTTTCCAAATTTTCTTCGTTCTTTAATAAACTTAGGATGTAAATTTTTCGAAATTCATGCGAAGCAGCCCGTTCCCGATGCTTGTTCAGCAATACAAAAGAGTAATCCTTGCATCCTAAATGTTTCTTTGACAGCGCGCTTACAACAACGCCTTTCTTCGAAAATCTTGCGATGCTTTGAAAACCCATCAGAAAGGTTTTTGTAGACTAACGAGAGCTTTCTCGCGCAAGAAACTTTCCACAGCTTTCTTTGCTATATACAGATACCAGTTCTCGTGCACTGCTCCTTTCACCAGTGAATAATAAGCCTTTCGCAGCGAGACTCCTCTTGGAGTAATGGCACGGTTGTTCTTTTGACGGGTGATAGTTACCACAGAGCTCGGGCTTGCAGTTCTGTCGCTCTCTTTATATGATTGTGAAAACTTCTCGGTGGCTAATTGGTAACGCCAGTTACCGAGGAACGATTGTGCTACAACAGTAATCCTGTCAGAGCTGAGTTGGAAAATTTGTCTGCGTATAATGGTAAACTTGCGGAATATTCGGTGGACGAGTGCGCGAGCTTAATGGATTTTGGAGTGGATTTATACCTCGGGGGCCTTTTCGTATTGTTGAATGTTACAAATATATAACTCTACTAGAAATAATCAGGCTTTATGCACGCATTTACTAGTTCAATTTCAGCTGACTGCGAGCGCACAGCCGAAACTTCCTTTCGAAAAAGAAAACAAAACTTTTAATTCTTCAGCAGTGACATTTCAATTAACAGGCCGTTCGTATTTCAACGAGTCACCGAATCGAATAAAGTAGCGGGTAACAGTTGCGCTTGCCAGATTTTTCCGCGCTATCGATCCTTGAAAACGTGCTATATCGCTGGTGCACTGCACTCGTGCGACTTCATTCGCTCCGCATTTGGCTTATTAAGATCGTCAACGAAAAAGAGCTCTTGTCGCGCATGATTCCTGATCATTCAAACACCATGAGCTTGATTAACGTCATTCATATTGAAAAGCCGCTCGTAAGGTCACTCGGGAGCCTGCTGAATAATGACTGTTTACAATCATTTGTCATTTCGGTGATGTAATTTCCCGCAAAGTGATCTGCGAGCGTAATGTGTGATGATTGATTCACCGAGTGCGTGAATTTGATTTTGTTTGACCGCGTATTGATCCTAGTGCTCTCTCAAATTACGTGGTGGCCACCGTGAGCAACATTAACGGCGCTTCATTATTTCCAATTGAACGTCAATTTGGAAAATTGCTCAACCGCGAAAACGGGTACATCGGAACACATTAGAATTTAATGAATCACCATGAGGAATTTAAATGATTTTATTTTTGTGTTTCAGTTCCGCAAATAGCAAAGATGATCCGGGACTACGTGATGCTGTTGTGTCTTTGTACGGTCAGCGGTAAAGAAGGTGAATTATTTATTCTATACACTCTTTGGCCTCAAATTTCTTTCGGTACTGCGATCTAATCGATCGTTCCGTTTTTCAGGCTACTTTTGGCACATCAGCGATATACACTTCGACCCAAGCTATTCCATCCAGGGCAACGGCGATGGAAGTGAGTAAACATCAATTCGTACTTTTTTGTCCCGACGAGAACCAAAATAACAGCAACTTGCAACAATTACTCTCGTTAAATAGTTTCAAAGCGCGACAAGAGAAAATTTCATTTACAAGCCACATGCAATTTAAATGTCAGCAACCATACAACTTTGATCTTACCAGCGGCAAAACTTAATTAAGTAGTTTTACTAAAGCGGATCACTCATCGCCAACTAGTTGGAACCTCATTACAACCTCCCTCTTCAAGTACTCCATTGTCTCGGGAGTCTCTTATTAAGTCGTACAAATCCGACTGATCAATATTCAATTTGCTTGGTGCTATTCGAATTTTCACGGTCTAAATCATTTATCAAGCCTATATTCAACACTTCGCCAGAATATTTAGTGGCAGGAGCGGTTTACTATAGTTGCCTTGTATGCTTAATAATTAAAATTTGTTTTTTAGACTGTTATTTTTTTTCTTTTTTAATTAAGTTTGATGTCAATTGATGTTAAATATCAATAATAAATAATTATTTCAGCAAGAAACCTCATTCGAATTAATAGTTTTTTTAACAATTTCATTTCATTTCAATTAGTATCAATTACGTTTTTTTCCTGTTAATTTAAAAACTGGTACTAACTTCTCAGAAGTAAAAGGAAAATTAACAACAATGTGTTCCTGTGGATTTAAATAACATTGAATATTTTATTTTATTTCTTTTTGTGGAACTACATTAGGCAAGTCGCTTGAAATTAGTAATTATAATACTTGAATGTGTCAGTTTTAAATAATACAGTAGTCCAACTGCTTAAAAAATCGATATTACGTTGTGAGTGACATTGACTTAATTAAAAACAATTGGTCCAAAATATTGCCGCAAATCTATAATTAATATGTCATCGAGCGGCTGACCGTACCTAAGCTCGTACTACGCCGTTCCGCTGATGAAATTTATAAAAATATCAGAGAAAGAACTTACTTTTCATTGCAGAATGTTGGAGTCCAAAGAGTCGTGCAGGTTTAAATGACAAAATGCCAAATGCAGGACCTTACGGGCATTACAATTGCGATTCACCTTGGGCTTTAGTAGAGTCGGCAGCCAAAGCAATGAAGACTATCCACGGCGACATCGAGTTCGTTTTGTGGACCGGGTGAGTAAGCGCTTGATGGGTTTCTCGATACGAAACGGCACTGCTGCGACTTTTTCAAAATTATTTTATTGACGCTATATCATGGACGGTTTTTATTGACCCCCGTAATACTGTGAGTTTTTAATAACGCACCGTCGCGCGCGCGACTTTTGCGTTGAAATATTGCTCGTAGTTCAAAGCAAACTTTGCCATTTCTTTAAACAGGCTCTGCACTTTAACGGAATTCCCAAGAGCGAGCTTTGATATTTACAGTTCTTTCCCCACCATCAGCTCTGCTTGTGAAAATGTTGCAGGAAGCAATATGAAACCTGTTTGTTTACACTTTCGAAACTTAGCTAGGGTAGGATAAAATTTAAATATGATTTACTCTAAGCAGGACATTACTTTGAATGTTCCTCGAAGCACGAATATATTCCAGTAGCGTGTCGTATTTACGTTTGTCTGGTAAAAACCGAACCGTTGACTTTTATTCATCCGACTGAAGGAGTAAAAATTGTATATCACAGCGACACCCTGTCAAAGTACAGTGGCAGCACGGACGAATCGAGGATGCGATATTTAAAGAACATCTCTGATCTACTGTCTCACACATTCACCGGGCAATTCGTCTTTCCCGTACTGGGTCACGAAGATGCAGGACTGAACTTTTCGCGAATAGCCAATCTCTGGAGAAATTGGCTGCCAGACGAAGCTCTCGTCACTCTGCGAGAAAGTGAGTTGAAGATTAATATTCATTTCATTTGAACGGATAAATCTGTGAATGCGACGACGTATCCGCGTAAGGTCGGATGAAAGGCGCTCGTAGAACTTGACGTTGAATGAGAATAAGGAGAGCCCAGGTAAACGCACATTTATTTTTCTTCGACCGTACTGCTCGTCGCTAGTCGAAGGCTCGTATATAAACAGATTATCCGCGAAGGCTGCTCGCGAAGCTGCAAATTGAATTTACTCGAAGCCTCCAAATCCTTTAACAGTCGAAGTGCCAAACTAGCCAAGTGTCCTCTCGTGAAATCTGGCATGTCAGCAGCAGCACCACCACCAGACGAAACGACATTATGCCAGCGCACGAACTCCCGGCGCAAATCGAATTATCAGAATCCTCCGCTCTCGCGGTTTTCGTTTCTGCCCACGCCGCTTCCTGAATAAAATGTGATCATCGGTTTCTTGCTTCCCTCCTCAGACGGCTACTACACGATCGAGCAACGCTCCAAGAATTATCAGATAATCTCGCTTAATACAAATCTGTGGCTAAGTCCGGTGTCGGACAACCGCATGCCAGTGAGTCAACAGCAGCAACAGCAGCAGCAGCTACAGCAGCGTATCGTCAATCAGCCATTAGCGTCAGCAATGTCATCAAGCTCAGATCCAGCCAACCAGTGGCGTTGGTTCGACTCGGTGCTCAACACCGCGCGCAAAAAAGGAAAAACTGTGAGTATGTGCTCCAGTGACGTTGATGAAAGCTGGCAAACAGACACGTAATTCCATGAGATACGTGTATTTGGACATGCGTACGTGTAAGCTCGATTGATTTTCCCTTTTCGAGATTGGAACGATTAATTCGAGGAATGGTCGGGTAATAAAAGCTTGTTCTTGGAAACATCCGTAGCGTTCCATTTATTTTTACATGTCATCTGTGCAGCTGGAGTATTCATTTTTTGTGACGTTCGGCGTATCTCTATTGGTCATCCTTCTTTTTCAATTAAAACCGTACATCTGATTGGGGGTCAATTGTTCGCTTTATTCCATTTCCATTCTAACATAATAATAATATTTTCAATGCAACTGCTGAAAGCATAACGTAATTAAATCCCAACTTCTCAAAGCATCTGAAATTGAAGCAACTGAAAAACATAACAAGTGAAGCCTCAACGCAAGAAGTTCGCACAGCTTTCGCTCATAAACGCACGGATCGCGTAACACAAAGGGGATACGCTCGGTGTGTATAAAATCGTGTTAACGAGAGCGCACGCCTGTATGTGTGCGCGCGCGCATTACGACGAGCTGAGCTGCTGCTATATATAACCAGTACGCATCGTCAGCGAAATCAACGCGATAGAAACGCTGCGCGTATAATGGAATTACAAAATGACTGCGTGCATCTATGTCTTTTTCTCTTTCCCTCGTTCACCTAAAAGTGACCAATCAGCGTTCCTATTGTCACCTGATTCCTCGATTCAGCTGTACTGGTTTTTTTACTGCTTTTTCCTCCCTCGTAGCCTCGTCATCGTGAAGTTCGATTGCTTTCGACACCGATGACAAGTTAACGGCCAGGCTAATTCTAACGAATCATCGGTAAAAATTACGAGACCTGTAAATGAAAACAAAGCTAAATTTTGACTGTTACGCGCTTCCTAAGCTCCTTTTGTTGTTAATCCATTTTGCGCGATCATGTTCACGGTTCAATTAACGAGACGTAATTAACAGTCTATCATGTTGCCTCGTGAAACAAACGCTAAAAAGAAAATAAATAATAAAAGTACCAACCGGATTATATTACGTCGTTTCATAATTTTTAAAAGCTTGTAATAAAAAATAATTATCCAATTAATGTCGCGATGAGCCGAGCAATAAATTTTCGATGACATTGCGTCACAAGCGAGAATGTTGACCTCGGTGTGTTTGTGTGTATGCGAGAGAGCAGGTGTTCATAGTGGGCCATACACCACCTGGTATCGACGACCGGGAATCCGGGACTGGTGGCATCACCGAGGAGCACAACGCACGCTATTTGCAAACGGTACGCCAATATGCCGACATGATCCGTGGACAATTCTTCGGCCACTGGCATTCCGATAGTTTTCGCGTCATGTACAGCGACGATGGTAAGGACTTTTCCAGTCGCCTTTTTTTTGTTTCGTTTTACGTTTCACAGAAATCCTATCTATTTTTCGCTTGAATCACAAACATGTAAGGAAATATTTGATATACTCATAATTCAGCTAATAATAACTAGTTTGCAGAAGCTTTGAAAACTCCCATAACAAGTTTGGTTATGAAGTTGAACTTTGTTACTAGTTATCTATAGGTAAATTATAAATTTACATTGCTTTGAAGTTGTCAAAAGTCGTTTTACAGCACGATTGCGAAAGGCTTTCAAACTTTGCTCATTTAAACTATGAACAAATGATTAGTCAGCTTGGATATTGGCCATTGTTCTGGTTAGCAATGTCACCTGCATCAAAATTATCCCTCGAAAAAATTTCTGTTACAACGTAAGCCAATCAGTGCCGCGAGTTAACAATTACTAACTTGCCCTTGGGGCTTGCATTCTTTCCCTGAAATCGTTAAAAAAGAAAGAAAGAGTTTTACTCCTGCTAAGCGAAGCGTGATCCAGTCTCGGTGCCCTTATTGTAATACACAAGATACCGAGTTTTCATGAAGCTAACTTTGAGAGGAGGAAAAGAAAAGCAGACTAATAAAAACTTGCAACAATGGTGCTTTTGCAGATGAGCCAGTATCGTGGGCAATGATGGCGCCGAGTATCACTCCGTACAGATCTGGAGGGCCAAATAATCCCGGCCTGAGGCTTTACAAATTCGACATTGATACCGGACAGGTAATCCATATAATCTGATGGTATAGCCTTCAGATGACCACGTAAACGTTTATTTTCATTTTCTGCTTTCTTTGTTCACGTCTATCAACACGCCAGAAATGAATTTTTAGACGTGAATATTTAACATCAATTTTCATACTTTTAACCTCGATTCTTTCATTCCATTAAAATTTACCACCAATTTCACGATATCCGACCCGCTAGTAATGCTCCACTTTTATGAGATCAAGGCTGACGGAATGCTCGTAAAAAGCCCTCGGTAATTTTTTAAAAGCATATTCCCTCCGGAAAAGAAATGAACGCACGATCGGCTTTCAGGCTCACGTCTTAAAAAAACGAATTGAAGAAGTGCAAAGAATTCCATATGAGTTGATGTTGAGACGACGTGGAAGAAAAGGACATAATTGAAAAAGTCGCTTGTACGCCTGTTTGCAGATACTCGACTACTCGCAGTATTACCTGAACTTGCCAGAGGCGAATTCAGGTAAACGAGCAAACTGGCGGCACGAGTACAACTTGCGTGAATACTACGAGCTTCAAGAGATCACGGCGCTTAGTCTACACGACTTGGCCGATCGATTTACTCAGACCAATGACAACGCTTTCGTCAGGTGAGAGAAAAATCACTTATTTCAGGGGAACATTCATTATCTGACGCTTCGTACCGTAGTCAATTTGCCGGTATGTGATGACGGGTAATCGAGCGCTCGCGTAATCGATTTTGATAGCTCTGCGATTGACGCTTTCTTCGCGCTTGCGAGCACGTGATTTATCTCTTTTTTCCTCAAAACTCATATTTTCATTTCTCCATGTTCAAGTAAAAATTAATCAAAATTTACTGCAATATGTGGTCACGAGCGCCCTTTATTTCCTATAGGTTCGAATTTTGCATGTGATTTATTGAATAACAAATAAATTCAATAATAGAACACGCATGTACGTTCATCTCGACTAATTCTTACATAATATACAATTATATTCATCGAGCTGTCTGCTATAAATGCATTCTCCGTTTCAGTTTGTTACGTCAAACGAGAATAACACTTATGTATAATCGAGTGGAATGGTTTAGAAAAAATTAGTCCATTTCACAGTAGTAGAGAAGCCCTCTCTCGCTCTTTGTCTCTCTCTCTCTCTCTCTCTCTCTCTCTCTCTCTCTCTCTCTCTCTCTCTCTCAACTTCTAAAATAAGAATGAGAAGGAAAAAACGTCGGCTCAAGGGACTCAAGCTCAAAAGGCTGAGAAAGGCATCCTTGAGCGCCAATTCCGTACAAAGAAAATTGCGCTTGCTTGCGTCGGAAATAATGTTGTTACGACGAAATTGTGTCGACCAATTCCATCCTTGTTTCACTTTTCTGTTATTATTTAGTAAACGGCTGTTTTAATCATTACGAAAACTCGTTTTAGCCCTGGTAGATGGATTTTTAAAGTATAACGTCGTGATCCTTTGAAAAATAGACGCTTTTGATTCAATCGTCTCAGGCTTGCAATTAATAAATAAATATCGTAGAGATTCTGAATTTGATTGATAATCAAAGTAATTCTTTTTAATCATACAACAGTGTACAAACTTAGGAATTGTTTAATATTATAGTAAAGAAGGATTCATCAACGGGAAGTCATTTAACCACATCTGCGAATAATAAGAAAAAAAGAAAATATCGGAAACGTACTGTACGCAATCAATCTGTAAGAAGTTCTTGGAGGTTCACTTAGCTTGACTTGCCACAGCGAAGAAATTGGTCTTATCATAACTTCCATAAAGGTTTATTTCAATTGAAAATTGAAAGCAAGCACAAAGTTTGAAAGTTGTTCCCAAGTGAGAACTGAAATCCTAATGCGAGTTTTCCTTAAAATTTAATTAGCGAATGTAATAGTCAGTTGAGAAAATCTCCAACTTCTTGACGTAGCTGGTGTCTGCATTTAAGCGACAGTTTCGAAGTAATAACTGAAATGTGCGAGGAACGACCGAACGAGAGAGCAAAGAGAAAAAGTGACACCGTTCAATTCCACAGGTACTACGCAGCAAACAGGGTATCTCTGCCACGCGAAGTGGAAGAGATCTGGGGTTGCGGGGGCGCGTTAAACGGGCTTTGCGCGCTGCAACACTACTGCACGGTCACTCGGCTGACTTCGCGCGGCTACGCCAGCTGCGTCTCATCCTATGCCTACGCATTGGCTTCGGCAATATCCACATCATGGCTCCTATTGACCGTCCATCTACTGTTAATGCTATCACGGTAGGACTGCGAAGCTGTTATCATGATAAAATCCCTACGTTTCTGTCAGCTACATGTAACCCAAGAAGACTGAGTTTAGTGAAAGTCGCGTTAAAACTACGCGCTCGCTTAATTACGAAGAGTGTGAAAAAAGTAAATAGAGTATAACCACGTTTCTTTTCCTTTTTCGTTGCTTCATGTCGAAGTTTTTGAAATTAAAATAAATATTCCAGATAAAGAAGGGTCGCACACGAGACTACGCCAAAGTCAGCATTTGTCTCTGTTCCTTCTGTTATTCGTTCACTTTGAAAATATAAAACGGCGTGGTTTGACTGCCGTCACGCGAGATATATAAATCCCATGAATAATAATAGTCAAAGGAATATATGAATGTGTAACGCGATGTTTTTCGCAAGAAAAAATATATATAGCTCTAACTAATGTTCGTTATAAATAAATATGGCATGTGCGAGAAAGATGAGAGCGAACGGGTGATATTTAAATGTGTTCGTTATTGTGTTTGAAAATTATAAAGAATGAGAATGTTTGAATGTTCGCCATTGACGATATTGACAATTTTGCAATGGATAAACTATTGTTGACTGGATCTGCGTAATAATTCAACAGAAGGCTCCTATTTATATAAGTAGTACTTTTATTCTAGCGATGCTATCGGGTTGTCTCGGCCTGAGCGTTTTGTTCAAGTTTAAATAAACTGCCAATTTAGACTGCCATAGACTAGCTGTCTCGTTTCTAAGTTAATATGGGAATGACTAATGGATTTGCGGGTTATTGAGTCAAATTCTTTCGTCCATTTTCGATCGCGGTAGAACGCGGCTTCATCGGCAGCAACAAACGAAAATTCTGTTTAAACAAATTAAAGCTATATTGGTAGTGACAGACCGCAATTAACCGTGTAATGGCGACAATGCATTTCGATCTTTTATTAATAGGGTATCGATCGTGGTCCGCAGGTGCTAATGCCGTTTTTTCTTTCCTGTAGACGCTCGAAGATGCACTCGCCGTCGGCTCATGAAAATTCATGAGAGCTTGATCTGTCTTTAGGACATATATACCGTTTCTAATTGTTTACCGAGTAATTTATTTTACTTAGATGTAGTTAGCTCGGGTACAAAGATCCTGCAAAGAAATTAATGTCCTTTTGTCCACTCAGAAAACGACTGCGATCTAAGTACACTCGTGTTTATCGCCGTCAAACACAGTAGTGCAGCGCCAACTGTTTATCCCAAGTACACACGCGAAATAACGAACGGCCCAGTGGCCACCATATAATTTTGAGCGTGCCCACGGAGTACTAATAACACGCTCGTTCGCGCTCTCGGGAAAACAATTTTCGCTGCCTCTAAAATAAACTCGCGCGCGAGTGAAAGACAAAGAAACGAAGTAATCATAGCTTTGATATAACTGCGTTGGAAAATACTGCGAATCAATTTTAGCGACACGCGAAATTCCGGTGATTTCTAAATTGATTGTTCTAGACAGATAAGATTATTTTGTCGAAGCGAAAGTGAGCAGAATTTAAGTGTTATTGCGCGTGTGATCAGGAGCGTGGCTGAGTGTTATATCCAATGTATTGTTGTTGATCGAACGAGACTGTTCAGCTACAAAAAACATTCGGGTGTACTGTCGCGAATCCTCGTGTAACCTAGTTATACATGTGAAATGTCGAAGAATATCCTGCACCAAACTGCCATTGTCGAACGAAAGGATATTAACGCAAAGGTCGAGTGAAGAAGCCTAAACGAAGAAACGAAAGAAAAAGTATGAGAAAAAAATTAAATGCTCGTTGAAGTACTTGTAAATGGATATTGTATATCTATATATTCGTACCACTCTTGTGATTACCAACCATGCATTTATTTATCAATAAAGTTATTGATTTGTTTTTAACCAAGATTCCTCTTAATTTCTGTCGGCCAGTTGCAGAATCCGACGGCTGGAAAAGAGCAAGTGGACATTTAACTAATTAACCGCGCAATTAGCAGATCGTTTGGCACGATATATTGCCCTTGTAATTCATGCTGCCGCTTAATCACCGACATTGCTTTTATGCGCGGTATAATTAATTTTCATTTTATATTTATTCGAGGTGATAAAATATGAATTTCATAATTAATGATAGTTAGCGGTTGATGGCAGATTAATGATGACCGAGGCGAAAAAATGTTGATGACTTTCCATCGCTCGGCCTGCATCGCAGGAGCACTGAAGATGAGCACGGCAGCGGCTCGATCCAAAGGAGATTGACGCATGTAGCTGCACATACAGGAGCTCGCTACTGGCGGTAATCTGCAATTTTAATTACAGCGAGTTCATCAAAGCTTGGCAAGCTCGCAAAGGGATTTAACAAGCGATTAACAAGGCCGACGGATCGCAGGTGGGATACTGCGCTCTAGATCGAATACATCCATGTCCACTCTCTCTCTCTCTCTCCTCCTCCCGGTTTATTGCCGACGAGCTCCATAGCGGAATACACACTCGATGTACACATAGCTATTGTACGGCGCTCGGAGATAATGTCAGGGGCACTTATTGGCTTCCGACACTCGTGGACTTTAAGCACGCGATATCCGTTTGATCTGCGTTTGCCTATGACTCGTCATTCATATCGTTAAGCACGCTTGTAGTCTCGTTTTTGTCATCGTCCTCTGTAGGTGTTACTTTGATAATTAAGCTGAATCGGCTCGTCATCGATATCTCGCTCAAACGAGGCTTATCTGCCCCGTTTCATTTTCAAACGCTTTCAAGGGCTAATGGTTCAGATATATCAACGGAGGGGACGAAGAGTTATCGCCGCTTTCTCACACGGACTTGGTTCTGATTTATGAGGATGCGCGACACTCGCTTTTCACGCTCGGCAAAATTCACTTGGCAAGTGCAATCCCCTCGGTCTCTCGCTGTGCACTACGTGAAAAGGAATACAGGTCGTTCGGGGGTTTATTTTCGGCGATGCCTCCTCAAGTGCGCGTGAGTTTGTGTGCATGTGCTCGATTAATTGAAAAACAAATTAAGGTCGATTAAATTATCGTCGACTCCATTAGTAAGGGATTCGTGTGCTTTGTACTTCCCCTCTCTTTATATATGATCTTTACTTATTCATTCACTGTGCAGCAAATTAAAACACTTTAGAAATTATCATTCGAAACTGGTGCAAACAGTATGATCGATATTCGATACTTTCCATTTAATTATTCATTAAAATTTTCGTGGCAGAATATGGGAAATCATTATCATCACGGAGAGAAAAAACATTGCTCATACTTCTATATCGATTCAAAATACTGTATTCAAATCGCGTTACCCTTTATACATCGACGCCAGCATTGTCCGAATACTTGACCTGCTGCTTCAAAAGCCGTATATTGCACGCTGACGCGCGGCGGTTCTAATATCAGAGGAGGGTATAGTAAATTATGCGCGCCGAACTTTTGTACGTACAAGACTATCAACTGATCCGGTAAAAATCCCACACGATCGAACGAAAGAATAGTCTTTGCGAGTCAAGTTAACGTAGCTCACTATCACAGACTCGCGCGCCCGCATACACACTACGGGTATGTGAGCGTATATATCTTCTTTTTGCCAAACAACTTTTAGTCTTATCGAGTATTTGTCCAGAAAAAAAGGCTCGGGTATAGAGATGCTGTAATCCATATCGATAATTTGATTTTCACCGCAGTCTTTGAATTCGGTTGAATCTCTAAAAATATTGTCATATTAATTTAAATTAGATTAATATGATATTAAATAAAGTCATTAATCGTCATCGCAAAATGAAAGATAAACTGGTAAGTATTCGATCGACCGGTTCGTGTAACAAGTTTTGTCACCATTTGGCGTTTCTTTTAAAAACTAACGCGTTTGAAAATCACTCGACGGAGTTTTATTTAATGATCCAATTCTTGAAATCCCTCAAGTTTACTCGTTTCCTATGAAAGCCTATCGCTATAGGCAAGCGTACAGATTTATTAAAGCTTCTACAAACATTTGATGATTATAACGAGCTATATTTCAAAGAATATATAAAATCATGCGAGACACATAATTATTCCGAACGCTTAATGACTTGAAGGAAAAAGATGTACAGTTCAAAGTCGTTCGTGAGACATAGAAGCAACTATTTTCACGTTAGGAAAACTCGCAGCTTAAACTACCGTAAAAGCGGGTCAATAGCTATAGGAGAATTTACTCAGTGCTTGCAAACCCGAGAGTCTTAGAGAGTAAGAACAATAAACTTGGACTAGCCGTCGATGTACTAAGCTCATTATCTTTAGCTCGATGCGTTCACTGCTACGACTATCTGAACATTGTTCATCAACTTTTATTAGCAATAATTTTGATTCGTCGTAAAATTGTTCGTCCCGTCACCCATTAGATTTCTCTTGTTATCAAAATTTCATCGATGAGCTCATGTCTTAATGATATCGCGCTGTATTAATGTACTTTAACCTGCATGATTCCTGAATTATTCATAAAGCGAGTGCATGTAACTTCATCACAGAGAGAGAGAGAGAGAGAGAGAGAGAGAGAGAGAGAGAGAGAAAGAGAGAGAGAGAGAGAGAGAGAGAGAGAGAGAGAGAAAGAGAGAGAGAGAGAGAGAGAGAGAGAGAGAGAGAGAGAGAGAGAGAGAGAGAGTAAAGTGCTAAGCGCGAAATAATTGATGATTGCTTTTACCTCCGGGAGATCCCTTTCATTCTCTCTCTCTCCCTCACGGTATGGACCTCGCTGATATCGAATATACATAATACAGGGAAAAACGAGCTTTCGGTAGTATAGACCAGCATAAGTTGGCAAATGGTAACTCATTAATACATCATATGATCAGGCGCACGGGATTACATACGTCTTACAAAGACAATCGAGTGGTTACAGATTTATTGCTCTCTTGACAGGCTCACGGTAGCAGAAGCAGTTGTAGGGTAACTCTCGTGGGTCGTAATTAAACTTGTCGTTCGGCACACGAGTGCTCACAGCATAGATTTAACGTATTCGCTCTGGTTTTCCAAAGGCTACGCGCGCAAAGTCACATCCAACAGCTCTCAAGCACACATCGACTGAATAGAGGGTTGATCCAAAACTTGTCAGGCACGAAATAACAGCTACTATTTTACAACGGCCAACTAGCATAAAAGTAGCGCGCAAAAAATCCGTACCTGATGCTCGGAGCAACTAAGTTGCAGCGGCGAGAAATAGTGCGGAAGACGACAGCAGAGCAACGCACTCGGCTGTTTTTATATTTATCAAGTGGCCGAGATACTCGCGTACAGCTTCATCATCGGTCGAGGCATATCCGCGTGGTCCGTGCGGATAACGAGTAGCATCACTCACACGGGGAGCTTAAGGCCTCGTTAGGGAGCCAGCGCTGAACCATGCATCCTAGCAAATCGGCCGGATCGGCTGCTCTGTCTCTCCGTTACCCGTTAATCTTGCCTTTAATTTATGTATTTCAGAAGCGAGCGCCCGCTCGCTCCCCCTCCACCCTCGCCGGCCGGTTCCTTTTTCTCTCGCGATCTACCTGCTATCGACACTTTGATGCTTGAGCGATGGCGGTAATGTCGATCATATTTATCGCAACAAAGAGAACAATTTTGCAAGCTGCCAGCTTCGTTTCTTGCTTGCCCGGATCGATAATTCAGATAACGGCTATTGTTTGCGCATAGTCGAGATGATTAATTAATCTGCTCGGCAAAACTTGTACAGTTACGTAGCCGAGGAAATTTCATTTCCCAGTCGCTGAGCAGATCAAATATTTTACGCTCGACTGATCTCATTTTTACAATCTGACGCTATATACGCGCAGGTATCGTGTGATATTGCTAGTGCGCAATCACGATTTTGCGATGCCATTTCCTATTTGCCGTTGACTTTACGAGGGGAAAAACTTTGATAGGCCCAATCGATAGAAGGCAGAAAAAAAGGAAACTACAACTATATGAGCCCCGGGGCATGCAAAATTCAGGATTATTGCGCTTGAGCACGTCCAAGATACGCGCGGCAGATCTCGGGTTATTGGTATTTATGATTCGAAGCGCGCGCGCGCTTTCACGGAAACTTGTTGAGCCGTGAGCTCTGCCGTTCGCGCTCTCTCGTCGATCGACTAGTGCGCGCGCGGACGTGTGTGCCGATCGCGTCGGCCGCCGAGTTTGGCGTCGACGGATGACCTAATTAATGCGGAGTTTCGCGTGCTTGCACGCTCTCGTAAACTCTACCGAATGCAAATTTGGCAGGTTTTGTTTTTTTTTTCTATCGTTTTGTTTCGAGCGTAAAGCGACTGCCGCTACACGGAATCGCAATTAAAATTTCAACGGTATTTAGCTGTAAATGAACGAAGTAGAAATAATCGAGTTTAGTCGGACGTGGCGCGTCCGAATTTCACGCTCGATAACCAAGAGCTAGCGGGAAAGCGTTTTATTCCCTTTTTCTGCTCCTTCATTTCAAGCAACGTCCTTCGAATTACGCGTCAGAGGTATAATAAGATTCGTTATAACGTTTCATCAGACGGAGCCACACGCGCACTCGGAATTTCACCGCCACTCCAACGCGAACAAAAGCGTCGCGAGCGCGCTCGCAAGAGACGGAAACGCCCGCACGTGTCGTTTATTTCCCGCGAATATAGCGCGCGCGGCATCGTATAATTGGAAGAAGTTGAATGAGTCCTCCCACGCGTGGTTCGCCGTGGCAAAAGAAAAGTCACACGCGCGTACTTTGCCACGGCTCAAGTGGCCCTTTTCCTTTGTTGAGCGCGCAAAAGAGGTGATATCGCCGCTGCGCTTCGGTCGTGTGCGATTGCTCGCATGAAATATTATTCTTCCCTATTGTCAGCC